TAGACTCGCCTCTCCTCGAGAGAGGTGCGTGCCGGCCCCATGTTGTCCATGCAAAATAGTTCCGCCTATGTCTTCCCGTCTGCCTCCGATCTGGAGAACCACCATGTGATCCCCCCGTCCCAGCTTGACGACCGTCGCAACTCAACCCGCTCCGTCGCCTTGTCCGAACTCCCCCCCTTCTCCGACTGTCCCTTGGCGGAGGATTCGCTCTCCCATCGCACCAGTATCAGCACCGACGACTTCTCCGACCAGTCGCCTCAGTCGTGGGAAGTGGAAGGTCCCTCGGACCGGTCCTCGTCGTCTGCCGACGCGGAGGCCAAGATCCACGGCGTCGCGCATCCCCTACTCGAGTCCTCCTTCCCCACCGCGGCGACTACGGCCGCCTCGACTGCCTTTGGCTTCAATATTCTCGCTGTTCACGAGGACCACGACTTCGGCGACCAGGTGACCCCCAAGGTGGAAGAGGTGGACGACGCCGACGACTTGCAGAACATTAAGTCGCTGTCGGGAGTGGAGACCCCAATGGCCCATGCGACCACGGATACCACGGCTGCTCCCGTCCACGTCCCACGGAAACGCGGCCGACCGCGCAAACACCCCCTCCCCGTGCCCGGAGGTCAACTCAAGATCACCAAGGGTCGTTCCAAGACTGGGTGCATCACCTGTCGTCGTCGGAAGAAGAAATGCGACGAGACCAAGCCAGCGTATTTTACCCTCTCCGCTATCGATTCCTCGTGTGTCATTTTTTTTTTTTTTTCGGTCGCTAATTGAATGTTTCGTAGGTGCTTGAACTGTCAGAAAAATGCGGTCGTGTGTGAGGGATACCCGCCCAAGGAAATATGGAAGAGCGGCCGGCAAAAACTGGAAGATGGTGAGTATAGTTTCCCCCCCCTCTTTTCCACTGGGTCTTTGTATTGATTCTCACGGATCGTTTCCATCTAGCCGTGCGAAACTCCAGCATCGTCGCCTGCACCCTCCCCCTCTTGATCGACGGCGTCGAGACCGACATCGACCGACGGTTCTTGGACCACTTCGTCTACGGCTTCAGTCGCGTGCTCACCCTGATCAACGATGACTCCAACCCCTTCAAGGAGATCCTCCTGCCCATGGCCACCCAGCACCGCGGCCTGATGCATTCGCTCATGTGCCTCTCCGGCTCCCACCTGTCCGGATTGGACCCGGAACCTAAGCTGCGGGAGCGCAAGTTCTACCACTTCCACCGCGCCATCCAGGACTTGAAGGATAACATCACGGCGAGGGAATCGGGCGAGACGGAACCGGAGCTGCTGGTGGAGGATCCGATCATCGCGTCGACCATCGCCCTGAGCCTGAACACCATCTGCGAAGGCGAGACCAACGGCGAGTACCGTCCGCACATGGACGCCGCCCGCTACCTGCTCGTGACCCAGGCCCCGCGCAACGAGAAGTTCCGCCAGTTCATCGTCGAGTTCTTCCAGTACCACGACGTCTCCAACTCCATCACCTCGCTCGACCGCCGCCCAGCCCACTTCAACGGCGGCCTGCGCCTGCCGGACTTCGTGCCCCACGCCCAGGCCGGCATGTTCCTGGGCGTCTTCGACGGGCTGTTCAACTACATCTCCGAGGTGACCCGGCTGCGCGACCGGATCCGCGAGCGCCACAGCCAGGGTTACGAGCCGGCGGTCGACTACCAGATCCTCAGCGAGGCGGTCTCGATCGACTCGGCCATCCGGGCCTGGGAGACGTCCTACGTCCCCAACACCCCCAACTGGGCGCTCGCCCAGCTATACCGCCAGTCGACGTGGGTGTACCTGTACCGCACCATCCGGCCGTCGCGGCCGAGCGACAAGATCGCCCAGGTCGTCGACGACGGCCTGTCCTACCTGGACGAGCTGCCGCAGGACGCGGGGGCCTACAGCATCGTGCTGATGCCGCTCTTCCTCCTGGGCTGCTCGGCCTTTGTACCGCGGCAGCGCGAGCGGATCCAAAAGGGGTTCGAATCCCTCAAGGCCTACTCCAACCTGCGCAACATCGAGCCTGCCTTCAAAGTGGTGCAGCAGGTGTGGGAGGTGATGGACACGAAGTCGGAAGAGTGTTGGGACTGGGAGAAGATCATCAAAGCCATGAACATGGATTTTCTCATCACCTAGTTTTCTTCCACTTATTGAATCTTGACTCGGTTGGTGAGATTGGCATGGCCAGGGTGTTATACCCGGAGCATCCCAGGGATTTTCTGTTAATTTGTTCTATGTGCATACATGCTTGTTCCGATTTTTCCGACGGAACAGCGCAAGGAGATTTGATTTGGCGTCTGGAGGAAAGGCATGGAAGCGGATCCAGAACCGTGACTACCATACCATACTATATCGCATGGACCGGAGACTTGACGGCGGGGAGGGTTGTTTAAAAAGGGGAGGGACGGACGGCGTGGGACGGTGTTTCTGGTTTGGCATTGTATTTCTATGATTGATGTTTTGTGTCTCCTCGTGATGATTTGAGGATGACTGTTTTTGTGATATCCCGTGTATAGTGATGATCAGCTGGACATATTATTTATTATATGGTTTATTATATGGTTGAGAGTAACACAGCTAGTTGTAAGAGGCTGACTTGAAGATTATTTTGCCCCTTCTTAGATGTTGCCATATGAAGGGGTTACTGTCAGATCTGCGCAACTCCTGTCTACATATTCTATCTATCTATAGATCTTGCATATCCCTGTCTTCCCATCGACATAAAATGATGTCCTTTAGTATATTCCAAGCACCCTACTAGTATTCGTCCCAAAAGACCAACCCTGCCAATGATACACACGAACGATGGAATATGAGACTATCACTACGTGGTACCAATAATTACAGATATCTAACCAGATCAGTATAGACAAGCAAACAAGATCTTCATCCGCTTTTCACCACTCACTCGCTCCTCACTCGCTCCTCGCTCAGGTGGCCAGACAGGTAGGTAGGTACTGAGTCAACTACCAACTACCGTAGGTTATTCCGCCATGATACTTTACCCACCTACCTACCCTAGTTCCCTCCTACGTCTTGAAAGCTGGATCATCAAACTGGATCACAACTCTCATTGGCCAAACCACCATGATTATGCCAGAATGACTCATATGGATATGCCCGACCCGAGTCTACGGATGAACCACTAGCAGGGGCAGTGACACCAGTGACAGTGGCACAGCGGACGGAAGGACGCATCCGACCTCGGCCGAAATGAGGACGAATATTGTGCGTGTTTTTGCCACTGGGGTTGATCCGGTGTCGGCGTTGGATCGAGTTGGAGTCGGAGTCGGATTGGGTCGGGGATGAGATGCAGATACAGACAGAGATATGGGATGACCTCGTGAATGGTGGTTCCTCTCTTGGGTGGGATCCTGGAACACTAGATGGGTTGGGGTTTGGCCTCGTTGAAGAGATTTCCTTAGATTTGAGATCGGATTGAGGGAGGGTTTCTTTGATTCGTTTATTGAGTGGGATTGGGATTGGGTAGATTGATCCATTACTATTACTACCTACCTACCTACCTACCTACCTACCTACCTAGACGGGTAGACTAGGCTGATGGAGTAGAGTAAAATCATGGTATGGCGACTCATTTATATGATAAAGGCTGTTCACTATCTGAAGATGGTAGGAGTGTCTTTGATGAGACTTGACAGTTTCTAAGCAGTCTAGATAATGTAACCAACCAGTCTTTCTATATAGACATGCATAGTGCGACTTTACGTCCAGGATCAGCGTACAATAGCACAGGTATCGTATATAGGATAGTAGATGTCTCACTGGATATAGTTTTTTATAATAATATTTAAGATATCTACAATTTTTTTTTTTTTTTAAAAGGTGAACGATGTACAATATTTGTCTTTCGTTAATTTACCACACTTACTTACGAAGCACAAGTGCCATAAGAGTTATGTTTGTACGGAGCAGCTGAGTGGTAACTCTTTCTAATAGTAAGGGTATGGGTATTATAGGAGTAAGTACTCACTCAGGCAGCCCAAGAAACAAACGAGGCGAAGAATAGTAGTAGTGGTAGTATGGTAATAGTGACGTGTCTGTGGACCCAATACCACAACATCCATCGCAAGACATATGGAATATGAATAATATGAATAAGATGCGAATGAGACGAAGATTGGGTTGGTTGGGTGGTTGGTTGGATGTTGGACCCGATGACGATGCGGTGGGGCTGTTTCATAATCAACCCTATGGTTGAGTCTTGCAGTCTGTACCTGCGTGGTGAAGTGGCATTTCTCTCATTCTTTCAGTTTATTTCTGTGATTCATTTTATTACTGTTATTCTTACATTTATTGTTACTTCAGTCCAAGTTTAATTCAAAATGTCAATTGACGAGATATGATATGTATATACATCTAAAAGTTTATAGGTCTATCAACATGACAAGCAAGACAGGAGTAGGAATAACAATAGTAAAAAATTCAAAAAAGACGAAATCAAAAACAAAAACCAGGAGTTGACCGAAAAGACAAGATAGACCATAATATCATCATCATCAAATCATCCAGGATTTGTTTCCTACTCCGGTAGTCACATATTTTCTGTATCCCAAGAAACGGCCATACTCCAGTGGGGAATCATAAAAATATCATCAAAAGTGGAACGAGTGAAAAAGAAAGATGAGACACGTCGTGGAGGAAACGAGCGACGTGTGGAGAAGAAGGGAACAACGTTGGTGGACTTGGCTTGAAAGAACGACGTTGGTGGGATGATTGAAAGGAACGACGTGATAAAGTGGATCCACGAAGTTAAGGTTGACAGCTTTCAAACGAACGACGTTGGTCGGATGAATGAAAGGAACGACGCGATGGAGGAGATCCACGACGTTGTGATTGACGGCTTTCAAAGGAACGACGTTGAGACTTTCAAAGGAACGACGTTGTGAGGCTTCAATGGACGACGTTGTAGGTAGCGAACGACGTTGGCCTTTCAAGAGACGACGTTATTGAAAACGAGCGTTGTAGAAGATTGACCGAAAGAACGACGTTGTAGACATTTGAATGTGCTGTAGGCTTTCAAACGAACGACGTATTGAAGAACGACCTCAAAACGAACGAACGAACTAGTTCCCGATCCAAGAGACAATCTAGTTGCCCACCTTCAGAGTGAAGGTGGTGTCGATCGGGCAACCGTGGGTGGCATGGTCGTCCTTGGGCTGGAGATAAGCCTCAGCGCAGTTGGTATCGCCCGCATGGCAGTTGACAGTCGGGCAAGTCTCGGTGACGTGGGAGGGCTCAACGGCGAAACCGTTCTTGGTGAACACCGAGTCGGGGGACATGTCGATGCAGCTCATGTCCCAGAAGATGGTGTCGCCGCTCTGGGTGTACTCAAACTGGAGGACATCCTTCTGCTCCTCCGTGGTGGAGAGCTTGATGGAGATGCCACCGCCGTTGTCGTTGGTGCGCCATCCTTCCTGGTAGTTTCCACCGTTCGCAGAGAGGGTATGCATGTCACTGACTCTATCAGTGACAGACCACGCGTAAACGGTGTCATCCAGGTTGTTGATGATGTTGACGCCTCCACCGTCGCGACGGACAACAGAGCCGCTGGTGGGAGTGGGAAGAGCGGAGGTGAGGGTGGCCAAGGCGGCAACGGAAACGATCTTGGAGAACAGCATTGTGGTTTGATAAAGATGGATTGAAGAAGATGTGTGTTTTCAAAGATAGTTGAATCTGATCGACAGATCGTAAAGTGGTTGTGTTTGAATGAAAGTGTTGTCGAGATAACTAGATCTCAAGACAAGTAAAGATAGTTGAGATTGAAAGAAAGTTGTTGTTTGATTTGAATGATTGTAATTGCTTGAGTTGAAAAAACAAGATCCCATCTGGACGAGCATCGAGGCCCTATTTATGTCTGAGATCCCCCCTGGTGAACGGCCGATAGCCATGTGTATCGGAGATGCATCGGAGGGCAACCATTGGTAGCGAAGGCCATGGGAGGCGCAGGGGCGGCAAACAAAACCAGGCCGAGAGTGAAAGAGTGGAAGCGATGGAGAAAGAGAAAAAAACACCGACCCAGATCCATAGGGGGCAAGAAGATGGTTCCCATGCAGGGCAGTCTCTCGGAACCAACGAGATATCCGAATGGAACAAGGCAAGACAGATGACAGCTGCCTTTACCGTCAGTCAGCCAACATTTCTTCCTTCCTCAGTTGGGCACATTCTCATCTCAGATGGAAGACAATACGAGACTGTGGCTGAAACGGACTGTTGCATCGAATCTGCTGCCCGACTGTACCTGCATCAGATATCGCGACGATGACTTGTCGGCCGTACAGGATTGGAAGAATGCCCGAGATCGAGTGGCGCCAGCAGATGTATCTCGGTCTCCACTTTTCCGGCATACAATGTGCTTGGCAATTGATACAATTTCTAAGAACGAGGCTCCACCTCGCGTGGTTTGACCCATGGTTCATTCCCCGTCGTCTCTTTTCCATGCTTTTTGCCGAGTGGAAACCTTGGTCTGGCTCGGTGGCATTAGATCTCTCGGCCTAGAAGGCCCGTGGAAATAGTCCTTTTCCGCGGAAGAGTGCGTGGAGATTTCGGCCGAGCCCTGATATCTGGTTCGCTTGAACCGTTCTTACCATGGATCTCTCTCTCTTCTCTCTCTTTCTCTGTCTTTTTGACTCTCTGTTCCCTGCTTACCATATCTTCAAGTAAAGAAAATTTCTTTATTCCGCGCTTTCTCGACACGTCGAGAAACCCCGGCTCTGGAACCAACGTGGCGTCCACCGATTTTTCTTCCGGTTCCTGAAAGCGCTCTATTTCGACCTCTTTCTTTGGCCACTGAAGAAACCTCTTCTATCTTTATTCGATCTTACTAATTTTGATCTTATTTTTTCCTTCATCTTCTTTGTAATTCTTCGCCTCACATCCCACCAGTGGAGCCCAAAATCAATGAATCTCAGCAATGGTAGACAGTCAGATACTATCCGTAGTTAGATAGAGATAGATACCACCAAGGCCAAGATCCAGCCAAGATCGACCCACTACCAACTACAATCTTGCATACGCAAACCATTCGGTCTCGCCCGGCCTATTCTATTCAATTCCATCCATTACCCCAGTCATTCTACTAGACATGCCATCCACTATTATCCACTGTTCGCTGGCCCCGTAGTGTTGGAGTGGGCCTGTTCGGATACTCACCGACAACCCCCACCACCACTGTCAGTGCCAGCCCATCTGTGACCTGTCATCCAATCCAATCCAATCCAATCCCCGTCTGTCAATGTCAGACCCGACACTTACCGGGCTACTCCATAGTACGTGCGCGATTTCCACACGAACAAAACAGTCCCGGTCGATCCACTGGCCCAAACGGCCGGCCGGCCTAGGCTGAAGAACGCCCACCCCCATCACCAACCGCCCACCAGACTGGTGCATGGATCTAGAACGTCTGGACGATAAGGTACACTACCTTCGTTTCGGGTTCCTGTTTTGGCGGCGGCCCCTCTTTCTTTCTTCCCCCCTCTCTGTTCCCGTTCCCGCTGTTCCCGGGGAGGTTGGAGGTTGGAGGTTGGTTGGTTGGTTGGTTGGTTGAAGAGACAAAGAAACTCTGTCGGCTTTTGTTTGGTTTTTGGTTCCTGGTTTTTTTTTTTTTTTTTTTTTGGAGGGACGGACCCACGGGGCTTACTCCACTTTTTACAGGGGGTAATGATAATGTGTGTAAGGAATGAGAAAAAGAATAAAGAAAAAAGAAAAGAATTGGAAAATGTTTGGAAACTGATCAACCGTGGTATATTATTGGCGGGGGAATGGAGTGAGTCTTGCATGGACTTCCCCATGAATGAAACAGAAATGCCAAAGAAATGTGAAATGTAAAAAGTAAAACAAAATGGGCGGGGGTAAAAAATGCCATCCATGAATGTGTATACAAATGTAATAGTAATAGTAATAGTAATCCATTCGATATGGAAAATGTCAAAAAGGAATTCACCAATAGGGCGCCCGTAACCCTGCCAAACTTGTGATAGACCCCTCGGACGAGGCATCTTCGCGCTTGCGGTGTCCGGCCAGCTCCAGGTTGATCTGGCGGTGGATGTGCACCAGCCAGTCGACGTAGCTCTGGGCTTCGTTGTTTCGGTCCTCCACCAACATCCGCGCAAACTCGTACTCCGCCCCGTCGAGCCCCTGCCGCGCCAGCTGCACCGTCACCGCCTTGGACCCGCGCACCGTCTCTAGATACTGTAGCAGGTTGCGCACCTGCGCGTTGAGGTGTGTCTCCAAGATCGGGAGCGCCGACATCTGCGGTTTCAGTGCCTGCAGGGAGTCGAATTCTGGCCCGAACAGGTCTGCCAGCAGGTTGGGCGACACCTGCCCATGCAGCCACAGTAGGCACACCTGCCCGTTGTCGACAATGTAAGCGCCGCCCTCCTCGACCCGCGCGAAGCTGGCCCGCTGCGTTGGGGGCACTTGCAGGTGGCCCTGCTCGTTGGGGAACCCGTCCTCCGGCGCCATGTTGTGGATCGGCATGATCCGCGGGTAGAGGTATAGCGACAGTTCCGTGCATCCGATGGACCGTAGCATCCGGATTTCGTGTACTCGTCGGTCGGGGGCTTCCTGACCACCTGCAATGGAGTCAGTATATACATGTATATCTTTGATCGTTTGGAGGTCTTCAGTCCAGAATGACTCACCCTTGAATGCCCGCGACTTCAGCAAGCTCAGCATGAACATGGAGTATTCCTTGAGGTTTTCGGGCAGCACCAATTGCCCCGGCGGATGCGACCCCGAGAAGACCTTGCGGTATCCGCTGAAAATGTCAACGGTCTTCTCCGTGATGCTCGCCCGCACATCTTTCAGGGTCTTGTCCGACGTCTTGGCCGCCGCTGGAGAGTAGTTAGTACTGAAGATGCTTTATACGGTAGAATAGTGAATATTGACGCACCTTCTTTGGCAATGAGGCTGACTATAGCATCTTGATCCACGAACTTCATGGTCTCCAGGCCCCCTTCGTTGACCGCCGCCACCGAGTTGATACAACGGACTCGGCGCTGGCCGTCGGCTGAGGTGTACAGGAGAGCGGCCTGGAAATGCGCGTCCAGCTTGGGATCGAGCTTCCCGTCGTAGCTGAACGTGACCCCGATAGCCTTGTCGGCATCGATGGCACCGATCTCCAGGTCGGCTCCGAATGTGTGCTGCACGAAATTTCCGTGGTACGCCGACACTTGGAGGCCGTTGGAGCACCGCACCTTCATCAATGCCTGATATCCTGTCTCCCGTGTAGCTGCGTGCGCCAACTCCTTCGACAGCTTCAGGATATCTCGCGGCGAATGCCAGTTCGGGTAAAAGAACGTCTCTCCACCGGTGACTTCGGGCACGTGGCCTATTCTCTGTTAGCAACCGAAACACCGCAAATATGCAACGAAAAAAAATTACCTATCGTAGCCACATCCAGGTACATCCCGCCGGGGGCGGCCACGAACATGTCAACGCCGATCCCCGCACCAGCCATTTTTGTAGCTGTCTGTCGCCATTGTGGGTGTTCTGTCGTAAACAACTTCCGCTCCGCATCCGTTCCGTGAATTTTGGGGTCATCACGCATGGTCAGCGCCCCAGGGCCCCAAGTCGGCAGGCTGGCGATAGTGCCAATAATCTTGCCGCCAGTGGCCTGCAGGGCAGACAGAGCCGCGTTCAATGCGGGCAGCAACGCGGGCTCTGGGTTCTTGATCTGGGAGAAGATGGATGGGATGCGGCTCAGGAGAGAAACGATGACGTCCCTGGTTAGGATCGGTTGTGAGCAAGCGTTCACCTCGCTAGTTGGGAGGGAAGGGATGCGTACTTGGATTCGTAAGGGTCGACGAACAGGCCCTCACTCAGAGGAACAAAGGGCTCTTCCAGGTCAGTCATGACCATCATTTGTGCCTGATCAAGTTGAGCCTAGGAATTGCGTTAGCATCACCGGGCTTTCTCTCGCCTCTCTCCCGGTATCCTCTTTCTACCCCGAAAACATGAACGTACACTAAGATTGTAGAACTGCACTTCCCGATCGTACGTGACGATACCGATCTTGGCGCCTTCGGGTATCCGGCGGCCAGCCGCTTCGCCTTCCTCAGTGGCCCCCGCCGTGTCGTAGAGCGCATTCAGGATACCCTTGCACACGCCCTTGAGGAATCCGCGGTTCACCGACTCCTGGCTAACATCAATCAAAAACAACGTCTGCAGCCCCACGGGCTCCTTGTTCCAGTACTCCCTCGGGACCGTGAATTCGACGGTGCCCATCATCAGCTCAGGGCGCTGCATGCGGTCAACGCGCGTCCCGGACGGATCCAGAGGCGCAAAGTACTCCATGGGCACATCATTGGGGAACGTGCACATGTTGCAGACAAACTTATTGCCTCCCGACCTGAACGACATGAATGGATTGATGTAGGCACGGCATCGACGGCATCGAGGCGGGCCAACATCCCCGAAATCCAGCACCGGGATGGGCTGCTCGCCCGAGTCGAGCTGAGCTAGCGGCTGCAGGACCATGCCCAGCGGGAGGGCGGTCGAAGAGAGGAAGTCAGAGGTAGAGGGGATGTTGTTCAAGGTCAGGCGGGCGTATTTCGGGGACGAGTTGCCTTGGTCGTGCGCGATAAAGGGGATCGCGGCGGGCGGGGGAAGATGCCGTTCCATCGTGGGGTACACGTGGTCCAAGTAGAACTGTGCCGGGGCATCGCGCGATCGAGGTACGCTGGGAATCTGTTCCGGGTCAATCTTGCCCTGGGTCGGCACCGCCCCGGAGACACCCATAGGCATGCCGGGCTGCGGAACCGGGACCTGGCCCATTGGCGCGGGCGAGACGCCACGCTGGGCCTGGTTCAGTCCGGTGTTCAGGAACTGTGATGCCGGCTCCACGCCTGGTTGAGGCATTTGGGCGAACGGTTGTGGTGGTGCTGCCCCCGGTGCTGTGCCGATGTCGTGGTGGGCGTGGCGGTGCTTCTTCCTCCCCGGACGAGCTGCCCCTCCGTCTCCTCCCATGATTCCCAACCCACTCATTTGAGAGTTCAGTGCCGCCATGGAGGGATCTACCGGCGGTGTCCCCGCCACCTGGGGATCGGCATGATAGGCAAATTGGGGACTCGGGGCTAGATTTGGCGGAGGGGGTTGCATCGGGTGTTGTGGGGAACCGTAGGCGGGGAATTGATTCGGAACGGGTTGCTGGCCATAAAAGGCACCCGGCTGAGGGGGCGAGGGACCCGGTGGAAATCCAGCAGCAGGAGGGTATTGCGGAGGGAACTGATGGGCGACACGGTTGGGGTCGGAGGGATCGTCAGCAGGCGTGCCGGCCTGCTGGTAGTGCTGTTGTTGATACATGGATGGGTCGGCCATGACGAAGGGAATGTCTCATTCCTGGACCTCACCAAAGAGACAGGGGGAATCCCACCAGAGAGAGAGGTTGTGAACGAACTGGAGGTAACAGAGTGACCTAGGCAAGGGGGGAATAGTAAAGCAACCAAGCACCAAGAACCAGGAGAGACGTGAAGTCATTCGGAGAATGTCGAACGAGAGACCGAAATGACACCTCAGTCAATAAACACGGATCATGGTTGTTCCGGGCCCAGCCGTTATCGCGCGTCCTTATCTCCTCCCTTATCCTTATCTCTCCATCGCGTGTTTTATGCTTCATTTTGTCTCTTCTCTCTCCTTTTCTTCTTCCTCCCTCTCATTTCTCTCTCAATCCATACAAAAGGGATTGTTTGGATAGTTGGGTTTTGTGCCGCTGGTTCGTTGTTGACGTCTTGGTACCGACTCACAATCTCGTCCATTCCTATGGTGTAAGTTCTAGGGCGAGGTTCTGCATACTCTTGTGCTGCTACTGCAAGGGCTGATAACTGGGTCAATTATAATATAAGCAGGCTCTAACCTACCTGGACTCTAGATAATCTTCCAATTTATGTCAAATATCAATATATACACAGAAGACGGATTCCTATCTACACTTTTAAGCCGACGGACGAGGTGGGTAAATCATCGAAACAACAGGTCAGCCAGGAACAACAAAACCAGCTCCACTGCCTTTCTTTCTGTCAGTCAATTTGGCTTCTCGTACATATACCGACCCCTTCTAATACTCGTTGTCCAGATCACCAACGCTGGTCGATCGCCCTACCCTTATCTTGAGCGGGGATCCTCACTGAAACTTATGAATTGTAAACAGACACCCTAGGAGGGGAAGAAGAAAACAAAAAGAAAAGGAAAAGCAACTTTTCAGCAAGAGGCCCACTGCTATTATGGCCTCAATCCACAATGACGACGAGCTTCTTCTAGCTCGGATTGGCTATAAACAGGAGTTCAAACGGGAATTTTCTAAATGGTCAACCATCTCCTACGCCATCTCTATCCTGGGCGTTCTAGGATCCGTCCCAGCGACCTTCGGCGCACCGCTGGCCGCCGGTGGGCCAGCTACGGCCGTATGGTGCTGGTTTATCGGCTCGTGCATGGCCATGTGCATCGGGAGCTCTGTTGCTGAGCTGGTCTCGGCCTATCCCACCGCCGGGGGCATGTACTTTGTCACCAAGCACGTCGTCCCCGAGGAGCATGTTCCTATTTTTGCGTGGGTCCAGGGCTGGTGTAATCTGTTAGGACAGACGGCTGGGGTCGCAAGTGTGACTTACACCGTAAGCCAGATGATCCTGGCCTGTGCTAGTATGAACTCGAGATTGGTGGAAGGCAGGTACTCATACTCGCCGTAAGTCGCATCGCCTTCTGCAATTGGGCGGCGGCTAATTGCAATAGTACGGCGCTGGATACGGTTCTTTTGACTATTTTACTTCTCTGTATACTGGGTGTGATCTGCTCTTTGACCACCAAGTCTCTGCATCGCATTATTCTCTGGTTTGCTCCGATCAACAGTATGTCACCACTGTAATTCCAGCTGGACCAACTGACATGGGACAGTCATCGCCACCGTTGTAATCTGCCTAGCTCTGCTATATTATACTCCCGACAAACAACCAGCCAGCTGGGTCTTCACCCACGTCACCGACGGCTCTGGATGGGGCTCCAAGTTGTTTTCCTTTCTGCTCGGATTCATTTCCGTCGCATGGACCATGACTGACTACGATGGAACCACGCAGTATGTCTCCTCTCCCATCTTCAAGACCCATGCTGACCGATATCCACCTAGCATGTCAGAAGAGACTCACGACGCAGCCGCTCTAGGGCCCCTAGCCATCCGTTCCGCCGTCCTAGTATCCGGTGCTTTTGGCTGGATCCTAACGGTGTGCATGTGTTTCTGCCTGACCGACTTCGAAGCCATCCTGCACACCCCGACTGGCCTCCCTGCCGCGCAGATATTTCTCAACGCTGGAGGGAAGACAGGCGGGACCATCATGTGGGGGTTCGCCATCCTGGTGCAATTCTTCACGGGATGTTCCGCCATGCTGGCCGACACGCGGATGGCGTACGCATTTGCGCGTGATGAAGCGCTGCCATTTTCCACGTGCGTGTTCCCACTATCTCCGGCCTTTCGCAGGCACGGTCCCAAGAATCAGCTAGCCTGACCCATTAGCACGAGATAGATTCCTCTCCCAAGTAAACCCATACACCCAGACCCCCATCAACGCCGTCTGGTTCGTCGTCGTCTTTAGCAGCCTCCTCACCTGCATCGCCATCGGCTCCACTGAAACAGCCACAGCCATCTTCAGCATCACGGCTCCGGCCCTCGACCTATCATACGTAGCGGTCATTCTAGCGCACCAGCTGTACCGTAAGGAGGTCAAGTTCGTCGAGGGTCCGTTCACACTGGGCCGATGGGGGCCCGCCGTGAATTGGGTGTCGGTCGTGTGGGTGCTGTTTATAAGCACCGTGTTGTTTTTCCCACCAAGTGTACCGGTCACTGCTGTGAACATGTGAGTTTTCGTCTTCGAACCCCTCTATTATCACGTCTGAAGAGTCCACCCAATTATTACCCCTCCCCCCCCGATAAGAAAATGCATATACTGACTACCCACCGTACCAGGAACTACGGTATCTTTGTCGGTGCATTCATTGCGGCATTCGCGCTGGTTTGGTGGTGGGTTGCTGCACGCGAGTAAGTACTTCCATCTTCTTCTCTCCCTCCACTTATCCACCCGATGGATCACATCCAAACTGACATATATGGTCAGGAGATACACCGGCCCCCAGACGAGCGACTACGTCCAACAGGTACCGACGGATGATGTTGAGAACGACTATGGCGCTATGCGTTGATTACTTAGAGATCTGGTCTCGCCTGGTCATCGTTCTTTCTGGGCCCGATTTAGCAGGTGTTGGGTATAGACGTATACCAGTAACCCCCCCCCCCCAATCTTTTATTCATGTTTGTTTTGAGTTGCAGCGATAGACGGGTCTTATTTTGGTGTGTTTCTTCTCAATCTACTAGCCAGTTACGAGCATGAACTATAGAATGACAGCGTTGCTTTACTTCCACCATGGCTCCAATGGGACAATGGGTATTGCTATTTTATAAAGAAAAGGAAAAGAATAATCGTCCGTACACGCCACCTGCTCTCATAGCTGATGCGAATACATACAATATCTTGTAAATGTTGAATTTGCGCCGTTTCACTACTTCAACCCGTGATTGCTTTTACCCATATATACTAGGAAAAAGATGGAATAATCTCGTAGGAAACTTGATTTAATAAGTCGTTCATTCTATCATCAATTATATACATAATACACGCAGGGATATGGTCACTCCTCCTTGAACGTAAGTGGCCCTTCATCCGGCATCACCACAGCGCGCATGTTCTTCGACATGGCAGTCATTCCATCCGCACTGCGCACCGACGCAATTCCATTCTCCGGCGTAGTATCGAGATGGCTTGACAACAACGGCAGCACCATACACTTCCACAGCACGGCGTCCCTCTGTTTGCATCCTATTGCAGTTCCCAGAAGCAGTGCCAGTGATCCCAAAGTAACAACAACCGGAAGAATGATCCATGGCCATCGAACCTGAATGAATCTCTCGTCTCGAAATGCCTTTCCGGAAACCTCGCCACCGTGCCCATTCTTGCGGAGGGTATCGGTGACGCTGGTGGACATTGATTCGAGGATTTCGCTGAGGTCAACCCTGCGTAGAAACGATTCCAGCTTCAACGTATATGATGTTGGTAGTTCGATTATGTCGATAGTGGCCGTACTGTTGAACAGGCTCATCATGAAAGGTCTGAAGTTGTTGAACGTATGGTACTCCATGCTGTATTTCGGGTTTCTGGATAGGGTTGCCGACCCCTTTGGTGGGTCAAAGTAAAAAGGTTCTAATGAGGAAATATCGGGCCGTTCCTCTTGGGAATCTTTCACAATGAGCTCCTGTGTATCAACAACGTGGAATGGACTGCTTTCTTGGGTGGTAGGCAGGTAGGAGCTTGCTGCGTATCGTCGTTCGCAAAAGTATACAGCACATTCAGTCACCACTGGCTTTGTTGGGGGGGCTGTCGCGTTGGATACAGTGTAGCGAACCGGGTCGACATAGTCTATCTCAATGAGGGAGACAATCGGGTCTTGAATACCCAAAATTGGGTAATCCGCCCTTGGACGTAAACTCCAATGATTCGCAAAGAATGTGACATTGTTAATTTTGTGTGGATCCGATACCACATCACCAATAGTCTCGTACTCGATGCGTTCGGAAAGTTGAAAGTCGAAAGAGAAGTTACTCGGGGACCGGTAGCTGCAATTCGTAGGGACTTGGATGAGGGCCGGGTGGATGGGGACACCCTCCCAGACAGGCACATCGTTTTCCACCTGACACTTTTGGTCTGTTCGAGCTGTGACATCCTCGCATTTGCTACACATCCCCAGTGCGACAAATTCTGGGAAGTCACAAGAGAGTGCATTGCATTGAGGCTCCAGAGGACGATGTGTCTGCATGAGGCCACTCATTATGGCAGTGAGAAGCGTCGGCGGAAGTTCAAGACTAACATCACTATGATCCAACCCCCCCATGGAAGTCCAATTTTGCGAGGCTTGGGTCAATGCCGTGGCATTCAGTGCAGGAACGGTTCGTGAAGGGAATGTCAAAATCTGCTGTGCAAATGGATCTACTGCAAGAGCCAGAACTGTAAGAGCTGCGCCAACATAAGTCAAGCTTCCTGTTCTCGACCCAAATATCCCCCCCAGTAAGATCTCCAAGGATCCCCAGGGTCCGCGGCTTGCCTGGTCAATAACCTGCATGTGATATAGTGGCGCAGGATCTCGAAACAGGCTCCATTTCAGCTGGCCGAGACACGAGGACACTGGGACCAGCAGGGCAGCTTTCGTGATGGTGACAATGATAGACACGACTGTATTAGGCGACGCGGTATATTGCCACTTCGCGTACGGGGTGTTGTTTATTGTGACAAGAAAGGCAACCAAAAGAGCAAGGCCCACGACGGCTAGGGTCACAGATCCGATTTCCCAGGCCCAGGTGTCGTTCCAATCGAGCCATTGTCGCTTAGTTTTGGTGTGTGTTTCCGGGTCCTGTGTATGTACAGTTGTATCATTTGTTTCTGAAAGGCCCGTTTCAGCGTCGCTGGCACGCCTATGAACAGACATGACTGGCCAGGTATTCAACCTTTCGAAGTCGAGATCAGGTTCTTTCTGGCCGTTGTGGCAAGTCGAATACGGCCGACTGATTGTGACTGTGACATCGCATGGCCCACCGAGGTAGGTTACAATAGTTATATGGATGTTGAGTAGTCTCCTTCAAGTGATGGCGGGGAAGCGGAGAGGTAAAGGGGTCATGGAAATTGATTGTGGCTATGGGCGGCTGAGCCTCGACAGTGACTATGGAGTTATGTCGATCTGCAAGATTTCGACAACATACTACATTTAGTCTATCATTGATGGACTAGTCAGTCCTTTCTCAGCAAGACTACCAAGCTGCTTGGGTATGGTGTCTAAATCTAGTATCACAGGTAGTTGCCAGTCCTTGCAAGTAGAGTATATACAGAACACTCGAGTAGTAACTGGTCGGCAGCAACGTTTTCGTATTTGTTTTGGCCCGATGTCGTCGTGCCAAGCGCGCCGGTTCTTGAAGCCAATGGACCACGCAGCCAATGTAGATCCAAGACCAAGAAGGCGGAGTTTTAGACCCACAGTTGCGTGGTGGGCTGAGCAGGTGTCAAGGAAAGATTCAAACTTGTGAAAATCATCTTCAGATATCAAACTGCTTGCATATTGATACTCTTTACCCAATCGAGAAGTCTCTATTACTGATCTTATTCTTTTTTAGTTATTCTGCTAATGCCATCATCTCAAAGATACTAAGAGTTGGTCTCATGAGATACTTAACAACCATTATAAATACAGGATATGACTTGATTGCATTGCATTGCACCCCATCCAATCCAATCTCCTAGCATAAATCGCAAGAAAGAACCAACAAGGTAAAGAAACTACTAACTCCCGGAAACAACAGCCAGCCCTTCATAGATTTTCCGCTTCACAGCTAGGAAACTACCCGTTCCGCGGCCCAGCCCACCGGTAGTAGCGGCGGCACCAGCTTCGACCTCAATGCGGCCGGTGCCGGACTTGCGCACCGCGACTGTCCCGTCGATGAGGAGGGTGCCCTCGCCGCGAAACTCGGCTTTGTGGCCGGCGCTCTGCATTAGGCGGCGCAGGTCTGCGAGACGGAGGTCGCCGACGTGGAGGGGGCGGGTCATGGACCGTGTGCCGGCTGCCATGTTGGCGGGGAGGATGTCGAGCACGGGGTAGATGTCTGGTTTGTCGGTTGGGTGGGTGAGGGTGGGTTTGCTTTCGGGGGCGGATGGCTCTGTTGTGGTGGTGTCGGAGTTGGGGTCGTGGTCGAGTTTTTGTTTCTTGCTGGAGGGTGAGTCGGCGGGTTGGTCTTCCTGCGGGTGTTTCTGGTCTTGCGGTGCGGTGGCGATGGAGGCTGCTTGGAGCTGTCCTGTCAGGGTGACGACGCCGAGGCTGCGGACGTGTTGCCATCTGAGACGGCGCACGAGGTTGTTGCTCAGCTTGACCATCCAGGCGTTGGTGTCGACGCTGGCGTCGACCATCTCGCCGTTCGCCGGCGTGAAGATGATGGCGGCGTCAGGGGCCGCGGTATCCGCAATGTCGTTTCCGACGCTGACGCCTGTCTTGGCTGCAAGTAGCTTGCGGCATTCCGTTGCCAGTGCGGTCGTCTCGTCCTCGCGGCCGCCGACTAGGATCAGTTTGCGCGGCTGGATTAACGGGATGAGCATCTCCAGGCTGCGCTTGTCGTGCAGTCCGCTGAAGTCGACAAAGGCGAGCCGCGCGTTGAACGTCAGCGCGTCCTTCTCGTAGACAGCCTTGGCGGGACCCTCGAACGTCTGCCCGTTTGCCTCGTCCTCTGATTCCACCGCACCGTCCGTGCCGTCTCCGTCGTCGGACATGCTCATAGCCTCGGCGTTATTTGACGCCTGCGATCGCTCGACGCCGCCGCTGCCGGGCGCACGACCGCCGTTGGGGCCCGCCTCGTCCCATCGTCGTTTCTGACCTAGCTTTGTGGGGTTCTCGAGGCGTCGCTGTTGCATGTCGGCTTCCTCGCGCTCTTCGGCCCGCAGGTATTCCTCAGGCCGGATGAACTCTCCGTACTCGTCCCGTTTCTTCCGGGGTGCCACGTAGGGGAACATGCGCTCGCGGCCCTTCTTGCCGCGGACGTCGTAGTCGTATACGTTCTTCCGCCGGAGAAGGACGTTGATCCCGAGGTCTTCGTCGCTGAGACCGAGTTTCGTGCGGTTCGCGTGAGCCAGCGACGTGGAGAAGTTCAGCACCTTGCCTTGCTGCTGCGAGTCTTCTGAATCTTCAGACGAGGAACTAGAGCGGTCGTCGAGTGCATCGGCGGCATTCTCTAGGTTTTCTTGGCCTCGTGCTTGGGAGGTGTCCTGGAGTTGGCGCTGGGTCGCGAGGTACTGCTGGTAGAGCATCTGCTCCCCAGGGTCGAGAGGCGCCCGCCGTACATTCGTCCAGGACATCTCTCGTCCCCCGCCGTGGACCTGTTCCAGCATCTCCCCATCTGCGGCCTTTTCCAGGGCCACCCCGTCCTTTCTTTCTTCGTACCACTCCCAAACCATGCTACCAAGCGTCTTCCTTTTAGGGTCCTCGGAGTGCTCAGAGGGCTTGCTCCTGTGGAATGACTCGGTGAGCAAAAGCAAGTTGTTCGATCCCCCCGCCACAACCTGCAGAGCATCTTTAGCCAACCCCCAGTCGAGCGAGGAGTCCGACGCCAGGATGACCTTGGGCGAGGGATCAGCTAGGATTTTCTCCAGTCGTTTCCGTCGTTCAATGAATTTAAGGTGTTTGAATGTGAAGGGTCCAGTTCGCTTCTCCTCGCCTTTGCCTTGGTTTTGACCGCCAGATCGCTGCCCGTCAGCTCCTGATCGAGACTGGCCTGTCGTCGCGTCCACACCCTCCGCCGCTTCAAACTCACGCACGATATTCTCGTCCATCCACTCTAGCATACTCCGCGCTAACCGCATAGTGGTGTGGGCTTTTTTGTTCGCCATATACAGCCCAGCGCCTTTCAGAACATCGTCTTGGCCGTTCCCCTCTGCAGCAGTCCGCCACGCATGCTCCAGTGAATAAACCAATTCCAGCACTCGGGCGCTGGTATCGGTGGGAATGAGAACCGTGCCCCCCCTGGCCACCGTGCTGCGAATCATGTCCAGCAACAGATCGTCGCGCTTCTTGCGGCCGCCCGGGAGCGCGAATTTGTCGCCACCCCGGGTACTGCACACCAGGGCCGTAGGCTTGCGCAGCTGCTCGATAACTTCGGTGCCGCTGGCACCCGAGCCACCGAACCAGGCTGCACCTGCGACGACACTCTCGCGCGCTTGGTTCCAGTCAACAGCGTAGACGATCGACTCCATACCATGCTGGATATGCCATATTGTTCCTCCGACCGTGTGTCCAGCATTGTAGGCCGTCAGCGTAAGGCCGTCCAAGGGGGGAGAAAACGGAGACGGGGACGGTTGGTGTGGCTGCGAATATTTCAGTGGTTGGATCAAAGAGAAGAAACGGGCGATCTCCTCGCCCGACGGCGGCTGTAGGAGGATCCGCCCGGCGTGGCTCGCATCGTTGTTTTCGTCGCCCTCTGCCGCGAATGCTACTGCCGATGTAGGGGAAGTGGTCGCGCCGGGTTCTGAGACCGAAGCCTTGGGTAGAAATGTCGCGGCCAAGGGTGACGATTCATACAGTTCTTGTAGTAACGTCCGACCCAATGCGATGATAGGACTCGTCGCGTAGACAGGGATTTGAGTGAAGAGGGGGAAGGTCTTGCAGCAGTGTACATAGGCACCGATATGGGCGGGGGTCGCATGAGTCAGGAGGATCAGAGATAGAGTCGGGATATGTCTGCAAAAAAAAATTCAAATGAAATATTCAATTAGCCTTCTGAAGAGACACATGTCTAGCGTAGGAAAGAATGGACGGAGCTTACTTCTCCAACTCCGCCAGGTCGAGCGGGTCAAAAGAATCATCCCAGCCCACATCCACGAGGATTTTGATGCCACCCTCAAGCTCCAAAATCGACTGCGAAGCCTTGGATGAGGCAGACTGTGCGCCTAGCAAGGGAGTGAAGGTGAACATGGTTCTTTGCGGACTCGGCCGTCACTCCTAGAGTGTTCCGACGGAATTGGCTTGGTAGCGCTGACTCGCGAATCATGGATAGACGAATAAAGCGAAATGTCGTGTTTATCGCATCGCGTAGAATGTTGGAATAAGAGCCGACAGAGGCCCGAATTGGGGGAGTTGTTGATCGGGTAAGGTCATGATGTACGGAAACCGATGATGATCGATCGAAGCCATTCGAGAGTCGTGTTTGTCGTGTTTGCACGATGCGAGAATCCATGTGTTTGCCTCAGGCAGGAAGATGGTGCTCCTTGCCCTAACATCTTGGATTGATCAAGAAGTCTACCAAACAAGTGTAAATTAACCCAATTCATACATACGACAGTCAAAATCAAAGCCAAACATCCTTGTACATCTCGATAAACATCACATCTCGATAAACATCATCCCATGTAAGCATAGCATATGAAATACAAATAACAACTTCAAGAGATCAAACTCCATACCCAAGAATAGACTCTTAGCAATTCTCTCTGCCAGAATGCCGCGGTAAATCCTATACTAAACCTTGGCTTCTGGTCCTCGGTCTCCCCGTTCCTCCTCCTGTTCCTCCTTCTGTTCCTCCCGCTACTTCACCGGCTCCGGCTGTTTTCGACTTTGGTCTTCCCTTTCCTCTTCGAGCGGGTGGGGCAGCTGATTGTGTGTCTGCACCACTGGCCGTATTATTGTCATCGGCAGCGGCAGCCAATGCTGCAAAGGCAAATGGCCTGTTTCCCGAAGGCACCGAGGGCAATGTATCCGGGATGTTGAGACCATCGGGGAGTCTCATCGGACCGGCCCATGGTCTGATCTGCTGCACTATCCGCTCTGGGAAGTGCTTTAGACAATTTCGTGGATTGGCACGGAGTCCTTCGATAAGCTGGCGAAGATCATCAGGCAGATGCTCGGTATCTGATCGTTCCCGTTCGGGCTCTCCTCCACATTGTTCACTCGGCCCTGCCTCAGGATTGACCGGCCGTCCCTCTTCATCCCTTAGATGAGAGAGGGGCCTCCCCTTGGTGTGTTTAATTTTAACGCGTTTGGTCTTAGCGGCGCCTTGTTTGAGCTTTGTTAGTGCTGGTTATACTGATTAAGGCGGAAATCAAAAAGGCAGCGACAGATAAATTTTTGTTACTCACCGAGAATTCCCGGTATCTCTTCCGCAGTACTTGGTCGAGGCTGTTCAGGCTCTCCTCCACCTTGTACACTCGGACCTGCGGCAGGGTTGACTGGTTGTCCCCTGGGATCCCTTCGGCGAGGGGCAAGCAGCCACTTGGAGTGCTTAGTTTTGGCGACGCCTTGTTCAAGCCGCGCAGTATCTGATAGAGTCGGCTCGGGCTCTCTTCTATGATGTGTACCTGGCACTGCCTCGGAATTGGATAATTGTTCCTGGGTATTCCTTAGTTGAGGAGCAGGCGGTCTCTTGATGTGTTTGGTTTTGCCGAAGTCTTGTTCAAGTCTTGTCAGAGCTGATTATACTAATAAAGGCAGAAATCAGAAAGGCAGAGACAAATAGAATCCCGTCACTAACCAGTAAGTGGTGCCATCACTAGTCGCGCAGCCTCTATCGCTGCTTCCACATCTTCTGATCGAGTTGGTGAGTTCTCTCCTCTACCAAGTCCACCCATCGCTGCCCAAGGATTGGCTTGTCGCTTGATGCGCCTATCTTTGCCGACGCCTTGTTCAAGTCTTGTCAGAAAGCTTATTACAGTGGTTCAAGACAGGGTGGAGACAAATGAAATTCTGACACTAACCGTGAATCCATGGTACTTCCAGTTCCGCAGGATCGACAGCGGTAAGCCCGTGGGGAGGGGTTTGCTCGTCGGAAGTGGTTGGTTCGTAGTTAGGGCTCAGGTTTCGCCGGGCTAGGGGGAGAGAAAGTTAGCAGAGCGGATTAAACGAATTGCGGGCTCCCATCGCCGATGGAGTATGTGATATGCAAGCAGGCAAAACCGCGAGAACAACCGTCCATTTGTTGGACATTGGTTGATTGACTAGCACTCAAGACAAACGGGGCTGCAAGATCCAAGCCACAGCCAGGCACATCGGCATAAGACCCGAACAGGGTGAAACAATGTCCAATAAGATCAACAGATGATTCTGAAAACGTAAGAAAGGGACATAGAAACATGTTCGAAACCAGTACGACCACTATAAATCAAATCTATTTGCACTCACCGTTGTCATCAGCCTGAGTATTGTCTTCCTCATTCTCGTCACCATAATAATCTTCATAGTCCGGCAAATCATCAGCCTGGTTATTGCCTTCCTCATTTTCGTCACCATAGTAATCTTCATAATCCGGCAAATCATCGGCTGGATCTTCATTTGCTGGAATAACAGTAACTTGGTTTTGATTAACTAGAAATCCATTAGCCGGAAGTTCATATGGGAGCTTGTGTTTGGCTCAAGCTACCCTGTGTCGACCATTGCGGAATGCGAGATACTTAGGGGCGTTCAGTCAGATATCTCCAACACAACACGAATATTCCATATGTATTGTACATACCTGCTCGCATTCCCAGTGAAGGCCGCGGAGAATTCGCAAAATAACCCTCAATGCCATTGGTGAGTGGTGGTGGTGGAGTTTGTCCTGCGAGAGCCAATGCGACATCTGGATCAGCAGGTGGGGGAGGCGGGATAGGGGCTCTGGGGCCCGGCGAGGATGTTGGACTGGATACATCTGACATTTCTTGTCGCACACGGTTTCGGAACTCCGGATCAGTCAACCATTCGCAAAGAGCCCTGTGTGCAGCGGGATACAGCTCTCTCTCGTGTGTTATGACATCGAAATGCCATACAAACCTGGTTGACCCGGGATATTCAGGGTCTGCACTAGGTAAGACCAACCAGCGTGGCCGCGCAGCGGTGTGACCAAAGTTAAACGTTACATCTTCAATGAGGCGAGTGAGATCAGTATCATCTATCCCCTGTGGTTGGTGAACCTGCGCGAAGCAGGTTCGGGCTTTCCGCATACTGGGGGCGCCACTCACCTGCAGGATTTACTGGCTCCGGTAATGCAGGAGCTGCCACTTGATTCTGCGGGGTAGACGATAGATTAGGTGATCTTGCAGCATTAGGGATAGGGCTGTTCGGGGAAATTTGGTGCCAGTGGCCATTTTCTGGCCTTGTTGGACGCCAAAGTAGACGGCAGTGGTGCCTTTGCTGATGATTACGCTACCTTTGAAGGACCAGCGGGAAATTTTCCACGCCCATTCGATTGGAGTTGGGCTGTAGTGTGCCCTGATTTCAAACCCCTGCCCATATTTCTCGGTAGTGGTTCTGGCATCTTGAGGCTGGTAAACGACGATGAAGGATTACTGTGATATGTTAACTTTCCACAGAAACCCAAAAGAAACGATGAGTGTACAGACGTTGTAGGCCTTTATGTTATGATAACAAACGAGTTGGTCTGCGGATTGTGGTGCAGTACTGAACTGTATGCTGTAATGCTGCCACGCATCTGGCGAGGGATATTGGTCTTGATATATTAACATTGATCTAGGAACTTGTTCAAAGAAGAAGGCTTCCACAATGGTACCAGATTATCTCGCAATTAGAGCAGGAGTCCTGTACCGGCTTGAGCCCGATCTATTCCTGTCAAACCGACAAAGAAGTAGCAATTACTGTGCCCTTGGCAGCAAGGTGAGAGTGGCTCAGACATCCCACGTTCTTTGTGAAGGTAAACAAAGGACTCAATCACCAGGTCGATGCTAAGAACCCATCCATCAGTTTCGCAATCACACAAAGAAAGCCCCGCGACAAGTTGTCCAAGCAAACCTTTTCTCGCCTTCTTCTCAAGCACGACATCAAAGACTTAACAGTCTACTTGTAGGTAGAAGGGCCTAACGTTTGGCGGCCTCCTCTATGCTTAGCCCCGCCGCTCTATATCGAATCCGGCAGGGATCTTGGAGAAAATAATGAATAATGCCGAAGACTCAACTTCGATCCGATCTTCACATTGCTTTGAATCTCCCTGGGTTGCCGAAATAACGAGCCCATTGACTCCAACAGTATCGTCCAATACTGGTGCCCCAATCTTGACCCGGGGCAGCGAGACGCAAGTGACGAACAAAAGAACAAACGCCCCAGAGCGTTAGTAGTAAAAGCGGCCATGTTTGGGAGATTCTTTATTACATTAACCCAGGGATTACCACCGAACCCGGCTCTTTCTCTCTTCTTCCTTTTCTCTCTTTTTTGTGGTTCAAAGAGAGGACATGTCAGACAGACAGCCGCAGTTGGGACGAGTGCCTGTCACCCGACGCCCTACGTGTACTTCTCCAAGTACTAAACTACCAAGCCCTACATAATACAGTGCTCTCTCCCCCTTCCTCCTTACAAGCCAAATCATCCCCATCGTGAAAAGCGATCAAAACAGAGATATTTGCACATTTAATACACAAGATATGATCATCACGGAAACCACTCAGGAGCAGCCCAACCAAACATGGGATAGCGAGCGACGAATGCAAACCCATGCTGAAAATGCCCCGTAACAAAAAAGGAAAGGATAGGATATAATTAGACAAAACATAGACGTCACCAAAAAGAGATAAAAGACCTAGGCGAAGAGAAGTTTAGCAATAGATACGAGGGACATTAGTGTATGTCTGTCTCATTGCCAATATCTCGGCTCGTCGAAGACGTGGTAGCGATGGCCACGAACGCCCTGTCCGCGGAACAGTTGCGGGAAGCGGAGGCCCTCGGGAACCATTTCCTCCGGGATCATCATCTCTTCTTCTGATTCGGGCTGTCCGACGACGAATTTGCCGACCTGTTGGGTGGAAATTATTAGTGGGGTTTTCCCATGGGGAGGGAGGTATGCATACCTGGATCTCGGTGTCCGTGATCGAATCGCGGCTGATACGCGCGTAGCCTGTTCTCTTCAGCTTCTTGTAAAGAATGTACTCGCACCAGCGGTCCCAATCGGTGTGATCGATGTCCTTCATGCCGCTGATATCGCTGACGTAGGTGTTGTAGTTGCCTTCGAGCGGCTTGGTGACGAGGTAACTCAGCAGGACCAGAGGGCGGTCGGACGAGCCCATCAGGTTCGAAAGATACTCCGTCTGGAGACGGCGGTCTTCGGGGTCTTCTTCCTGACCGGAGTGGAAGACAACGACGTCGACCATCTCACCGTACATGTCCAAGGTGGCACTGATGGCCGGGGCGAGTTCACCCACGGGCGAAGGGAGCAGGTGGTGAGTGGAGTTGACGATCGGGAACTTGGACAGCAGGGCTGAACCCCACGTGTGCTTGTTCGGTCCTGGGCCGTAGTCGGCGTACATGCCCAGTTCCTCGGCCAGAGTCTGCGTGACATCACGGTTGCCCATGATGATGCGCTGGTTATCGGACTCGAGAAGGCCAATGACGTCGAGCTCGAGCTCCTGGATCACATCACGCATGCGGCCCTCCGAGGCCCACATGTCGTTATCCAGGCCGAAATGGACGGTCCAGATACCCATCGTGGCGACCTTGTCCTCGGGATGGTAGGGCGTGTAGTTGTTGGTCGGGAAACGGAGATATGCCACGGCGACGGCAATCAGCTGCAGGACGGCGAGGATGTAGATGTAGTACGACCGCTGCTTGCGACCATTAGGGCTGATGGGCTTGTGCTTCGGGGCGGACGAGTTGGAGACGGCGGCCGAGAAAACGCCAGCGCCGATGCTCAGCATGTTCGTAATCATGAGCCAGTCCGTGCGCTCCCTGACCAGGGGTCCTCCCGGAACGAAGGCGTACGCGACGACCCACACGTGGAACAGAATCATGAAGATCATGAAAACGCCGCCAATGCCGAAGGAGGTGGCAGGGGGGTGGCGGACAGCCGATCCGAGCAGGACTGGCGTCACTGCCATGATGTAGAATCCGAGAGTAAGAGCACCGTAGAATCCGGCCCAGTGACTATAGCAGGTGAGGAAAGCCGCGCCCAGCGAGCCGATTCCAAAGGCGGTCCAGCTTCCCGCGACACGGGGATAGTAGAGACCGAACACAAGTCCGGCACCCATGACGAAGATGACCAGTGCGCCGTGAGGGGCGGCGATAGGGCCACGCACGGGGAAGCCGTCCCAGACCCAAGCGATCATGGTGCTGGATTCGGTCAGGAGAGAGAGCATCGTAAAGAAAAGGCCACCGACACCCAGACCGGCCAACGCCCCAGACCCTTTCTTGCCGCTGGACGGAAAGTAGTCCCCTCCGCTGACGGAAGGCTGTCTGTAAGATCGGAGAGCGGCCAAGATGGCCAGTGCAATGCCAACCTTGTTCCAGCCACCATTTTCGGCATGCATGATGGGCCACACCGGGTTGTTAGTTCGGAATGCGAACTTGGAGACGGTCGACATGATCAATCCAAGACCCCACCCGAAGATCCGGGTCTCCAACCGCGCGCTGTTGGCTCTCTCGGCGTACAAAGTAGCAGCCCACGTGATCAGGGTGCACGAGAGGGAGAAGATAGTCAGGAACAGTCGGTTGGCGGGGTCCTGAGTCTTATAGGCGAAAAGTCCAGAAACCGCGAGGAACTGGAAGACACGAGGACTCCGGATGACAGCGGACCTCAGGGCCGGAATTGCAAGGAAAAGAGGAGCCGCATAGGCGACAATGGCCACTTCATATCCGGAGATACCCATGTGCCACAGGGGGAAGTCTGTTGCGGTCAGAAATCGGGACTTTTGTTGAGATGCGCCACCACTTACACCAGACAAGAACAGGCAGCGCCGTGCACATGCTCCAGAAAACGAACTACAGATGTCAGTATGAGTGGGCCAAGGCAAAAAGGTTACGCATGTAGTTTTACCCCGTTATAAACATCTGCAGCGGCGTCGGCGACTTCACCCCAGGAGAAACCCTGACCGAAGGTGTTGCCCACAGGCTTGCCCTTCCTAGCTACGAGTCAACAGGTATTCGTGGTTTCTGGAAAATGGATTGGACGCACTCTTTTTCAAGGACGGAGTCCGCAGTAGTTTTCAACTGCCTGAAAAGGAAAAGAAATCTTAGACCATGTGTTTCTTGTATAATAACCCTGCCTTTGCAACCGTACATTTCCCATTTCTCCCATTTTTTTTCGGTTTTATTTCGGAAGCCACTGTACATACCCTCTGCTGACCCCTTTCACATCCCTGACCACGATTTCAAAAGTCTCAAAGTCAAGCGCAGTGACTGCATCAAAGCCAACGTCGAACAGAATGAGGGACCATTCGAAGAATGCGTATTTCGTGTAGGCTATCAACGCCAGTTAGTCCATTGCCTTCCCCATACCTCGACGGCAGTGTACTCACCTCCGGCAACCTTATGAACCTTGTGCTGGATAAAGAAGTAAATCAACGGCACCAGGGTTCCAAAGAACAAACTGGCCATGACCTTGCGGTACTTAGCCGCGCGGCGGTTCTGGCTCAAGGCAAGACAGCCCAGAGTCCATGGCAGCGTCGCAACCAGATAGGAGATCATGAAAATATCATGCCAGTCATGGTCATCGGTCGAAGTCACGTAGGTCCAGCCTCCGCAGGTAAACGTCCGGAACAAACCGACACCCGCGACCACCTTCGGCAGGGTCGACTTGGGACGCGAGGTCAGGATATACCAGAGGAAGACGAGGGCGAAACGGGGACCGGAGGTAATGGCGATAAAGACCTGGAAGAAGGACCGTTCGGGATATCTGTCGCCAATGGTGGCGGAGACGGACGGAAACCATTCATCGGGGTAGCCGTAGTGTTCGTTCTGGACGATCTTCCTAAAGTGCAGCGACATTCCCACTATCAAGGCGCTGAAAAAGGCCAGGTAGGCAAACACCGTATGCGTCCAGGTGATCCATTTTCCGTTGATCTGAAGACTGGTCAGTGCATATGTCGCTTGAAGCCCATGGCTGTGTCAGAAACCAACCGCTACGACAGCATCCCCATCTTTGATCCTGGGTGCCATGGCAGCGCCGGAGACGCAGGTCGATCTGCCGTCTATGAGGCAAATCCGAACAAAACTAGAACAGGAGAAAGAAAAGGAAAGAAAAGACAGGCGAACGAAGGTCAAGAAGAAAAAGTCAAAGAAAGAGAAAGAGAGGGTAAATGGGATCGCGGCAAGTAACAGAAACAAAACCCCTGACTGACTGAGGCCAACAACGCGACAATTCCATTGAGGCTCGGCAACCACGCGGGTACCAAGTAATATCCCCGCTAGATCCCAAAGGAGCAGGCGGTCAGTTGTCATTGATCGGAGGTTCAATGCGGGATGCCGACCACTTTTCTCAGTCTAAGCCATTTTTTTTTTTATCTCCGCTACCAGTGTCTGACAGAGGAGCCAACAACAACCATGTCAAACACCACGGATAAGGCACGCTTCTTTTTAGAGAAGTCGGTGCCGGAGTTGAAGGAGTTTGAAAAGAAAAAGATCTTCAGCAAGGTATGCATGTCTCCACCGTTTTATACTCTGTCGCGACCAGAGGAATGGAATGACCAACAAGTGTGTTTTCGTCTTTTTATAGGAGGAGATCACGTCGATCATCAAGAAACGGTCCGACTTTGAACACAAGATCAATGCCCGTGGTGCGCAATCCATCGACTTTGTGCGCTATGCCCAGTATGAAATGAATCTCGACAATCTGCGGCGCAAGAGAGTGAAGCGGCTGGGAGTCAGATCGACCGGGTTTTCGGGGCAGCGACGGATCTTCTTCGTCTTGGATCGGGCCACGCGGAAGTTCCCTGGGGATATCGGATTGTGGGTTCAGTACATCGAATACGCCCGCCAGCAGAAGTCATACAAGAAGCTCTCCATGATCCTCACAGATGCGCTGCGTCTCAACCCTACGAACGTGGATCTGTGGCTCTATGCGGCGCAATACTCACTGGACGAACATGCGGACATGACCCAGTCGCGGAGCTACATGCAACGGGGGTTGCGATTCTGCAAGAGTTCGAGGAAGTTATGGTTGCACTATGCCAAGTTGGAATTGATCTACATTGCCAAACTCTTTGCCCGACAGCGGATCCTGGGTCTCGACCGCGAGATTGAAGCGCCCAAGGATCAGGGCGCTTCCCTGGACGACCCCGATGCCGATATGATTGCGATGCCGCAGATCACCGAGGAGGATATCAACCCCACCGCTGGCGGTACGGACGAGGCCAACCAGCAGGCACTGCAGACCCTCAGCGCGACGCCGGCCCTCACTGGTGCTATTCCTCTGGCCATCTTCAACACAGCACTGAAGCACTTCGACAACGATGACCGGTTCGGCCATGAGTTTTACGACATGACTCTGGAGTTCGAGGATCTGCCCTGTCTGCGCCGGATCCTCGAAGAGGTGGTGGAGACGATGCGGGCGACGAAACCCGCCAGCCCCCACACGCAGATCTGCTACATCCGGCTCCCGACCGCTGGGATTCGGGTCACCTCAGCCGAGTTCCCGCGGGCATTGGGCGCGTCTCTGGGACGCCTCAAGGAGAGTCAAAACGACCCTCGGGTCGCGAAGGAGGTCATCGGCTGGCTGCAACCCATTGCGCAGACCGAGAACCTGGATCCTGCACTGCAGACGGTCCTTTCTATCACCATCCAGAACGCGGAGCGGGTCCTTCCCACGGCGTAACTGGATCACCTGTGCTATTCGAACTCCGGCGTTATCGGGGGGCTGTTGTTGAGAGAGTAAAACATAATGGTGTTGGGAATTCGTGCATTGTTTATTCGTCGGATCTGCCCCGGCGACTAGCCTTTTTGCTGCTGAGAAACTTCTTTGTCTTCAGTCTCGTTTCATTTTCAGCCTTTTTTCTGTGTATACCGTCAGTGTGATATCCTATATAGTCCATATCCAGCAGACATGAATGGAACTATCCAAATAGAAAAGGGAGTTCAGAGAATAAGAAAAAAAAGACGGAACATACAATTTGGCCACACGATCCTTCTGAGCCTGCGACGTCTCCCCAGGAATCGCATCGTCGGCGGTGGTCCGAAGCAGCTGGTAGAGCTTGTCATAACAGGCATCCACATTAGAGGTCTGCTTGCGCGACTCCTGCGACTGAATAACGAGCGACTCGGATCGTTCCGCGAAATAGCGCGACGACCGCAGTGGACCGTGCAGCAGGGGAGGCAGGAGCGGCAGGAGACCATGGAGGGATATTTTGAGGGTGGCCTTGGAGTTGACCCTAAAGGGAGTTGTCATTAGTGAGTGGCTTATAGCGGTGGGCTGGATTGGACGGGTCCAGGCTTGGGGGGTGTAGGGAAGGGGGGGAGGAAACGTACTTGTTGACGTTCTGACCTCCTGGGCCACCGGATCGACTAAAGGAGATTTCGCAGAGATGACGCGGGATGGACTTGGAGTCGAAGGTGGACAGCCACCGTCTGGCTTCGGTCACGTCGTCATCTGAGGGGGGAGTGGTCGTGTTGGGTAGGGAAGCGGTGCGTCTGGAGGCGAATGGTCTGAGGGGGGTTGTGGGGAGTGGATGGGGGAGCCAGGAGGGGGGAGAGCAGCGTGTCGTTAAGAGGATACGGCCTGGTGGAAGGATCATGTTGGCATAACCTTTCTTTTCTTTTCTTTCCTTTTCTTTTGCTTCTTGTTATTTTTGTTATGTACTTTCTATGTTTATTTGTCGTGGTTGGCGTTGACTTTTGTTAAAGTTTTGGTGGATATACCTTCGTAGTGGAACGAAGAAAGATGGGTGGACATTGAATTAAAGATGAGGATCGCTGCTAAGAATAAATCAGTTGTAGTCCGGACTGCTTTGAGGATCTTCCAGCTCCAACACCAAGCTATCTCCATGGACCCATTCTTGACTTGATCCTTAGGTAATGGATTCTACTCTGTATACGGAGACACATCGGAGACACGTTCGAGAATCTCCTGATCAAAACTGGTTTCCCTACACGAACTTGACAGTCTATAGCCTATCATTCCACCTTCAGATAACAATGGCTTGCATGTTGGAGTCCTGCTGATCTGTCGTGAGTACTTTTGGTTCCTACATAGTATATACATGGTGGTACGTGTAATGGAACGCCACTCTTTCCGCCATACACGTGTACTCCGAGCCACAATATTCCATAGTGTTCTAGGGGATGTAACAAGAGAACTAATGTATTGGATTGATTAACTGGGATTCAATAAGTAATGATAGTCCCATCTATGATTGTTAAATCCGAGAGAGGTATGATTAAAAATGGGTAATACTAACTATACTAATTAAACCTACATAAACTTTATCTGTAAATTACCAAAACCCATTCGGAATGAGTCACTTATTCACCGAATTACCGAGTCATACAGTATCCTTTACTCTCTCTCTCACTTCCTTCCTATATTCTCTCCATGTTCTTTCTAGAATTTCACACAAACCTGGTATTTCAGTGACACCATGACTAATCCCTGACCAGCCTCATATCTCCAATTCTTCCTCCCGACCTCGCCGGATCATTCATCAATCCTCAATCCAGTAAGTTCCGTAAACCACCAGACTGTGGACTCGGATACACTTCGCTCTATTTACTTTCCTAGATCCACATCTTAACCTTCGCCTCCTCCTTATCAGTCTTCCTTCCCGGGTTCTACAACTTATATCATTGTTCTTCTCTCCTCTTTCCACCCTGTCATCAGTTGTCCCATCTCCTCCTACTTCCCTACTACTTACTCACTATTACTCCCTTTCCTCCCCGTGCGGATTGTCCCCGACACCAGATCGGTTCCCCTCCCCTTCTTCTCTCCATCGCTTCCTCTATCCTCGTCTATCTTACCGGCCCGGTTCTCCAACGCCCCGTTTTTTTTCCTACCCTTTTTTTTTTCCTTCTTCCGATTATCCTTTCCCTTCTGTTCACTTTTCCTAAAAAAGATAGCCCCACCTTAGCTTCGTCGATTTTTTGAAATCTCCCTCCCCCCCCCATCGCTGGTGGTTTCTGGGATCTTATTTCCCTTCCCCTCCCCTTCTTCCTTCCTTCTTGTGCTTCTTGTAGATGAATCGCCTCCTTGCCCGTGGTCTACATGACGCCCAGTTCCCCAGATGAGGCTCTCCACTTTCGAGGCAAGACCCTAACTCCTGAGAGCCCTCGTCCGCTACACGTCGCGGAACCGACCAGTATCCCGGTGCTGCAGAATCAAATGGACCCCATCTTCAACGATACCTCTACTTATGAGCAGTCCCCTCGTGACTCTTTCGCCCCGGGCAATTGGAATTCCCAAGCGCAACAGAATCATATTCCTCAGTCGCAAGGTCATCATGCGGGGTTGGGAAGCGTGACGACCCAGGATCGGGACTATGAGACGGGGATGGGTGGAGGACGGCAGCAGCCACAAGAACAACAACAACAGCAACACCAGGCAAAGCGAGCACCGCAGCATCCACAGGACCAAGGTAGTTCCCACATTGGCTCTTTTTTCACGGCAGATGGATCGGCGACCTGGAGTTATGATCGAGTGTCGGTTCCATCCAGTCAGCCTGCAGTTTCTATGGAATCCCAGAAGCCTTCAGCAGCACCAGCGGAATCTTCTCTAACTACATATCCTCCGTCAGATTATGCCGCCTCCCAGCTAGCGTATCCCTCCCCCGATGTCCCTCCCTCTTCCTCTTCCCATATTACCCACGGCGTTTCCCATGCGAACGCGGTAGACCCCGCAGTCACCACCAGCTGGGCAACCCCGTCAGCGCCCGGTCGCCTAGATACTCAAGACTCCCACCGTGACGCCCGTGGGGAGGACGGTGTGGACTTTCAGAACCTCCTTGATAACCTTCCACCCTCATCGGCTGCCCCTTTTGCCCCCGCGGTCTCGGAGACGGCCCCCATGTCTGCCCACGATGCGGAGGATCCCACTCAGTCTGCCCTCGGCCTCCCCCCTCGTCCCCCTCCCCAAGACAAGCCTTCCATCCACCCCAATTACCATCCCGGCGACGATATTCGCTCCTATCATCAATTTCAGCCGCCGTCGTCTAATGTGCAGCCCACCCAATCCACCCAGCAGAGTAATCATCCCCCACCCAATGCAGGGCTGCCCGGGGCGGCGGCGACGGGAGCCCCCGGGACGAGCGCGGCCGCTAGTAACTTGCCGCCTCCCCCCGCGCCCAGTTTCCAGCAGTCGTTGCCGGCCGAGGGCCAAACGCCCCGATCCCCTAATAATAAGAATACTCGCGAGGATAGACAAGCGAACCGTCAGCCCAGGGCGTCCGGTGATGATGCCCCCTGGGGTCCGGAGGTCCAGAAGAAATATGACGAGTTCCTGCATAATGAGCGGATCTATGTGACGGAGGGTCTATGGGACCGTTTCCCGCACGGGTCGAGGTTGTTTGTTGGTTCGTCTGGCTTGGCCCTTTTCTTGTTGGTGTGGATGTGTTCTAATCCGTCGTCCGTTTCCTCCAGGCAATCTTCCCACGGAGAGGGTCACCAAGCGTGATCTATTCCATATCTTCCACAAGTATGGCAAGTTGGCCCAGATCTCCATCAAACAGGCGTACGGATTTATCCAATTCCTCGAGTCCGGCTCCTGTAAGCAGGCTTTGGATGTGGAGCAGGGCGCCGTCGTGAGGGGGCGCAAAGTTCGTAAGTACATTCCGGATGGAACAACACGCGCACTCGTCTCTCTTTGCAGACAGCTGATTGGTACTATCCCTGCCAGACCTCGAAATCTCCAAGCCTCAGCGAAACACCCGGCCTGGTCCTGCCCCAGCGGAGCCCTCGCGGGCTCCTCCGCCGCGGCGATCGAGGTCTCCGGAATACACTCGCGGTGGCCCCGGCGGCCGCAATCCCCGAGGCAGCGGAGACCGGTACGAGCGGGCGTACGAGTCTCCCCGCTTGCCGTTCAGCGACTTTCGCGACGAGCCGACCCACCGCAGACGTGATGACTATCGGCCTCCCCCGCGATCGCCGTCACCACGGCCGTTCCGCGGACGGGATGGATACCGATCCCGAGATCGGACTCCGGAGCGCTATGATCGACGGGACAGGCGGCGCTCGCGATCGCCGTTTGCGAGAGACCGGAGGTTTCGGAGTCCGAGCCCGCGGGGCCGTGGTCCGTACGAGGGGGATTACGAACTGCCCGTCCCCAGGCGAGCTCCTCGTGACGTTCCGGAGGTGCAGATTCTGGTCTTGGAGGATGTCGATCGGTTAGTATTGACCCCTTGCGAACCTTGATACGTTTTACGCCGGTACTAATGTGCTTGAAATTCAGCAATTTCATCTTTTTCGTGGAGAACGCCTTTCGCAATCGGGGTCTTCGGGTAGATGTCCTGGCCCTCGGGCCCCGAATTCCGCTGAACGCGGCCGTCCAGCGTCAAATCAGCGAGGGCGTGCTGGCAGTGGTCCGACTGGCACGACCGAACCAGTTCTCGAGGAAGATCCCGCTGCAGGTGTTTGATCGCAGTGCCGGGGTGGATAACGTGCGGTTCAACGGTGAGTCGGCCTGCACGAGCTGATGACTCCTCCTGTCCGTGAATCTTGTCGCTGATCATTGCAATAGAGTACCCGGATGTTGAGCCCAATATCGCCGCCGAAATCGTCTTCCACGCCCAGTCGCTCCACCGCAGCGCGCCTCCGACTCCTTTCCCTCCTCCGCCTCCAGCTTTTGGGGTCCCTCCGATGGCGCCGGCTCCGATCCCATCGACTCTGGTGCCGCCGGTGTCGATGCCTCCGGCGTCGATGCCAACCCTCAATAACCCAGCCAATGTGGCGAACCTCATCACGTCGCTGGATGGCCCGACCTTGCAGTCTTTGTTGAGTACTTTACAAACGCGGCCGCCGGCCGTTCCCGCCGCACAACCCCCCTTTACCGCGGCGCCCAATGTTGGGGGCCCTTCCGGGGTGGATCTCGCCAACATCCTCACTGCTGCCACCCGCCAACCCCTTCCCGCCAACCCCCAGCAGGCAGTACCCCCGCAGCCCTTCCCACTGCCCCCGCGTAATGTCCCGGCGGTGTCGGACCCGAATCTGTTGGCGCTGCTTGCCAAAGGCTTGGGCGGACAGCCGCCGCAGAACCAGTCCCCGGTTGGTCCTCATGTACAGCATTTGATGAACCAGCTGGGCAAATGGAAGCAATGATTTACGAGATTTTTTTTCCCTTCTCTTCTTCTCTCCTCGTTTCCTCTTTGTCTCCATGATTCCCATGCATTTCTTCTCTCTCTTTCCCTCTCTCCCTCTCCTCCTTTCATTTGGGTCCTTCGCGGTCTTTTGCATATGGTGTCGGGCGTTGGTGAGTCATTTATGATTGAGGACTTTATGACATGGGATTCTGGCCGGCCATCGATAATGGCTATGATGGCATTGTTCGTTTGGTTTTCCTTCTCGAGCGCCCCTCGAGCGCGGTCTTGTGCTAGTAGTGTGTTAATGTCTCGTTCGAAGCATCAGACATGCGCGTCTCGAAGGAAAATGGCCTCTACCTCAATCGCATGGCGAAGTGTTATTTGGCTTGCTTGTTTCATGCTTGTTCTCTGTGTAATAATCTAGCATCTAGCGTTTACTTGCAAAATGGCACACAAGTCGGTAGTTTTGACATGCATTGACGTTGATATACATTGGATAGTCATTATGCTAGGTAGTAAGTAGGTATTGTACAATACGAAGATAAGAGTACCTTCGATCTATAAAACAGCATCACCATCGTTCCCTCATTGCTGCCTTCCTTTCCTTGTCTCTCTGACCGCATCGGTTATTTCGACCCAGACCAACCCTGAGTCTTCAAACTGGCAGCATCCTCCTTCTTGATCTTCTCGATCGTCTTATCCCGGTTATATTCCATCACGCGCTTCTCCTTGAAGTACTTGACCTGTTCCGGCGTCAGTATCCGATTCGAGAGACACGCGCAGAATTGGATTAAAATGAATTGGATTGCATTCTGAGGAAGACGAGCATACCCAAGCCTTAGCGCATGCGCCCTCAAACTCCGCCAACTCACTCCCGCATTTACTCTGCGCTTCCTTCTCGTTCTTGAGCGCGTCCAGGATGTTGTTGTTATCCAGACAGGTGAAGAACTTATCGCGGCCTTCCCAGCATCGTTCGCGGGAGGTGCGGTCCGGTGCGATGCGGCCGCCGTCGGAGGCTTTGGAGGTGTCGGTGGAGGAGGAAGAGGACCAAGGGAGCCAGCCCATGTTGATTGTTTCGGATTTGAAAGGGGAGGAAAGAATGAAAGAGAGAGAGAGAGAGATTGAGTGGTGGTCTTAAGATGTTTGGTTTGAAGGTGCCGTTGGATGGATAACATAACGTTGCGGCGGTCTTGGCGGAGCGGGCGGTTCTGCCTGGGGCGCTAAGGCCTGTTTAGGCATGGTTCTGTTCCGCTAAATCCGACAGAGTGTCTCCGTACTGTTTAACTGTTAACTATCTTGATTCTGGGGATGGACTAGACAGCGGAGATTCCTATCTATTTACTCCTTTCATCCACTCTCCTATCTGCCTCCGCCCTAATTTAGGAAGAGACTAAGTCTTCTCGGGGCTTACTATCCACGGATAGCTTCTTTATTCCGATCCAACGTGCATGTGTCCCATCCCGCAACCCTTCCACCACCCGACCTCGCTGGTCCTGCGCCAGCCGCAGGATTGATCAAACCAATCCACACCACCTACCTGTCCGTGAGACACCCACACAAAGTTGATGCCGGTTCGTCGACGGCGTGCTGCGGGGGGCGCCCGATCCGAACTGCCGCCGCTGAAGATCGTGCGCAAGATCCTCCTGCTACAGCTGGCTTACTATGCCTCCGCGACGGTTTTGATCTTGTTTACCACGCTTGTTTACGGAACACCCTTTTCGCTTGATCTGGTCTTGAATTGGGATGCTATTCGTGGGGATACGACTATTGGGTGGATGTTGGGGTTCGTGTGGGTGTTGAATAGTGGGCTGGGGTGAGCTTCTTCTCTCTTTGTTCTCGACGTCTTCCTGCGGCATGAACTAACCCTCGCTTTCATCTCAGGGTGATCTTCCTTCTCCTGCTTGTCGTCCGATCCAAGCTGATCCCCGACTTCGCCTTGACCATCCACTTTCTACACATCATCGCTACCACCCTATACACGCATTCGATCCCTCGGAACTGGCTCTGGTGGGGTCTCCAAGGCGCCAGCGCCGCCCTCATGACCTTCCTCGGAGTCTGGGCCTGCCAGTGGCGCGAACTCCAGCCCATCAGCTTCGGCGGGATCGGAGGATCCAGCAGCGGCAGCGGCTCAGGGCCGTCATCCCAACCAGCCGGAGACGACAACGGCGAGTCATCACGCGGTCGCGGTCGCGCCCGTGATCTAGGCGGCAACGAGTACGAGATGGGCGAGATCAAGGTGACCGGTGATCAGGCGGTATAATCCCACTTATTTTCTTATATATCTTCTATTTTCGATCCTGTCGTGTGTGCCCATCTCTTCGGGAAGGAGGGGGAGCATTGATCTATGACCTTTGATGTATACCCTACTGGCTTTCTGGGACCTGTATAGATGGCGTTCCTTTTTCGGGGGTTGCTTCGTGTGCGGTACGATTTGATTTCGTTCTATCTATTTTGCTTTGTTTGGTGTGGACGAGATTATCTTCTTATAAATAATAACTACATATATGGTACATAATAGAGTCGTGATTCCAATTAGATCGTGTATCTACGGACTTTCGTCCGCTGCGCCTTACAGGAACATCTGGGCCTTACGGGGACAGCGACACCTTCAACAATCCAATCATTACGCAGTGGGGGGAGGTGGGGAAACCTCTCGACCAGAGGGATAAATTCCTACCTCATCCCATTTTCCTCATCAAGATCAATCAGCATCTAAGTATACCTTCTATATATATCTACTATCTCCCCAATCACCAACAACATGTCAACAACAACTTCAACAGCAACCACCCAACAACAGCAAGTACACATCACCGCACCACCCAACCAGCAGTACTCCCCCGCAGACAACGATGCAACCTTCCAAGCAACAGCGCGGGGCGACCGCAACGGCAGACTCAAACTCCGCGGTATTCCCACCTTCACAGACCGGCTCGCCCAGCGCCAGTGGATGAAAGAGCACATGGCAGCTGCATTCCGTTTCTTCGGCAAGCAAGGCTACGGCGAGGGCATCTCAGGCCATATCTCCATGAGGGGTGGGTTTTGTCCCTCCCTTTATTCCTGTCCCAGGAATAAACTCCTAATACTACACTCAACTACCCATCTAACCGGCTAAATTGAGAATGATAGACCCCGTCCAAGAAGACCACTTCTGGATGAACCCCTACGCAAAACACTTTTCAGCGATGAAAGCCTCAGACCTCGTCCTCGTCGATGCGGAGGGCTACGTCGTCGATGGCGGCAACCAGGCGCCTATCAACGAGGCGGGCTTCATGATTCATTCGGAGATTCATCGCGCGAGGCCGGATGTCGTTGCTGCGGCGCATACGCATGGCGTTTATGGGAAGGCGTGGAGTGTGTTTGGGAGGGGGATTGAGATGTTGACGCAGGGTTTGTCTTATCTTTTCTTCTTTCTTTTTACTTTTCACTCCTGTTTTTGGTATTGCGGGGGAAGAGGATTGGATGGGATAAGTGCTCACTGAGACACAGATGCATGCAACTTCTACGGTCGACTAGGCGTCTATGATAGCCATGGGGGAGTGGCACTGGCGCAGGAGGAAGGCGAGCGGATTGCAAAGGCGCTGGGTGAGGAGAATATTGCGTGTATCTTGCAGAATCATGGGTGTGTTCTTTTTTTTACCGTCGTGCTCGGTTCTATGTTTCTGGAGTAAACTAACCCACCAAGTCTTCTAACCGTCGGCCGTACCGTGGACGAAGCCGCCTTCCTCTTCTCCAGTCTAGATAACTCGTGCCATGCGCAGTTGCTCGCTGATGCGGCTGCTGCGAATGGTGTGCCGAAGAGGGTCATTGATCATGAGGTTGCGCAGTTTACGGCTGATGCTGTTCAGAATCCTGTGTGTTCCCCTCCTTCCCTATACACGGATATATATATCCCTCCATAAAGAGGTAAAAGAGACGTGTGTACTAACTGCCTTAGCACAATTTTTATACCGAGTTTCAACCTGAGTTTGACCTTATTGTGGAGGAGTCGAATGGGAGGGTTCTTCAGTAGGGTTTGCTTTGGTTGAATAATTGAATGTCTGTTATGAATTGCAATGAAATGAAATTGATTGTGTTCAATGTTTTGTTTTATCTGGTGATCTATATCTTGCTAATATCCTAGAGAAGCTGTTTTGATGCTTGAATATACAGCTATGTATCTGCTTGCTCGGATTACTCTCTCCAACCATCGTTTCAAGTCCAGCTCCTGCAACTTTGGACCGTCTAGATACATGCAAGTTGGACTCGCCGTCGTGATTGCGTTTCCTTGAGACCCAAGCCCTCGAAATCCACATGTTGAAACTATCAGTCTGACCGTATTGTCCGACGCTCCAGCACTGTCTTTCATACGAGTGCCTTGTTCGACTACTGACCGATAGGCTCTTCTTTGTTGGACACGGGTCCTTGAAAGAGCCTTTGATTTACAAAGTCATTAGGTCTTTGTTTGCCCCATACTGGTCTGTCCATTTGTCTCATCTTGTCTTGGTTCTTTGTCCATACCTCTGAACAATGATCTTGTCACGAAGTGAACTATATGACTCGTGTCACCTATAAATGATCGTCGCTGTCCTTGAGATCGAATCCATCAACTACAATCTACGAAAAACGCCCAGCATGCACGCCTGCAAATCCCTCCAAGACCTCCCGATGGACATCCTCCTGTCAGTAGCTGACAACCTCGATCTACAGGGTCTCTTCACCCTCATCCACACCCTCCCACACCTAGCACCCTACCTTAGCACCGCTCACATGTCTACACAGGAAATTGACAGGGGGACCATACTGCACCTGCTCGCCGAAGAGCACGGCACAAGGATCGACCTGTTCGAGACGGCGGTGCGCAAGATCCAAGGCCCCCAAATCAACGCCCAAGACACCTACCGCCGCACCGCCCTCTCCACCGCCATCTGCTTCTACAAGATCTCCATGGTCGGCATGCTCCTGCAGCACCCCAACATCGACGTCAACCGCCCCGACAAGTACGGCATCCCACCGCTGCAACTCGCCGCCATCATGGGATCCACCTACATCATCAGCATGCTCCTCGACCACGACAGCATCGACACCAGCCTCCCCCTCGTCCCAGGCGGCCAGGCCCTCGCCACAGCCGCCCGGCAAGCCCTCAAGGCCGGCCAAAAGGACCAATACCACGCACTGCTCGAAGGCCTCGTCACCCAGACGCGGCTCCACGTCGACGACCGCAACAACTTCAACGGCACGCTCCTCTCCAAAGCCGCCGAAGCAGGCGACGCCACAATGGTGAGTGTCCTCCTAATGATGCGAGACGATGACCTCGCCAGCAGCTCGCGCACAAACCCCACCCGCCGCCCCCTCATCAACGTCAACGCCGAGACCCACAGCAGCTCGACCCCCCTCACCTACGCCCTCATCCTCAACCACAAGGCCATCATCCAGCAGCTCATCCCCCGCCCCGACGTCGACGTCAACCTGCAAGGCTTCTGCCGCCCCCCACTTACACTAGTCATCCTGCAAGGCGACACAGACACCGCGAAGCTGCTTCTCGCACGGGGCGCCGACCTCAAAGCCGACGCGCTCGATTTCGCAGGCCGCACGCCGCTGTCCTACGCCGCGGAGTGCGGACACACGGAGATCGTGCGGCTCCTGCTCGAGCGCAGCGACGTCGACCCTCACCGCGTTGACAGCGAGCGCTTGTCCCCGCTGCTGCATGCGATCGCCGCGGACAAGTCCGACGTCGTGATGATGTTGCTGTGCCGTGGGGACGCCGTCTGCTGCTCGTTCGACCTGGTCCTCCACTCGCCGGCCATCTACTGCGCGATGCTCGAGCACCCGGAGTGGCTGGCGTTGTGGCCCCGCTGTGATTGTTTGGGCTGTGGTTACTATCATCTGAATGATCCGGCTTATGTGTCTCGGCCTGATTGGAAGCAGTATGTGCGGGACTATTATTTAAAGTAGTAGTTTGGTATATTTATTAGACTTATAGATTCAAGGTTGAAAGTAGAGATAATAGAAACGTCTGGTTCTGGTCGTATCTGCATTTCATAGTAGGTAATATGACGGTGATGCCGATCACCCGACCGCTTGCTGTATCCGGTCTAGCGCATATCTTATCGTCTACTCTCTACGGAGTATCCGTACAGTACATAATTTTGCCTCATCTTGTCATCTATTCCAATTCACGACATTCGCAGATAGAAAACGATCCATTCAATCCATACGGATATACTACCAGACTTTACAGAACGACACCCAGCGAAGGGAGAAAAGAAAGAGAAAGCGAATTGAACATGGCCGCCTCACTAGCCCCCGAGTGCAACGAGATCAAAGAGTGCGTTTGTCCTAGTCTACTGAGATTATATCCTATCGTCTAGTATATCCTATTCTTCTATTCTCCACATGAAGATGGATACAAAGAACGAAAGAAGAAAGAAGAAAACTCAAGACAAGACTTGCTAACATGTCCCCCAGGAAATACGATACCTGTTTCTTGAAATGGTACAGCGAGAGTATGTCTCTATTCTTTTCTTCTTCTATTCTCTCTCTTTATTATGCGCGTTGTGTCTTTGATTCGTTTCGCGGATGATCTTCAGACGATGTATACTAACGAGAGACTAGAATACCTCCGAGGAAACACCACCTCCAATGAATGCGAGGAGCTCTTCTCTAAGTATAAGGCTTGTTTGAGTGTATGCCCCCCTCTTCCCCTCTTCCTCCTCATATATATATATATATATGTGTGTGTGTGTGTGTGTGTGTGTGTGTAAAGAAAAAGAAAAGGAACAATACTAATGAGACTAGAAAACCCTCAAAGACAAAGGCATCGACACGATGCTAGAAGACGTGCGCAAGGGGAACAAGGAGCTTGATGCGGAGTTTCTGAAGCGTTAATTACTTATTTATTTCTATCTTACTTACTATTGATTTACCTATTGATGATTTTGGACTGTTTAAGGTTATTTGAGGTTTTGTTTGTTTGTTTTTTGGTGGTTGATTTGCTACTCAGGCATTGACTTCGCTAGATGGGTTGCATTGTACTATATATACAGCGTGATTGATCTGTATTTGTATTTTCTTGGGTTGGTTTTTTGGGTTGGGTGCTGCTGTGTATATCATCTCTCTTCGCTCTGGCGTTAACGTCTCTTATTCTTATCATTGCCATCTCATTTACCTTACAATCGATACACATGATTATGGTCAAGCTCCCGCATCGTATATGAAAGATTAATTAAGATTATATCATACATCACCGATGTCCCCTTCTCCTCAAATCCCCATGTCCATGCCCATACCCATACCCATGTCCATACCCAGACACCTTAACCGCCCCATTCGCCGACCCGCCCATCCCACCCCCAGACGAAGACGACCCGCCGCCTCCCCCACTTGGTTTCCGCGGCTGCGTCAGCATCGACCACACCTCGGCCATGCCGGCGCGGCGCGCAGGCAGCATGCTGTACTGCATGCTATACAGGTTGCGGCGGTGGATGGGCGGCACGAAGCGGCCTGTCATTAGGCAGAAGATGACTCGCGGGGAGAGGTAGTGTTTGCGGAGGCGTTGACCGAGTTGGAAGTATTGGTCGAACATGGCGCGGAGGGCGAGGGGGATGGACTGTTTTGTGAGTATTTACTTTACATGTAGAAGGAGGTGAGGGGAGGAAAGGGGAAGGAGGTTACCTCTAGGTGGATGTAGGGCTTTGTGGATGGTGGGTCGGAGGTTTTGTCTTGCTCTTCGCGGAGTTCGAATCGGATACCGCCTGGTTTGGTTAGCTGATCTGGACCTGTCGACAGACGGAAAGATAGGAGAAAGTACCTGGTAACCGCCGCGAGTCCTTCACGCGCAACATTAGCGCAAACAGCGGGAAGTGGTTCAAAAAAGCAAGACACGTATCGAGGGCCGCCTTCACGGAGATGATGAGCATGCGCGCTGTAGCGAAAGCGAGGTAGAACACGATGACCGTCGGCAGGAGGAAGAAAAGGACGGTAAAAAGGATGGTCCCGATGAGCAGCTGATCCAGGTCGTAGTCGCACGAATCAATACGATTGCGGAGCACGTTCCGCTTTTTGCCGCGGAAGAGGTGGAAGAGGGAGATGATTATCGTGAGCTGCCAGTTGAAGATGCGCGCAGACGCGATGTAGAACGAGTAGATGTGGACTGTGAGGATCGATACGAGGTCGGAGAAGAGCGCGATGGGCATGCTGGCGCCGGCGAAGCTGGAGCATCCCACGACGTAGATGATGTGGGGGAGGTAGGGTTGGAGGTTGGCGATACATGCTGTTTTCGTTAGTGAGGACGGCACAAAGCGAGACCCAAGCCACTTACCTGCCCAGTTCTCAATGACCCATAGAAACAGGTCACCCAGAAAAGCTGCGAGCTCATTGTTGAGCTTCAGACCTGCCGGCCAGTCCATCAGCCATGAGATGGTCCGCTGCAGCCCCTCCACCGTCCACCCAGTGAGGACGGTGTTGATCTGGAACGCCACCCAGTGCGCATTATCAATGATATATGACCCCAGCGCGATCCCGATAATCACATCATTAGCAACCAGCCACAGACTGTTGTAGAATCGAATATAGTCCGGATGGCTGGTGGTCACGCTCTCCCAGTTATCCTTCCTCTGCCGCAGCTTGACATACTGTATGGGCCAATAGCAAAACTGCTGGAGTCGGATATCCACCTGCTGCGCCGTCGCAGATATATCTTTCAAAGCCGCCGCGTCAGGACGAGCGCGCCATTCAAGGACCTGCAGGACGACCTCGGCGATGGTACGGTGGAACACCAAGCCGACGACGAAAACGCGAGTGGCCACGGGCCAGATCCATTGCCAGAACACGTACGACACCCCAAGGATGAAGAGATCCCACAGCGTGCTGGCAGACTCCACCACGCGCTCGCCCACGCTCATGCTCCTCTTGACGCGGATCCCGATCAGGTGGCTGTTCTTTTCCATGAGCTTGGCCATCTCGTATGCGCAGTTGACCTGGTTGACGATGAGGGGCAGCGCCTGTTCCTTGGCCGACGGCACATGCTTGACAACCGTATGGAGCTTGAGCTTCTCGACCAGCATCTTAGACTTGGCTTTGTCCAACTCCTCCTCCGTCTCGATCTCATCCGCCAGCGCATCCGACTTGTCCACCGCGAGCGCCTTATCCCCGAGTGCCAGCGAGATCGGATCCAACGACATATACTCCATCCTCGTCGGATGGGGGCGATGAAACATGATGACTTGAACCGAAAGGTTGGTCTCCGGCGGGCAGTGTATCCGGGGAACTTTGCTCGAGGGGTGGGTCGTCACAATTAAATGCGAAGGATTGAACGCCGTCGTCGGAGGTTCTCTCGGGTTGGTCGATCCCAGAACATGCATGGCAGACCGGCCACATAGCGTGAATATCCGCACTATCGGATGGGGGCTATTGCGAAAGAGGATGCCCGCACGGAGCGCATTGTCGACATTTCGAGGCTATCCGACCCTCCCAAAGGAAACCGTCAATAAACCAACCTCAAAAACCTTTATCCCGCGCGCGGCGAACCCACCTCGACATCCTCCAGCACAGTCAACACAAACAGGTCTAGCTCCGAGTTCCGCCAGCCCACGATCACCCCCGGCGCCGAAGACCTCGGTAGGTCGTATGGCCAGAATACCCGCAGCAATCCATCGCTCATGAGCATGTTGTCATCCTTCGGCGTCGATCAGAAGGAGCCTCGACGGCGGAGTTGTTCGCGAGCAGAGACGCCCAGATTCTCGTAGCGTGGGTGCTGTAACATCGGCGATCAATTAGCCTCCACCCCAGTGCGCGCGCGCGGAGTCGCAAATTCCACCATAACATACCAATTCGCCCTCCCTCGCAGCCAAACGATTAATGGGAAGAACCAAGAGGAAGAAAAAGACCGAGAGGAGCAGGAAGCCCTTAGCCGTTCGAGTCTGGAGAGTGCGCAAACCCATTGATTAGCTCCGATCATGCAACACGCTCCCCGAGCCAAGTCGGGGGCGGCGGGGGATTCGCGAGGGGCTGTGCCAACATACCACGACGCCGTGATCCCACGCGAAAATGGCCAATTCGTAGAGCCGAGTGACTAGATCCCACCTCGCGGTGATGTAGCCAGCTACGAAGATTCCGAGAGTGAGGATGGAAAAGGGGTGCATGAATTAAACTTGTTGTTTGTCGGTTCAGGTTGCGCGCATAGCTGGTTTGGGAGGAATAGGTTCGACAACGATATCAGAGGGACAAGCAGATCAGAAAGAACGACAACCGCAAGGAATTAAATGAAAGGGAATGAGAAAGACGGGTCGAGGGAGGTAGGATGGTGAGCGAGGGGGAAGACGACGAAGATGTTGCTGTCCCGCATAACATCGGGACTCTCACCGCGGAACACGTGATTCTATACATGGCCTCGACCCTGCAATACTTCAACTCGAATATAAGTTCATGGTACCTGAAGAATGATATAAAGAATACTATAAATAATTTGAAAAAGTCGATCTATATTCCATCATTTATCTCGCAGACCATTAATTCATATTTTAACAACCCAACGCCCAGCCGCTATAAACCGAACAAAGCCCATCCAATACCTATCTATCGACTATAAAGTCTTAATTCCCTGAAACATCTTGTTCGCCTGCAACTTCTCATCCGCCTTGACGAGGTCGCGCATGATCTGCCGCTTCTCCTCGACAGAGAGGTCCTTATCCTCCGTGTTCGCCTTCCACTTAAGCAACATCGCCTTGAGCAGCGCACTGCCCTCCTCGACCTCCTCCGGCGAATACGGATCGACGGCCATGGCGGACTGCTGCTTCTGTCCCTGGTTCTCCGAGGTAGTAAAGTCCTCGAGCTCCTCCGCCTTCTGGCGCGCCATGTTGACCACCTTGTCAGGGAAGCGCACGAGCTCCGCGACGTGGATGCCAAACGACTGGTCGCAGATGCCGGGCTCGACGCGGTAGAGCAGCGTGACTTGGTTCTGCTTGGCTTTCTCAGCGTCGGCGTCGGCGTCCTGCTCCGTGCCGTCCCCGATGAAGGCCACGACGTGCAGGTTCTTGACGGACTTGGGGTACCGGTCGGCAAGGGCGGTTAGCTCGTGGAAGTGTGTGGCGAAGAGGCCGAAGCAGCGGATCTCGGTGACGATGTGCTCGGAAATGGCCCAGGCCAAGCCGAAGCCGTCGTAGGTGCTCGTGCCGCGGCCCAGCTCGTCGACGATGATTAGAGACTCGGAGGTGGCGGACTTGAGGATGTTGGAGGTCTCGAGCATCTCTGCCATGAAGGTCGAAACGCCCTTGAGCTGCGAGTCGCTGGCGCCCACACGGGCCAGGATGCAGTCGAAGATGGTCAACTCCGCCTCGGTGCAGGGTACGAAGCAGCCGGTTTGCGCCATGAGCGCGATCACCCCGATCTGTCGGATGTAGGTCGATTTGCCGCCCATGTTGGGGCCCGTGATGATCAGGAAGGACGACTCGTCGCGGACGAGGGCCACGTCGTTGGTGATGAACGAGATGTCGTCCTGCATCTCCATGCAGGGGTGGCGCGCCTCCTTCAGGACGGTGTTGCCTGTGCCGCGCGGGTGGATCGTGGGGCGGACGTACGGGGTGGGGGCATGCACGGCCGAGTGCGCAAAGCTGACGATGACGTCCAGGTGTGCCAGCACGCCGGCCAGCTGCTCCAGCACGGGGCAGTACGATGCGGCGACGTTGACGACCTCGTGGACCAGGCCCGTCTGGGTTCGGTTGTAGTTCGATGACAGCTGGTCGTGCTCCCGGCGGAGGGACTGCATCCTCGAGGTGGTGAAGTACACGCCGTTCTTCTGCGTCGAGCACTCCTGGTAGTGCTTCTTGTTGCGAATGCAGCCGGCCTCGTTGCGCGTGAGCCGGAAGCACCACCCGTGCACGCGGTGGTTCTCTAGAAACAGCTTCTTGTCCATGTCCTGGTCGAGATCGCTCGCGACGGTGCGGTGTTCCGTGTGCATGTCGTGCCGCAGCTTATCCAGCTTCTTGCGGATGACGCGCAGGCTCTCGTCAAACTCGGGCTTGATAATGAACTCGTGGTTCTCCAGCGCATCCAGGTCGACCGTCGTCTCGACCATCTCCTCCAGCTTGGCCAGGCTATCCGAGTGAGCCCGGAGCTTCGCCCCATACTCAGCCTCCAACGGTGTCTGATACTTCTCATCCATCACATTCTCCAACGAACTAACAAAGCCCGGCAGACGGATAGACACCTGATACACGCGCACCACATCCTCCAGATTCGCCTGCTTCCGCTGGAACCGCTTCGCCAGCCGATACAGATCAGGAATCGACCGAAGATGCTCCTCCTGCATGGTCTGCCTCAGCTCAGTGTTCTCCACAAAGGCCTCCACCAACTGCTGTCTTTTCAGAATCTCCTGCCGATCCATCAACGGCTGCTTCAACCACTGCGCCAGCAGCCGACTCCCAACAGGCGTCTTGCAATGATTCAGCAACCCAAACAGGCTCATCGTGCGCGACCCGTCCCGCGGGCCAGGCATAAGATTCAGCGCACGGAGCGCCGACGAATCCAGCTTCATAAACTGCGACAAGTCATGCTGGTAGAGCTGGTACTGGCCGAAATTCGTCGGGTCAGACATAACACCCAGGTACTTGATCAGCGCCGACGCAGACCCCATCGCCAGCTTCAGCTCCGTCTGCGGCAGCGTGCCCGCAGACCGCTCATCCCGCAGCAGCCGCGTCAGGTCCTGCTCGATATCCTTGACGCCAAAGTCGGCCACAGGACGCTCCGAGATCGCAATGCCGCAGCTATCCGCGATCGTGCGAATCTTCGCCAACTCGGCGTCTTTCCTATTCACATCCGCCTGCACCAGACACTCCTTAACACCGAGCTGGATAACCAGCGACTCGAAGTTCGAGTAGATATCATTATCCAAGAACTCGCTCACGCCCAGCTCGCGCACACTCGCGTCCGCAAAGCAAACCCCCACACTGCGTCCCTCGGCCGCCTTAGCCGAGATCCGCACGGAGAGAATAATAGGCGCCGACTCCGCGGAGAGCCCACTGCCCACACTCCCCAGCTCCTCCTCCACATCCTGCAGATTCCCCGGACTAGCCTGCTTCACGAGCTTCCACTGGCCCTTGCCAGCACCGCTAGAGCCCCAGATCTCAACACGCTTGTTCAGACGGAAGAGCGCCTCGCGGAGAAAGTTTCGGAACACGGTAACGCTCATCGTGACGGAAGGGAGACCGCCCGTCTCGCTGCGCCCGAGGTTTCGGAGCACGGAGGTCGTCTTGTATACGGTGCGGGCGATGAATTCGGCTTCGGCACCGTGCGCAGAGTACCAGTCTCCGCGGTCGAATACGCGGATGGTGTCATTGTTGTTGTCGGTTGTGGAGAGGTTGCGGTAGAATCGGATGAAGCCGACTTCGTCGTCCACCTGTGGAGGAGGTCAATCAACAAGGGTCTTGAGGACAATTAATTGTGAATTGCACTTACTCTTAGATCTGGTCGGGAAGACATGGTTCCAGCAGTGTCTCTACAATATACAGTCGAGACGGGGTTTCCAGCTGGGTTGGAAGAGATGAAGAATGTCTTTCCGGGTTGAACATGATGTATCAACTGTTGGCGACGCCACGACGCGCGCCGCGGCATACGGTCACGTGGACCCGCGTCGCGCCGTAAGTGGTTTCTGCCTCAGGCTAGAAAATCAATCATGGCTGCCGATAAGATTACTTGCATATAAATACGAAAGACAAATGTGATCCATGTGTTCGACTCAATGCTATTATTCATATAGACAATATAATATGCGCTAATAAAAAGGAAAAAGACATGCTCATGCTACTCGGTACAGGTAAAAGATGTCATCATAACGCCGCACATGAGGTATCATCCAAAAGGAAATAAAACAAAAAGAAAGAAAAACGCTATCCAACCATGCATTATACCCGAGACTCCAGTGTAGATGCATCTTCCTCCGCCAGATTCAATTGACACGCCCTGGCCCCGATTTCCTTCGGATGGACGTCGGAACATGACTTGAGGACGACGGTCTTGACCTGGTTGACGGCGACGAGATTCACCCAATGACCAGCGACGTCCGCCCGAGCCATGATCTCCAGGCAAATCTCGACCTCGCGGTCCGCGATGGGATTCCGCGTCGAGTGCTGGACGCTCTGGATGATGTTTTTCATCCGATGCGGGGCGCGCTGGGCGGCCGCCATGGCTGTCGGCCCGGAACCGACGTACCCAACGGGCCGCATCGACGCCACCACGGAAGCAACCTCCTCCACGCGCTGCGCCGCGGCCTGACGGAGGAGAGCCTCCTTCGTGGGCGGCGGCGGCAGCTGAGACTGCCGCATCTGCTTGCTTTTGATGCGATCCAAAAGCCCCATGCGGCGGTTGGTCGTGGCCCCCATCGACTTGTCAGTCGGGGCATCCGTCTGCAAAGGCTCCCGCTGCTTCTCGGTCTTCAACCGGATCACCCCGCCCTTCAAATCCTGCAGTCGTTGCTGTCCCTTGCGAAAAGCCGTGAACGGAGTCAGCGACTCGTGGACGGTCGCAACGCCCAGCGTCGCGATAAAATCCACCCGGCTCTCGTCGCCCTCTGCTGCGTCCAAGGCCTTCTCCCAGAGCAGATCCACCGCCTGCTCGAACTGCTCCTGCCTCTCGGCTTCATCCAACGTATTCTTCTGCCCGGGGCGGTTCACTCGCTCCAGACAGACCCGTCCCAGCCCATAATTCGCCAGCCGATAGCCAGGGCCCGAGAAGTCCGCCGCTCCCTGCTCGCTAACCCAGAGCAACCGCTGCACATCCTTTACCGTCACCTTGCGCTTTTTCCACAATCGTTCAACACTGGGCATAACTTCTCTCACGTCCGCAGGCGTCGAGGGGCCATGGTGCGCCGCGTGGAACGTCATCGCCTTAAGGAACGCCGCATGCAACCTCAACAGATCATGCACCACCGGCGGCCGCGTGTCGAGGATCTCACAAGTCGGTTCCTGCGCAGAACGAGCCCTGGCCCGTTTCGAAGGGGTATTCGGAGTCGCGGGTCGGTCGGGCCCTCGGACACTGCCGGACGCAGACCGCGTGGGAGAGGCATAGTGGCCGCTCCGGGGGGTCGACAGGTGTAGCTCACTGAAACGCAGCGATTTGGACGGGGTCTCGGCCTGGGCGGGCGCGGCGGCGATAGCGTCGATGGTGGCGGTGGTAGTGGTGGTGGTGGTGCCTTCCCCCTTTCCGCGGGCCGTCGTGGTCGGACTCCCCCCGTCAACATTTTCCAGCTCATTGAGTTTCCGTTTCTTGGAAGGCGACGCCGACAGCTCTTTGGCAGATTGGCGAGTAGAAACCCCAGGCTTGGTCGCTCTTGCAAAGCCCTGAATGCCAGTCTGTCCGCGGGCAAGGGCGGCAGCTGCCTGTCGGGTAGAGGTGCGCGGCATGGCGACTACCCTGTTCAGGGAGGATTAAAATAGAATAGAATTGATTATAGACGAAACATAGAGGGAAATAAGGCAGGTAGGTATGCACAATGGTAAGTTGCGATGGGTGGGTGGATTATTTGGTATTATTTGTTATTGAGGGAGAGAATGGAGCTGGAGAGGGAAAAGGGTTTTCTTTTGTCCCCCGAGTGGAGCGCGTCGCGCGGGGCGCGTGTTGGCGCGACGGGCCGAATCGGGTTATATTATTTGATCGGTTGGAATCTTGATGGTAAAATGATATGGAAATGAGAAGAAATCAAAAAGAAAGAGGAAGAAAGAAAAATAGTGATTTTGATCTTGTCAAAGATCTTATTACCATGGGCATAATGCATTATATACCTGAGTCAACCCAGCACTCCCATCCCTCCGGTAATCAGGGAATGCAGCATTCCTGGCACGGAGGTCTAGATAGTATGAGGTCCATGCACTTTATCCACAATAGTTGTGTTGGAGACGGCTTAAGCCACTAGACTAGACACAAAGTATACATCCAGAATCATATACACCCAGTCTCCGTAGATACTACAACGCCTATTATTCTACCATCCAGCAACCAGTTCATCAGACATCATAATTGAATATACAGTACACATACAACATCAAAAGTAAAGTAAAATAAAATAAAATAAAATAGAGCAAGCAATCTGCGCCCACAATGAACAATTATCTTAATAGTAGCAGCAGTACACCACCATCTCAAATGCACCGGCAGACCATACTACATACTACCTGGGCAATTCCGATGATATTCATGACAATGACAACCTATTTTCCAAACCACCCCGACACCTTCCCCTTCGCCTCAGCCGCCTTCTCCTCAACCGTCTTATCCAGCTGATCGATCCCCTCCCGGGTCTTAGCCGTCGCGTCGTGGCGCATCTCATCCAGTTTGTGGATTCCCTCCTGGGCGTCTGTGGTTGCTCTGGCGCGGGCCTCTTTTGCCTGTTTCTTCGTGAGTCATGTATTCTTCTGAAGTTTCTATTCCCAGGTCGAGAGATATGTCCAGGGACATAGGAGTTGATGAAGAATGAGGGAAATGTGACGTACCGCCTTATCCACGTTCGAGCCCAGTTCAGCACCGGCTTTCTCTGCCGACTTCTCCGAATGAGGGAGCTGGTGTCGTGCTTTTTCTACGTCGACTGGATCGGGAAGACCATCAGTTATTGCTCAACATACCGTAGAACACAAGGTGTCTATTCGAAGAGAAAATAGGAATGAAAGAAGGAAACCAAAGAGGAGAGGGAAATACCTCGGATCTTATCCCCGGCCTTATTTGCATCCCCACCAGCTTGGTAAAGGTAGTACCCAATTCCCGCAAACGCAGCGAGACCACCGTAGAGAGGGGCGCGGCTTTTCGACATTGTGATAATCTGATGCAGGGAGTAGATTGATAGGTTGTAGGTAGGTAGGTAGGAGTATGTAGATAGAATGGTTGGAATGACCGGTTAGAGAAGGGTGGTATTAGAAGAAAGATATAGACAGTTTAAAAGAAAAAGTAAATGACGAGCTTAGGAGAAGCAGCAAACTTAAATACCCAGCAGGCCACCAGTCTCGCAAGAAAGTCCAATCAATACCTACGTCAAGGCCAAACCTGGAATTGGAGGAAAAGGCGCGCGGAGAAGCACGGGGTATGACGTCGACTGGGACGCAGGTCCAGTTCTGCGCTTTGACTGGCCCCGACTTGGGGTTCGAACCACACTGGAGACACTGGCTTGCTACCTAATTGATTACCTCACTAGGTCTTGGTCGAGACGGTGTACACTGGATGATTCAACGGGTGGTCGCCGATTGGTACTGATGGGGTGGTTTCCGATGGAGAAGTGTCGGGTGTGGTTTCATCGACGTCACTTGGTTATTCTTGTTTGGTGAGACTTTGGCTGTTGCATGACTTTATTCAGATATTTCTGTAGCCCTGACACCATACAGCTGTTCGCTCTACACAATTCAACCTACAAGAAAGAATCAAACGGACCACTGTCTGAGATAAACTACCGACTTTACACGACGCTGATCCGCAAACAGATGTAGTAAAACAAGCAAAGCCACCCCACGACCACAGTAGGAAATTCCATCACCTGAACCTCACGGAACTCGGATTCGAGGCCGGGGTATCTTCATGCTATGGACAATCCCAGCTCCAACGCCAAACATGCAGGGACCAGCAACACCCGCCGATAGAAAGGGAACACCCGAAAGAAGACTGGTGGTCGGTGAAAACAAGGAAACAAACGTGAGAAAAGTGGAGACGGCGCAAAGCCCCGGGAAAACGAGATATATAGGAATCGGACGATGAATAAAAAAAAGATAAAAAATGAAGATAAAACAAAAAGGCCCCTGTATTGACAATAAGAAATCCGTCGCGTATGCATCAGTCATCAGTCATCATATCATGAAATTCCCCCCAACAGCGATATACCGGCAAAAGAGAACTTCCTCCAAACGATGGGCCAAGGGTCTAAAAACTCCAAAGCTATGTCCAAACGAAGAGATAGAATGAGGGTGTAAAAACGAATGAGAAGAAAAAGCGAAAAAATCCGGTGGTCCTTAATATACAACACCGGCCGAACAAGAATCAGAAAAAGAGGGCGCCAGTTGCCAGTGGCGTCCACACTAGAGCAATGCACTTCGACAGACCGATCGAACGGATCGCATCCGCAGCTGTTTTTTGTTCGGTTGGTGTTCTGGGCGTATGCTGGGTATGCTTATATGTATTGATTTTCGCGGTCGAAGTGACCGTCCAAGTGGCCGCCTAAGTAACCAGTCTCGTGGGCCCACGATTCTCATTCGTCGCCACAGCCACCAGCGCCTCCAGCCGATCCATCCCGGATTTGCGCTCAGAGGCATGACTGAACAGGTCGGGCCGCGAGTCATGGGCGCCGTGATAGCCATCAGGCTGGGGTGCCTGCAGTGCAAATTAGCGGCCTGGTCGTCATCGAAGGTCCGGGTAGCGGGGGCGTACTGTCTGAGACGTCTCGGACGCATAGGGGGTATGATGGGGCTCGACGTATCCGTTGTTATGCACGATGGCGGGATGATACTCGAGCGACGCGGTGGACGGGGTATGGACCCCCTCGCTGCTGCTCGAATCCTCCGGGGATGTCCGGGTAGCCTGCGAACTATTCGTGGCATTGCTGTAGCTGGGGGCGTGACCGCTGGAGCCGCGATACTCCGGCGCCTGCGGCTGGTAGGACGACGACGGGCGCGAGCCGACGCTGTGCAGTTCGGCGATGGTTTGCTGGCCCCAGTTCGAGGCGTCCCGCTGGAGGGGCTTATCGCGGATGTGGAGTCCCGTCAGGTTGGTGTGCAGGGACATGTCCCACGAGACGTGACCCCGACGGTGGCCGGGACCCGAGATGGGGGGCGCCGGTCGTGCCGACGGCTGCGAGTAGTTGAAGCCGCCCCCGAAGGAATAACCGGGCGGTGGCTTCGGATGGTCCAGCTGCATCGGACTGGAGCGGCGGACGGGCGGGGTGAGGGGCCGCTGCGCAACCACCTTGTCGAAACTTTCGATGCCCGGCAGGCGCGGGGGGTGCTCTCCGGCCGCCTTGGCACCCCCGGGGGCCGCGAAGGACTCGTGCGTAGAGTAACCACCAAACCCACTGGTCGCCGGCCGGGGCGCCGCCGGGAACGTCGACGGATGCCAGGTTCGCCTCCGCAGGTCCGCGTCGGCCGCACTGTGGGCCCCTTCCTCCCGAGCGTTGGAAAAGTGGGAGCTGGCTGGGCTGGCGAAGGAACTTCTTCCGGAGGGGTACGCCGTTGGCGTCGCCGGGTTGACATACCCGGCGGGCGGGTAAGCCTGCGTCGTGAAGGGGTTCGCCCCGGTGGGCACCGAGAGTCGACGAGCCGCGGTCTTCCCATCCCAAAAGCCCGAGGCGTGGGACGCGGCCGACATGGGGGACGCCACATGGGGACTCCCACCATGGCCCGCGAACATGTGGGAGGACGTGTAGGGCGAGCCACCCGTCGCGGGGCCGGGGAGTCCTCGGACCTGGCCCGGGGGCGTGCTGGGTGGGTCCCCCCGCGGATCCAAGGCCAGCCGGGGCCGCCCGTCGTTGGACATGATCAGCGGCGGGGGTCGACGGCGGAGTTCCTGGGGCTGGCTGTAGGTGGAGGTCGCTGAGGTGATGCTGGAGGTCGAGAGGTTCCGGCTGTGGCCTCGACTGTGTGCCCCCTGGCTGCCGGCCGTGCCTGCCCGCGCGCGACCCTGGGGGCGTACCCGGTCCGTCCGAATCTGGCGCTGGAATCGCGTCCCCGTGGCCGCGAGGGAGTCCCCGGGGATCTCCTCGTTGACATGCACCGTCTGGGCGTGTTGGCGCAGGTTATCGAGTCGGGAGAAGCGCCGGGTGCAGTGGCACTGGAAGGGGCGCTCCCCAGTGTGTTTGCGGATGTGTCGGGCGAGATGCTCACTGCGGGTGAAGCTCAGGTTACAGGGCGGGAAGTCTGTGCAGAAGAAGCGCTGGCCCTTCTTCTTCTTGGACGGCGGAGCGTTGTTGGACTGGTGATTGGACTCATGGTCCGAGCCCTCTCCCTCCGACTCCCCGGCGACTCGGTCATCGACACTCCCCTGGGACTCGGGGTGTCGGGGGGACTCCTCCTGGGCGTAATCATTGCGAGGCGTCCGGTCGTCCATCCGCGTGGGGGAGATCGATGTGTCCCGCGCATCAGGCATGCCCTTCGAGGCAGGACGGGGCGTGGTGGGCGTGGTGGCATCCTCCATGTCCCGATCCGGTGGCGGCGAGGTATTATTCACAGGTAAAAACGAAGACATATTGACAAGCGATGCAAAGGATCTATGTACGAATCGGTAGGGGGCCCGTCAGGTGAAACGATTCCCGGCACACATGGACCTTCTCACGGTTCAAAGGGAGGGGAGTAGATGAAACGGATAGCGGAGAAAATGCGGTGACAATCAAAAGGATGCTGATTACTGAACCGATTTGCGCAAAACATGTCAGCAAGTGGATCAACGGTGGTCTTGTGCAAATGAGACGGAAAGCAGTGGACAGGGAGAGGGGCGTTTCTTGTATTGGACGATAATCGGAACACTTACCACCGCGGAGGGGGAAAAATCGAATGAAAGTCTCCTGTCCGAGGGAGTGTGGGGGGGTGGTGAGGATGGTCAGGAATGTGGAATGTCGCCAGTGTTTCGACGAAGGTTGTTGTTCAACCGACTGCTCCGACCAGGAAGGCGAAGCAAGGGTGACCGTGGTTACGGGTAGTTGGACAGGATATCACACAGGAAATGGGAGCGGACCACCATTAGTATCGAGGAGACATGTCTCCCCGGTTCGATATGGCGAAAAGGGAACGGCGACGAAGGTCGAGAAAGTAGCGGTATAGTCGCTTGTTGTTGTGGCAAGCCGAAGTGGAAGAGAGGGGAGGATCAAAGATGATCCAAGATGATCAAAGGAGGGGAGGGGAAGGATGGATGATGAAAGATGGAGGATAATCCAAGGATAATTTGGGGGGGGGACGAGGAGAGGGGAAAAAAAATGGAGTAAAATCGAATGAAATAAATAAGAATCAGAATAAACAAGGAAATAAATAAAAAATCAATGTTTTAAGCGTGGGCAGGCGTTAGTTCGGTGAACTTGGATTGATTTTCACAGCAGTTGCTTGTCGAGTCCTGGCCCTGGTGGGGATGATGACCGGTTTAGACAAAGAAGAGGAAAAAAGCCCCAACTAAATTTCCCAGATATCAGAATCAAATCAATCAAATGGAGAAATCACGATTCAACCATTTATCCCGGAAGATGGATCCGAAAAAGATGCCCAATCAACAGAATAACCCGTCAACAAGAACAGAAATCCAGGAGAAAGCAGAAAAGCAGAAAAGGATAGGTCGAATATCGTCCAGGGGCAAATGGAGAGAGAAGAATATCCAAATGGGGAGATATATATAGATCGATCCAATCCGTGGCGATAAGGAAGGACGAAGGGAGAAGAAGTACAGAAGGAGCAGTGGATAAAAAGTAAAAGGATGGGAAGGATGGATGAATAAGGCAGAGAAGGATTGATCGAAGGATTGATGATTGATGATCGATGGATAGAGGTAGAGAGAGATCGATGGTAGAGGAGAGAGAGAGAGAGAGGGGAAGAAGAAGAGAAAGAAAGAAAGATATGAACAGGGGGAAGAGATGATACGGCCGTAAAAGTAGGAAGCCGAACAGTAAGAGACAGGTTGGATGACGGCAGCGTCTGGGGGGGGGAAAGAGACGGAGGAATGGTGACGACGATAGTATAATACAGACAAGGGAATAATTTACGGTACCTTAAGGGAGTCAGCCCGTCAGTCGTTCACTGACTTGAGATTAAGAGTAAGTAAGTTAGGTTCATAAGTGTGGGGGAAAGGTAAAGATTGAGGCTTATCGGAAACAACGGTCGGCAAGAGGCGGGCGAACGAGGGGCAAATCTGGTCATGGAAAGGTGGAAGATGGGAAGATGGAGATGGGAAGATGGAGGATGGGAAGAGAGGGGAACGGAGGAGAGAGAACCATGGAGAGGGAGAGTTTATCTTGACTATACTCTATCATCCTCTATACTTCTGTCTAAACTATTCTACTATCATTCTTGTATCTTCCATAGGTGATTCTACTGTAGAGTGTAGAGTGTAGATAGTATGTACTAGATACTAGATACTAGGTAGTAAGGGTACAGTATAGTATGGCATACATCCCTCTACTCCGTAGCCCAGGTACTCATGGTCCGGACCTCCGACACGAATCATCGACTAGTAAATCACAAAGTCAGGACCAGTGGGGTTTCCAGAATGGTACGGAGTACGGATAGACTGACTGGATTGAATGGACCCAGTCAATAACGTTGGAATTCCCTTGTCTACATCGTGGAGACTCCAAGTCATGATTCTATCCCGATCGATTCTTTTATAGATCATACTAACTATACCTGATCAACGTGGAAGTACCAAGTACCTATCGCTCGTATGATCAAAACCGTATCAGGAACCTCCGCGCTTAAAATCAATGAAAAAGTCACACGCAGCGGTGGCTGATCCAAGATGCGAGGTACTGATGGCTTGATGCGTTGGCCAAGGTCAACTTCCAGACGAACAGAGGCATTCAATCATTTTCTCCTACCTGGGTAATTTTCAATTTTGCATCGATCGGTGCGAGTCTCGACCAATACCCTACCGTGGGACAGTCCAGGTGGGGTTCATTGTGTCCTGCTGCTTCGTATGATTGATTGAAGGCACCAGGAACTCGGACCCAGTAGGAGCGGCTGACACTTCCATATAGTACAATTTTCTATTTCACTAATTCCACAACTATGTTTCTGTATGTACTTGATTTTGGATATCATTCACATATACAGAGTATAGCATGTATATGACCATTACCTCTATAAATATTCCAGTAATGTTCTCTATCAATAAAATCGCTGATCTACCGCGTACACACTCCGTACACTGTAGATGATCAATCAATCTCGGGCATGGACCCATGGTTCCAAGCCATGACAACACCCGGTGACGTTGACCACTCGGACCCTGGGGAAATGGTTGTTCTGGTAACTTTGGATACTAATATAGTCCTCGGTTAACTTTCGCCCTTCCCCCGGTCGGGTCCAGACCCGACCCGGGATGAAGCATGGCAAACCACTGCGTTGGTTCAGCTTACATTTTCATTTTATCGGGACTGGATTATCGGACTATGATTATCACTAATATAGAATGTAGAAAAGGCAGGGGGATAAATGGTTGAATAAATGATTAAATAAAGACAACTCTGCAGACGCAGGCAAGGATGCCAGCAGAGACGGTATCGATTCCAGAATTTGAAACCCGCCCACAGCAACCGGATGGATTGTCCTCAAACAGAATGATTACAGATAGCTTTCGTCGCACGGAGTGGACTAGACTAGACTAGATCAGACCCAGAAAATTTCCTGTGCCTTTGCATAATAGTTCCGATGGCCGACTCGCTCTTTTTTCCCCTCTTATCCTTGGAACGGGGTTGCAATTGTCATACACTAGATCGAGTGGAGACAAGAGACAGCTCCCTCCAACAATCATCCAGATCTAAAGAAAAACTAATACAAGAGGTATTGTCCAGCCGATCGATCCATCCATGATCCCTCGAACGGACCACCGAGGAACCTTGTCTGGTCCCTTGTTCAAAGCTGGAGAGGGAAGTGCTGGGCAAGGAGAGTTTCATCAGAGTTTCAACCCTCCCAACCTAGACCAACCTAAAATCCAACACGTTCCCCACTCGACACCAGCTGGAGACAATTGGTTGATGACATCTCCAGTAGTAATCTATTCGAGGCTCCCACTGGAGGGATCATCGATGCAGTCTCGTCTTTACAGTTTACATAGTTCTCCTCCCCCACATACATACCTACACACACACACACACACACACACACACACACACACACACACACACACACACACATACACACATACTCCATAGATACGGATACACAGACATTAGCCCACTGGATCAATCACAAGACAGAGTCAACGACAAGGGCAGGGCTAGAGGCTAGACTCCCTAGTATAACGCGACTGCATTAGCCGCCCTGCAGGACCGAGTTTCCCTGTCCAATTGGCCCTCTGGGATCCGATCGTGGACAGGAGGTACCTTGCCTAGGGAGTGACCTAGTGAAGTCCCTGCCTACTTTACCCACCCATTCTGTAGTCGCACAGGCTTGGTTGGTCTGGGTTTTATCTATTGAAATTGGGTAATACATTCTGGAACGCCACTCGAGAGTCCAGACGGACTTGACGGAGACTTGACTCAGAGGGTGATCGACGCGTGACTGACCTTGCCCTGTTGCCCTGTCTGCCCCTCTTGAAGCCTGACAGGAGACTGTCTATAATGGCCCAAGCGAGTGATCACTGCAAAACAAATAATCAAATTTCATGTAAAATCAAAAATCAAAATAAAGAAACCCAAAGAATATGAAATAGCAAAGTAAAACCTACCTACACGAGTTGACCCAACTTTTCCATCCAACCTCACCTACACTTTATCTTTTACCATGAGTATCCCACGACTTAACATTTCTATTTTAATACGAAAAACTCACTTTTACCTTTCTCGCGACAAGGAAAACGCCAGCCACCGTTCCAGTTTCCAGGGGAGAGGGGAGGAGGGGGAGAAGGGGCGATTTCAACGCCACCATCTCCAGCGTCCCAGAAATCAATCCATGCTATACCCCTTGTGCCTTTTGGCTTTTTCGGCCACGGGGGAGAAGACGAGGGCGGGGTCATGAGGGGTATTTTTTATTTAGTATTGGTATAGTAATTGTTATTGTAGTATTAGATTTATTTCCACGCTGTCTTTGAGTGTATAATATATTAAGCACTAATTTGATCTACCCATACTACGGTACTTTAGCAACTACTACTTCAGCAACGACTACTACTACTACGATGGACACTACTACTACAACCAGATGCAACAAACCCCAAACGCGGGGTATCAATCAATACACCCCAACCCAACAAACAGCCTACCTAGTACAGACCCAATCTTTAACATCGAGTCAGAGGAGCAAGCGTCACCACCAGGGAACCCAGATCTCAAAGATCCATGGCATGGGATAACCAAAACCAGGCGCGCTGTGGTGAGTGGGTTATACGAGATGGGAGGCGGGCGCGGGGAGGGGAAGGGGGCGAATGATAGTGATTCGAACCAGGTACGGAACTTGTGACAAGTCGGTGTCTTGTGTTCGGGGATTTTTCGCTCAGGACAAAGGATTTTGAGGATGGGTTCCCCGCGTGTGGTGGCAATCATGTGTTTTTATGATGCGTTGATGTCTATGATTTGGCTTGTGATGGCCACGTGTATACCATTATCCATTATCTAGATTATGTTGTTGTATGATGATACTTAGTTGATACTAGTGTTGAATAAGGAATGGAATGGATGGCTTCGTACAAGGCTGACGTATGCTCTGGTCGGATCTTTCTGATCGACAGTTCCTGATCTATCTGGAGGTGGGTTAGATTAACCAATATCTATCTTATCTGTCTGTCTATTTGTATTCTAGATATATACCTATCTGTCTAATACAGTGTAGACATCACTAGGCACATACCTTAGATTGTAGACCCCTATACTATATCCCAATCCAGGTACCTTACCCTAGAAGTACCTACATTATACTAGTTACAGGTACCTGACTACTTTCGTCTCAACCATATCCGGCATGCAATTCCTCTCATAGACAAGCGGTGAAGATGCATAACATGCTCTGCATACATACATACCAACGTCACTGCACAGTTTTATCTTTGAATCTCCCTGTCTACAGTATGTATCCCTTGGACAGCTCATCGTTCATGACCGACTGACTGCTGGCTGGCTGAATGACTGACTGACCGCTGCCAAATCACAGAGAATAACACCCTGTCCATCGACTCCCTTTCAGACGCCACCACCACCATGAGTCAATGAAGATAGATAAATATATATCAAAACACGGATGCCTAGCTTCTGACAATTGCACTTAGGAGCCTCACATGGAAACACCCATACAATAGTAAGAATCATAGTTACAGCCAGTCAGCAAAAAGAAATAAAGAATAAAAGAAGAAAGAAGAAACTAGAAACCCATGCAACAGACACTAACAGAGAAGAAGAACAACTCCATGCTCACAAGACGCGTTTGAAACGCATGGTGCCTTGTTCCTTGCTGATTGGGGATTCGCTCCTGGATGTTCCGGTTTTACCTGTATTCTATATTTATTTGTTATCCATTGATTGGTTTATTATATGCCTATGTACAGTACTACGGAAGAATCAGGAAGCCCTACGTAACGAGCCGGTGGATACTTAGCTGCCTACATATTGACTAGGTAGATATGTACCTTCGGTACATGCCTTCGGATCTATATATCCAGGTATCTACCTACTACCGTAAGACATGTGGCTGATTCGTATTTCACATGCCGTCTGATTCACTCTTTTCTCCTCCTTACTCCCTCACCCCGGTCATATTCGTGACTCACTGGTAGGTATGTAAGTGGTAAGCAATAAAACCAGAGCCGTCTCAGAAACAACAGGGGAGAAAACCGGATTTTTCCGGACGGTCGGCGCCGACCAGTCCAATCGTACATACAATACGTATAGAGAGCTTGATGTAGGTACGTAATCTGACTGCATTTCATTTCTTTACTGCCCTCTTGTTATGCACGCTGGTAATTGTATTATTTCAAACTGGAGATTAATAAATATAGAGCTTGTATCACTTTCTACCGATCAGGTACATTGGTCACGGCGCCGACCATCACAGCCGCCTCGCGTTCCCACGTTCGCTCGCTCGTCGTCCCCGTCTCGCTTCCCAGTCGGCGTTCGGCGCCCAGGATCGACGTCGGTAGTTGCGACCCGCGCAACACGCATTCTCGGACTTCGCGTTTCAGGTGGTCTTTGCCTGCGCGGAGGGTCCGCGCTGCGACGCCCCCGCGTGTGAGGAATTCCTGGGCGCGCATGGCTAGCGAGGAAGCGAGGGAGCGCCAGAAGTAGGATGGGAGGGAGGTTGTGTCGAGGGCGGCGTGGAGTGGCTGTACTAGGTTGCTGTTGCTGCTGCTGCTACCCTTGTCGGTGCTGTCGCTGGCGGAAATGGCCGGGAGGAGAGGGTGCGCTGGGGCCCGAATATTGCCGAGGATGGCTTCGAGCGCGAAAATGTCCTGGCATTTGGCGGCGACTTCGTTGAGGGTGCGCTCGAGGATCGGCGGCGTGGTGATTGCCCGCGATAGGGCGTTTAGCGAGGACAGGATCGCCGCGTTCATGTAGCCCTGCAGTGCGGAGAGGAGGAGCTCGGGCTGGAAGTCGGACGGCGATTGCAGCTGTTTGGGAACCGGCGATAGCACATATAGGATGGTGACGGCGGAGACGAGGCGCGCGCGGGCCTCGCGCGCCTGCTTGTAGCCGGACTGCGCCTGCGGCCCCGTACCGCCGGTGGCGATGGTGGACATGGAGAAGCGCGTGATGGCCTGCTGCGCTCTCCCCTTGACCATGTTCTCGGCTGGGATCATGAGTTCGCCGCGCAGCGTCCGCACGACTTTGACCCGGTCCAGCCCGTGGCCTTCCTCGCCGGGCTCCGAGGCCGAAAACATGCGCCGCAGGCTGACGATGGTAGATGCTGCGCGCTCCAACGCCCGGTAGTCCTCGCGGGATGGGTTGGGCGAGTTCATGCCATCGCCGCTCCCACCACGGCCTGTGATTTCGGGCAGCTGGCCTTCGAGCTGCCGGCTGAGCGTGATGCAACGCGCGACGGCCCGGGCAAGCCGCGCTGTAGCGAGCGACTTCTCTGCGGCGACGCGGGTCTCGTCGGCTGTCTCCCACTTGCGGAGGACCTCGCGCTGCAGCCGCTCGTAGCCCTGCGACACGGAGGCGATCTGCTCCTCGGACTCCTTGAGGATCTTCCCCGCTGCGGCGCTTTGGTCCCGCGTGTGCGTCAGCAGGGGGAGCGCCGATTTGCTGGTCAGCGTGTGAATGTGGGTGTCGATTTCCTGGAGATCAAACAGCACGCGCGACAGCGGCGTCGATAGATCTAGCGGGGTGTCGGTAGCATTGTTGGTGGCGACTACCAACGAATTGGCGAAGGAGGCCGCTGAAAAGTCGGGGTCTAAGAAGGTCTCGTAGTCTATGTATGACGGTTCACCTTCGGCCATGGTGGCGGACTGGAGATTGATCTCCTCCGGTAGGGTTTGAGAAGACCGATATAGTACGCTTCTTGCAAACTGTTCACACAAATGATTTATAGACGCTGATCAATGTGTAATTGCGTTGTTTGGTATCACTGTATGTCCATGGGGTAAGATTGAACTTGGCGACAGCGTGTTGTCTGCAGAAGCAGGGTGGACTCCCAAGTCAGTGGACTGGACCTTATCAAAGTAATAAATTCAAGACGCCGAAAGAGTGCGTCCTGGGTATTATGGACGTTTGCCAGATGTTAGGTATAGGACGAAGTATCTCCCCATCCGTCTGTTAGGATGGATCATTGCTGGCATCTCGACCAGACACTATTCCTTTTTGGGCGACTCGCTTGATGCTGAGTCATCCTTATACTTCAGCTGTACATACAAACAGATAGACCAATTCAATAAAACAATGCAGCTTATTAGTCATTAATAGACGACAAAATATGAAGTCTATTCTATAGGAGTTACTCATATACTATATAATAAGATTACAAGGTTCTCATTTTTCTAACGAACCACTTATTTTCACCTCGGTATGTGCCATCCAACATCTCATGTAGGTATGTTCGGCTCATATACTTGACTTTCCTGCGCAGTGGATAAATCAATCCATGCCGTAATGGAAGAAAGGGACGAGCCGTAATGTCAGGCCCAAAAAGGGCAATCCAACCGGTTATGAGATCCACCATATCAACCAAGACACGCACTCCAACCAAGCGAGGACAGACCTCAAGCTCTAGCCAAAGTCTTACGCCGCTGCTTAAGCATATAGCCATACATCATCACAGAGCCTAATCAAGGAATTAGCATATAACCCCCCAAAGTCACTCCTCAACAAAAGAGACAGAGTAGATTAGAGGGGCAACAAACCAGGGCCATAAAGCGCAAGACAGAAATACCAAACGCACTCAAGCAGCAACCCCGTGCTCGCAGCACGCGCGGCCCCAAACATCAACCACCACTCGCCGCCGATTCCAATGGGATACAAGATGACGAAGAGTGAATATCTGTCCATTTCGGTGTTAGTTTCGTTTACCGTCCAGACTGCTCTACAATACTTCAAATGAGACGCAGAAAACATACCTCAGCCACTTCAACCACCCCGGGATTAGAAGCCCGGCAGACATGATCACGAAATACAGGTAGCGGATGACATCAGCCGTGGACCAGGCTACGAGCATGGCCGTGTACACGGGGAGCGAACTCGCCATGACGTCTGGGTACCCGTAGTTGATGGCCCAGACTTGGACGGAGCGGGCGAAGACTTGCGTGAAGGTTGTGTGGACGGGGCTGCGGGTGAGGCCTGCGTTGGGTTAGTATTTTGGCTTTGGGTGTATATGGTAGGTTGCCTATTGGTTAGGGAGGCAAGGTGTGGGAAGTTACCCGTAGCAGCGTGGAGAATCTCCGCAACGGCGAGGGTCTGAGTCCATCGAGCCCATGGCTCAACGGTGGTATAGACTAAGATCGGGATGGAGGGATTGGGATTGGCGGTGTCGGTTTGGGATAGGAGGATGCTGATAATTGACAGCAGAATGCGGAGCCAGAGGAGCGCGCAGGTTGCGTTGTAGGCGAGGAGATATACCCTCTTGGCTGTCCAGCCGGGTGATTCTTTTGCTGGAGGCATTGCTGTTCTTTTCAGGGATTGGATGCACGATATAAATTCATGATTGGCATCGTCGATAACGGCAATTCTGATGCCGGGAGCTAGTGGTTGTTGATAGTCAAGTTTTATGCTGCTTTGTCAGCATGTACACTTCATGCTAATCATACAAGGAGAATTGACCTGACAAGGGCTCTGGTCGATTCGACTTAAGAATTGGTACGAGATTACATTCGTGGAGAATTGTTAATATTAAACGAATTTTCTATGGAATAAGTCGAGATAGGAATGTACTTCCGTGCTTACGTCTTGGTGTAGGCACACAGGTACAAGGAGTAATCCAGAGCCTTGTGCCGCAGATCACCTTTATGCAAGGTAGTGGCGGAGGTATTGTAGTAGTACAATTGATCACGGAGATATCGGGTTTTTCACAAGGAACAAGATGCAGATAGCTCCGATACGATTGAAGCTATCATTTTACCATTCCCGAATAGGGCAGACGGAGGAAGTCTTCGGGGCGAACACCGAGATTCCTTATGTCTCATGTAATATGGATACTGAGCAAGGACAAGTCTCATATTGATCGTTGAGTATAGTATTTCCCCTTCACCATCCCAGATAATAATACCCCAACTGTGGGTAGTACGGAAGGTTTCTTCTCCAAGGCTATTAAAAGCCACGGGTGAACGATCCCCTCGAAGAGCGGTGAAACACCCTCGACCTGGGGCTCAGAGGTCGGAGTTTAAGGTTCAATAGCGGCATGTAAGAATCAGCCACCGGTCCCCAGCTGAGGCTCTCCCAGAATTGAAAGCAAACATTTGATTTCGGATAAGGAATGGTAATCAAGGAATGGCGGGGGAAGAAAAAGAAAAAACGAGTGAGTCGCGCTCGTGGCTGTGTGGGCGTACGTATGTATTATGCATGTCTATTGTGTATGCGTGCGGGCGGGCGCATCGTTCACTTACGTACGTACATGTATCACAGTTTACGAGGTAGTAGGGCCCTATACCTACTGTACGGGGACTTGAATGTATCAAAGGCATCCATCCGATAGCGGGACAGCTAGCACGGCATGGCATATGCAGTCCAAGCGCGTCGAGCGGGGAGAGGAGGGGGAGGTACACGAGGGCGTGATGCCAAACAGGTCGATCGACGGTTCAATCAAGGTCATCCCTGATCGTTGGGAAGCTGTCCCTGTGTGGACGGGATTCCTGCCGTGGACCTCCCATTGAGGGTCTATCTTCGATGGAGACCGATAATCAGAATAAACAAGTAACTGCGGGTCGCGATGTGGAGAGTGGGGAGAGTCGAAATTGCAGTTGATGGCAGTTTGGAGAGAGAGTTTGGATAAGGAGAACGAGAACAGTGGATCGGTGGGGAATTGCCATGTGCTCCGTATCAGGATGATTTAATATGTTGAACTGTGGTTTGATATATCACCTTCCCGCCCCTGCTGAAAATTACCCCCATGTCAGACTGATACGACAACAATGACTTAACTATCCGTATGAACGGATCCCTAATTCAACAACCGCGACCTGTGTGTTCTCCCCGGGTCTTTGAGGGGGGCGTTGCCAATGAGATTCGACCGCGGAGAGTGGCGAATACGAGAGGCGGTCCCAAGGGCCAGGTTCGTGTTTGACAAGTGTCTGTGCTCGATATGCAGGTGACTTACTCAAAATCATGGGAAGTGGGTTTGGTAACCAATTCGAGAATGGTTTCCTTAAGCCATCCTGACCGAGATTTGTGGACGGGGGGTCAAAGAAAGTCCAGAAGTGAGGCGGGCACCTGACCACTTTACTTTACGTCAGTGGTATGTATGTATGTACTTGGCACGGCCACCGTCGATGCAGTAGTCCATATCTACCCCGGACAAGAAAACTCAAAGCAGAGACGGGCTCTGTTGATTTCAACGGGATTTGGTGTGCCTGGGTTGGTCTCCTGACTTGCCACACTGAAACATCCGTGGTTGACAGATTTGTTGCATGCATGACTAGTCCTTATTGACTGATACTAGTCGGAGGAGTGACGGGTGAGTGGCGGGGAGAGCATGATGTAATGATTTCTTAACCAATACTGAGGGTTGGTTTCAATACACATGTGCCTTGTTTCTCAGGTTGAAATTGTTCTTCTGGTTCACCTCCATATACTCCGTGTATCAAGACGGATATAGATATACGAAGTCTATATTTCAAATAAAGATGATGCTATGAATAAAAAACAAGTAAGACATCATCTATCATACTTTCTGTTCCTTGACTCGGGGCGACTTAAACGCGGGAGAATCCAGCTGCAGGTACCACCGCTAAGCCCGTTGGCGTCCAGGGGACCAGCGGTTACACCGGCGTTGGCGCCAGTCAGGAACCGTCAACAATCCTACCCTGCGCATGTTTCATGCCCTCTGAATAGTATCACCCTCCTTGATCATGCTCCGGTATTTGACCTTCCTTCTTACCATTTTTCGCTGGTCTTTTATAATTCCTCTTCCCTCAATGTCATTAATCTATATTCTATCTTCGTATTTATTCTTATCAGTGCAGCAGATGGAGAAGTGTGGGAGGAACGGTGGGCCCCACCACACCCAGAGGGCTTGAATGATCCATGATTCAGACCGACAGGGGTTTCAGACCAATGATTGTCCGAGTATCCAGCACACCATGCTTTTCCTCTCTTCCGCCCCCCCTCCCTGTCCGATGTCAGGAGTAAAAAAAGAATAGCCGGACTTTCCCGAGGAATGCATCATTCCCCAGGGAGGATGGGGAGGGAACAGGGATATCAGCCGGACAGATAGTTTTATATGACAGCTGAACAACATTCCAAGTCTCGGAGGATCAGGTGTGGCATACCGCTGCTAGTGCAGTCAAGTGAGACTGAGGGCGTTTCAATCGAGTCCTACCTAGACCGTTATGGGGTTAGTCGAGCGGAGTCGTTCTCCACTCCTCCCCCCCATCTGTCCCCATCCGCTTTTACAGTTTTTACCCCTGGCCGTTCGGGAGGGAAATGTACTGTACTCCGTACCACGCTTTATTCAAGGATCCGTTGAAATCGCCATTGATTGGAATATAACCACAGGGTTGAGTAACGTTGATGGCATGCAGATTGTATTCTTTGTTACTGATAAATATGAATAGAATATCTATATATATATCTACCTATCTATTGATATATTATGATCAGTGAAAAAACAGAGAATGACGATGTACCTCAGGCCATGACAATGTCTCACGGGCCATTCTCGACTAGTGTCCTCGTCCCTCCATATCTAGCCGGCTAGTTTACTGTCTAACAGTCCGACTATCAGAATTAGATTGGTACGTGCAACAGGTGGCTCCGGCATTCCCCTTGCGTCGTCTTGCAGCACACTGTCGATTATCAGGCGCTTGGAGGGTTTAAGAAAAAGAAAAAAGACGAGGACGGAAGACGATCAGCCGGAATATTTTTCTGCTTATGATGCGCCTGGTTACAGTTTTACAAGGCTTACACAGAACACCCTTACCAGTTGCCACAATGTCAAGGAAAAAAGAGAAAGTGGAATCCTTTCAGAGAGCACCGCCCAAGGTACTGTAGATTTTCTACAGTCTTTCTTTATTCAGGCTTGGTCAATCCTTGTCCCGTTGGGAGGGCTCCATACTCCATACTCCGTAGATGGCACTCCATACAAATGATCCCCACCGTGCCAAATGATGATGAACAGGGTGATCGGTCCATGCATCAGGGCCAACTTTCTTCATCACTTTAGTCCTACTTCCTAATTGAACCATCTCCATCTCGGCATTCTGGAGACAGATGGTCCGCGGTGCGTCGACGAGTCGTGCGACCACCCTTCCCCTCTCTTTTTACTCGCACGGAAAATTTCTTCCATGCTCGGATCAATGGATCATTTCTGACCCCGTCAATGAACAAAACTAATAATAATAATAATCATCATCATCATAAAACAAAAGGAGAAATGAATTGGTTCAGGTACAGGGATTGATTGACTGTTGGGTCCGTCCTCTGGTGGGGAAACCCAGTATCTATCCCGTTGGTCAACCGCCTGTTAAGATCCACGTACAGGATTTGGGGTCACGGTCCTCTCTCTGTGCCTTGGATGGGGTCTTTGTCTATTGAAAGGAAGAATGGGTAGATATGAGGTAGATAGTAATGGGGGAAAAGAAAGAAAGTCAAATCTAGATGTAGCCTCGTGGTCGAGTCCAGCGCCCTGGGTCCCGAAAGAGTCGATACTTGGTTCAATTCAACGTTAGGGGTACCGATACGGATACGGACCAGATACAGAGAGACAGCATAATAATGCAATGCAAGTCACAAAGACCACTGTATCTCCACTCCCACCGGCCCCTAAAGCATCCCCCCCTCTCTTGCTTGCTTTTTTCTTATTTATTTTTATTGTTATTTCCATTTGGTTTTATGATAAAATATTATATTATTTTTCTGGGGGTTTTTTTTTGTTATTTTGTATTTTTTTTATCTTATTATTTTTTTACTCCTGCCACATTATTCTCAATCAGGAACCATCATCATTTCCATTCTCCTTCCCCTCTTCTGGTTCCCTGATGTTCAAGATTATTATCACCATCGTCATTAATAATGAAATTACCCTCCTTTTTTTCTCTGAACCAAACTAAATAGATTGACTTTTATTCTCCTTATTGATTGCTTGCATCTCTTTCCTGATTCTCTTTTATTCTTATTATATTGTTATCATTGGGCTGGATTATTCTGTGGATGCTAGCGTCCTTGATTTACAGTACCGTACTTTTCCGTACCTGAATCTCCTGCCTCCCCTCTGCGCATCTATTAACCCGTCCTTGCCTTGCGCTCCCTGCTTTTGGTGCCTGCAAATTCCTCCTCCATCCATCCTCTCCCCCAAGGTTCCTTCCGACCTCACACCCCCCCCGGTTGACTCGGAGATATACGACCTATCCATCCAAGTCTCCCCTCGTTCGCCTACCCGGAGACTATACGAGTCGCGCGCCCTGTCGGTTCACTTGACCCCTCGCTCGCATTTTCGGTGGACTGGTTCTTCCCCTTTCCATCGGTCTACCTGACGCAACTCGCGACTTTCCTTTCCCCCATTCCAACCCGTCGCCCTTCAATTGCCTGTCAGTTGAGCAAAGAGTGACGCCATTGGCCACGTCTCTCTTTTTTACCGTCTCCCGGCCACACAAATTTCTTGCGCGCGCGACATTTAGGGGGCTCATCAGCTCGTCAATTCCCGCGGAAATTCGTGAGAGCGCAGACTCAACTCAAATGAGCATCCTTCCGCACGCCTGAGACCCAGCGCCCAGTCCTTGTTCCTGTTCCGTCGGGAACTGTCTATATACAATCAAGGAGGTGGGATCTTTGTTGCTGTCGACCCCGGTGGCCAGTCGCGCGACGAAGTCCTTATCACGCTCGCGGCCGTCCCCGTGTGATTTGACCGACTTCAATCAAACCGACGTGCCTTCCTTTCCTTCCCATAATGTCCGTTGCCACTATGTTGCAACCTTCCAGAAACTCGACTTCCTCCTCTTCTTCCTTCCAGCCCGTCACACGCCAGAACACCATGTCGTCCCATGACACTCGTTCGTTTCGCCAGTCCAAGCGGCTGTCCGTCACGGCGCTATACCTGTCGATGTCCGCTAAGGACAGAGACTTGGAGATTTCAGATGACTTGGCGAGAGGTGGGTTTTGGCTTCTAATTTGCGTCCGGGAGATGGTGCTAACCCGGTAACAGCCCAAAAATACCTGCGAGAATTAAAATCCAAGATCTCGTCCCAGTCCAAGAAGAACTTCGTCCTCGAGAAAGATGTCCGATATCTGGATTCGCGGATAGCCCTGCTGATTCAGAACCGGATGGCTCTGGAAGAGGTAATCTCATTTGATATTTCCTTTCCTCTGTCATGACCGTCCCGCTCACACACGTCCAGCAAAACGAAGTCGCCAGCCACATCGATGATGCCATCGACCCCCAGGAGGGCTTCTTCCCCAATGACGACAAGACCCAGAAGTACGGCAATCTTCTCTTTCTCCTCCAGTCGGAGCCGCGCCATATCGCCCACCTGTGTCGATTGGTGTCCATGTCCGAAATCGACTCCCTGCTCCAGACCGTTATGTTCACCATCTACGGAAACCAGTACGAGAGCCGCGAGGAGCACCTGCTACTCACCATGTTCCAGTCCGTCCTTACCTATCAGTTTGACAATACCCCCGAATACTCGTCCCTGCTGCGCCAGAACACCCCGGTCTCCCGGATGATGACCACCTACACCCGGCGTGGTCCCGGCCAAAGTTACCTGAAGCAGGTTCTGGCCGACCAGATTAATTCCCTGATCGATCTGCGCGACGTCGATCTGGAAATCAACCCCCTCAAGGTGTACGAGAGCATGATAAGGCAGATTGAAGAAGAAACGGGCACGATCCCCGATTACCTGGCCCGCTCGGTCACCGCGGAGACGGCCGAGGAAAATGCACAGGTTCAGGCCATCATCAAACCCCGGTTGAAGATGCTGATGGACATCGCCAATGCGTTCATCTCAACGATCATCAACTTCGTGGACGAGACCCCGTACGGGATCCGGTGGATCTGCAAACAGATCCGCAGCCTGTCCCGGCGCAAGTACCCGGATGCGCAAGACCACACGATCTGCACCTTGATCGGTGGATTCTTCTTCCTGCGCTTCATCAACCCGGCCATCGTCACCCCACGATCGTACATGCTGATCGATGCGACCCCCACCGAGAAGCCGCGCCGGACCCTGACGCTGATCGCCAAGATGATCCAGAACTTGGCCAACAAGCCGTCTTACGCCAAGGAGCCCTACATGTCCAAGCTCCAGCCCTTCATCGAGCAGAACAAGGAGCGGGTCAACAAGTTCTTGCTGGATCTGTGCGAAGTACAGGACTTCTACGAGAGCCTGGAGATGGACAACTACGTGGCTCTCTCCAAGCGGGACCTTGAGTTGCAGATCACCCTAAACGAGATGTACTCCACTCACGGCCTGTTGGAGAAACACAGCCTGGCCCTGGCCCAGGACCAGCACTCGCATCTGCACGAACTCCTCCAGGAGCTGGGCACTGCGCCTGCGCAGGTCCCGCGCAAGGAGAATCGCACCATCACAGTGCCCTTGTTTAGCCGGTGGGAAACCGCCCTGGATGATTTCACCGCCGCCCTGGATATCACCCAGGAGGAGGTGTTCTTCATGGAGGCGAAATCGACTTTTGTCCAGATCCTGCGGTCGTTGCCCCCCAACACGTCGGTGGCCCGTCGGCCGCTGCGACTCGACCGCATTGCCGAGGCGGCGGCGACCTTGAAGAACGACGCGGTGATGGTGCGCAAGGGCATCCGGACCATGGAGCTCCTCAGCCAGCTGCAGGAGATGGGCGTCATCGACCGGTCAGACGAGTTCAGTCTGCTGCGGGACGAAGTGGAGCAGGAACTGGTGCACCTCGGCTCACTGAAGGAGAAGGTGCTGACCGAGACCAAGAAGCTCGAGGAGGTCTTCAACACGATCCGCGACCACAACGCGTATCTCGTGGGACAGTTGGAGACGTACAAGTCCTATCTGCACAACGTCCGCAGCCAGTCCGAAGGCAAGTCGCGGAAGCAGCAGAAGCATCAAGAGCTGGGTCCCTACAAATTCACCCACCAGCAGCTGGAGAAGGAGGGGGTGATCCGACGGAGTAACGTACCGGAGAACCGACGCGCCAACATTTACTTCATGTTCAAGAGCCCCCTGCCAGGCACATTTGTCATTAGCCTGCATTACAAAGGTGAACCATTACTCCCGATGCGGATTCTCGGTCGGCATCTTGCCGAGTCCCTTTCTGGACTCTATACTGACAAAATGTCAATAGGACGGAGCCGAGGGTTGCTGGAGCTGGACCTGAAGCTGGATGATCTGCTGGAAATGCAAAAGGATAACCTCGTGGATCTAGATCTGGAGTACGTCCAATTTAACGTGACCAAGGTCCTGACGCTCCTGAACAAGCGATTCGCCCGCAAGAAGGGATGGTAAGCCGGTGTTGTTCCGGGACAGGCTGCCCTTCCTTTCTCCTTACGACGTATATGATGCGGAGCGACCGGCCCGATGACGATGATTCCCCGAGTTGCCAGCTCCCAGGGGGGTTTGATGGAGCGAGGAGGATCCGGCCCTGACCTTGCTCCCCACGTCGCCACCTGACCCCTGTGGCGGGATGGGTGATCCGTTTGATGATATGGAGATGGATGCATGTTTTTCTTTCTGTTTTCCTTTATTTTTTTGCTTCCCTTTTTCCTTTCTCGTTCTCTCTTCGTGTTGTGTCGTTTCTTCTTTGCTCTTTGAGCTTTCCTGTTCTCTCTTGTTCTTTTTTTGTTTTGTTCTTGTTTTCTGGTTTTATACTTGACGGTTTCCCCCGGCGGGCTCCGTCGGGCCGGGGGGTGGGGCGGGATGTGAGTTGTCGGGTGGATCTGGACCGCCACATACGCCCCCATGACTTGTTTCTATTGTGTTGCATATCGACGTGTCGCTACCAGGGGCGGAGGAATGTAATATGGCGAGGCAGATGGCCGAGTCCTTCTCGACTCCCATGGGGGCGGGGAATGAAACCTCGCTGGTTCGAGGATCGATCGACCCGAATTCTTGCCACCGGATTGGGAGGACTTGGTCTCTCCTTTTGCAGGATACCTGGCGACGGTGATACCCGGTTGGATGATTTATCTTATTTCTATTTCTTTCTTTGGCCCCTATCCTCCTCTCTTTATGTTGTTGCGTGAGTTTTGGCGGGCGAATTTGATGATTCTTTTTTCCTGTCTTGTTTGTGATACTTCCCAGTCTCGATGCCCCCTGCACCGTCCTGCTGTTTCCTCTCTTGATTTATTTGCGTGGATTTGCTTTTTGCCTCTGTTTCTCAGGATGTAATTATATGTGGTATGGGATCCCTACAGACCGAAAGATGGTGGATGAGGGGGTTCCATCAATGAGATGCTCATTGTCATGATGTTTTGAGCAACACGGACAGTTGCCGTTGACTTGATGTAGTGGAGGTTGGTGGAAGGGACGATTATTTAATACTAATTTTAATCATGGCAGTAACGAGTTGACATCTTGGACTGACTTCCATTCCGATCTTGTAGTCGTGTCCTAGTCGAGAGTAGATGCGAGTAATTAGTCGTGCTGATCTCCCACCCAAACCAGTTGACCAGTTGGCCCTTCCGAAACTGGAAGCAGAAAGGATCATACCTGTTCTTTTTTGAATAGGAGACTACATGGCAGGAGGGTTCATTGGAATCTGTCCTGTTCCCCTTTTATCTATTGTCCTTTTGCTTCTCATAGATTAAGGATTAATTAATTGAGTGAGATATTGGTCCAGAAAAGACTAACTATATAGATCACACCGCCCTAACGCAACCGCAACAAACACTGTTCTGTTTCCGTCCCGGCTTGACCGTCTTCTTCTTCTTCTCCTTCTTCTTCCCTTCTTTTAATTTAAACTCAACTAGTAAGTCGATCCCTCCATTTCTTCTCTTCTTTTGTATTCCCCCCCCCCTGCTTCACTCATTCTCTCTCTCTCTCTCCTGAGGATTAACCCATAGAAATCTCCTCCAATTATCTCTCCCCCTGTCATCTCTGACATTCATCTCCCCCCTCTCCCCACTTCTTCCCCCCCTCCCGACACCTCGCAATTTCGCCTCCACACCCAAACAACTTTCGCCCCCCTAGAACAGCACCTCTTCCTCTCCCTCGTCTTCTTGAATTTTCCCAGTCTCTACCGCGCACACAGTCCCTAATCGTCGCAGCACATAACTTCAGTCACCATGTCGACCCCGTCCAAGTACGACGACTATGACTTCCCGACCACCGCGCCGGAGTCTCAGCCCGGCCACCCTGGCCACACCACCCCCGAGCAGGACGCAAAGGTCGTCCAGCTCCGCTCGGAGCTGGAGCAGATGGGTTATACGGAGCGGTTGGATACGCTGACCCTGTTGCGTTTCCTGAGAGCTCGCAAGTTTGATGTCGCTGCTGCGAAGACTATGTATGTTTGTCCGTGAGACCGGTCTGTCCCACAGGGGCGGAGGGGGTGTGGTCATCCATTGGGGGATGACTGTACCGTTCCGAACCCATTGGAGACTCGGCCCTTTCTCCTGTAGGGCTGGTGCCAAGTTCATGTGCTAATAATCTTCTGTCTAGGTTCGTCAACTGCGAGGAGTGGCGAAAGAATTTCGGCACCGATGATCTGGTCCGTACCTTTGATTACCAGGAGAAGGCCGATGTTTTCAAGTACTACCCTCAGTATTACCACCGGACGGACAAGGTATGATTACACTCTGGCGGTCCATTGAAACTAGACTGGTTGGACACAACTGACGAGAGGGCCCCGAAATAGGACGGACGACCGGTGTACATCGAGAAGCTGGGCAAGATCGATCTCAATGCCATGTACAAGATCACCACCGCCGAGCGCATGCTGCAGAACCTCGTCACGGAGTATGAGAAGCTGGCGGACCCCCGCCTGCCCGCCTGCTCGCGCAAGGCCGGCAAGCTGCTGGAGACGTGCTGCACCATCATGGACCTGAAGGGCGTGGGCATCACCAGCGTGCCCTCGGTGTACTCGTACGTCAAGCAGGCGTCGGATATCTCGCAGAACTACTACCCCGAGCGGTTGGGCAAGCTGTACCTGATCAACGCCCCCTGGGGCTTCAGCAGCGTCTTCAGCGTCGTCAAGGGCTTCCTGGACCCCGTGACGGTCAGCAAGATCCACGTCCTGGGCTCCGGCTACAAGTCGGAGCTGCTGGCTCAGGTGCCCGCCGAGAACCTCCCCAAGGAGTTCGGTGGCAGCTGCGCCTGTGAGGGCGGCTGTGAGTTGAGCGACATGGGCCCCTGGAGGGAGGCCGAGTGGACCAAGGAGCCCAAGTGGGCGACTCCCAAGGCGGCCCCGGCTGTGGTCCAGAGCGAAGAGCCGGCTGTGGAGAAGAAGGAGCCTGAGGCGCAGGAGGCGTCTCAGCCCACCGCATAGATATATATTTCTTTCTAAACCTTTTAACTATTTCTAATTCTTCATCTTTTATCTTTTCTTATCTTTTGGTTTCCCGTCTATTCCCCGTTCGTGCGTCATCCGGATTGGGAGGTCTGGTAGGAACGAGGGACTGGCTACAAGATTTGAATGGTGTTTCCTCCCTGATTACCATCATTGATCCCCAATCCCTCCGTGGAAGTCACCAATTGGTTCTCTTCAATAATGGACGGCCACCACAGCTGTTGGACCCCTTTTGTTTTATTCCTCTACCTTTTTGTTTATCCCTTCCTTCCAGTCTCGCAGAATTTGGTTTCTTCCTTTGCGTTTTATTTTATTTTTTTATTTGGCCGTTTCCGAAGAAGTTATCTAGAGGCGAACACAAGAACGCAGGGAGTACTTTTATAGAATGGAGCTGGTGGAGAATGGATCATATCATATCACAGCATATACCTATGTTCATGTAACAGTATATTAGGTTAGGTAGGTAGGAAAGGGGAGAGTCAGCGCTAAAAGTGGTATTTCGATTTTGTTCTATTGACGTTTGTTCGGTCTGGTGGAAGTGTTGTTGGTACATACTTAGGATATATTTGATTCGATACTCTCGGTATGCAATTACATGCGTTTGGTACATACCAGCCATTCTCAGCCTGACACTTCCCCCCAATGCCGTCATTCGTTTATCATGTTTGCTGTATATTCAATATTCAATATCTTGACTTATACTCAAGTAAGCTACTTACCCAGCTACCTAGCAGCTATGTTAGAATAATATTCACTCATCCCATTGAAATAATTGGTATCATAACATCCATATCCATCCTGTCTGACCGACCTGCCAGCCTGCCCAACGCCATAACATATTGAATAGATATAACCCGATAAATCGCACAAACCCAAAACAAGTCCATAAACGTAAAACAGAACAAAGCAATTAAAGGAAGAAGAAGATAGTATCAGGGCTTCTCCACAACCTCCACAGCCCTCCCAGCCCGCTCGGCCTTCCCAACAGCAGACGACAACGCCGTCTGTGTGTCTTCTTCCTCGCCTTGGAGTCGGAGAAGCGTCCGCAGGGCGTCTTCGTATACTTCGGCCATTTCGCCAGAGCGCCAGCGTTCGGCTTCTTGGTCTGTTCCGAGCGGAATGTCGAGGGTTCGCTGTTGCGGTTGTTGTTGTTGTCGTTGGGATGGTTTTCGCTGGGTAGGTTTTGTGTCTTCTGCGGGTTGGTCGGTGGAGTTGTTGTTGGGGTCTGCGTCGGGCATGTCGATGTCGTTGCGTGAGTTTTCCCCTTCGTCGTTGTTGTTATTGCTTTCCCCATTGACATTATAATCACCTCGATCCCCGTTGACAACCCGCCCCTCCCCACTCTCCCCCTTCCCATCAACATCCCCATCTTCACCAAAAACACCATCATCCCCCTCAATCGCGCGCCGCAGTTCCGCAGCGTAGTCCTCCGCCGCGCGCGCAGGCGCCTCCCGTCTCAGCTTCGCAACAGACGTAGTCAGCGCCTCCAGCTGCGCGTACAGCGACGTCACCCGCGCAGCGAGGTTCGCGTCGTAAGGCTCGTACTCGACTGTCTCTGTGGGGCCGGTGAATGCCGCAGGGAAGGGGAACTGCTCTGAGGAGGAGTCGAGGCCGTTGATGCTGATTGAGGTGGAGGCTGTTGAGAAGGTGCGTGATATGAACTGTTTCGTATTGTTAGCCCTCTGTTTGTCCCCTTCTTTTTTGTTTTTCCTGGTTCGTATTTTATAAAGAGATATGTACCTCATCGACTAGCTCCCGCACTCGCTCGCGCATAGGGTCCGGCTCATCGTCGCCGGTGGCTGACGGCGGGAGGTGGAGGTCGAGTTTCTGGCGCGAGAGCGAAACGGTGTTCGCGTGGAGGTAGGTGAGGTCTGCGGGGGATTGGAGCTCGATACGGCGGTGCATGGCCATGCTGGGCGTTGTAGGTGGCCTGGACGGCGTCGCGTGGGTGGGGGGTATAAGTGGTGGTTGTTCTTCGACGCGTTTATGGACTGGAGTTCACTCGGTGAGGGGAGGGGAGAGTTGGATCTTCAAACGGTTACTTCGATGTGTGCCTGAGGCGGAGTAGGATATGTGTGCCTCAGGCTGAAAGGCGGAGATCGCCCCGCGGAACAACAATTCATGTCATCATCGAGATGCTCGCGGTGTCTTCGTCACTTGTAATTATACTTGCGAGCTTCTAATTGGTTTCGTGGTCGTTTATTTGTGACTCTTAATATATATATTCATAGTACCTGTATAGTCATTCTTCTGAGATCTGTCCCTGCCTGCGAAATGACCCCAAGGCAATGACCAAATAACCCCTGGTTGCGACCATGGACTCCCCTAAGATCATCCTCCGCGATAACACCGCCCCGTTCCCTCGATACTCCGACAGCGAAGATCCCTCCCGGGTAAAGACAAATCTATCGGGAGCGTCGTCAAGCCGGTGGACGAGACCTTCGGTCCGAAATTCTCTGAGAAAGCGAAAATACGCAAAGTGGCAGCCGCGCCGGCTGGGACTGGCCGACGACAGCGACACCGATCGTTGCGGGCCAGACCCCCAGGAACCGACCGAGTCCGACACCCAGCTGCAAATCACCACAGAAGATTCCCGCAGCACTCAACCACTCTTCCCCCAGCAAACCACCGAGTCCAACAATGTTGAAACGACCGACTTCGCCCCCACACCGCCAGAACAAGCCGGCGCAGGCGCGGGCTCAGTCCAGGGATACTCGAGCGCCATCGCCGTGAAGAACGGCAGCACCCACAGCGAGCTGGACATCCTCTACGAAAACCAACGCGGCTGGTTCTTCTTCGGCATCCCGCTCTACTCGCACAGCTCGCTGCTCAACCTGGACCCCAGCGCCTGGGTCACCCAGGACATGCGGTACAGCCCCGTCAACATCACCGACGCCCAGCCGCCGGATCCCAGCTGGGTCTGGGCCTGGCGCACATGGTACGTAGACATGTCGGGCGATGTCGACGAGCAGGGCTGGAAGTATTCCTTCTCCTTTTCCTCGTCCGCCTGGCACGGCACCCATCCGTGGTTTCACTCGTTTGTGCGTCGCCGTCGCTGGGTGCGTCTGCGTACCAAGCGGGTTGTGGATAGGCGTCGTCGGGGGCGAACTGGGCTGGAGGCTGCCCATATGCTTAATGAGGATTACTTTACGATTCACTCCGCCCAGAAGACGGCTAACCGCGCGTCGAGTTCGGAGCCTGCTTCGCGCGTCACGTCTGCGTATTTCAGCCAGGTTACGACGCATGAAGAGGAGGAGTCTCCGTTTGAGGAGATCTGCAATATCCCGACCTTGTTGGATGCGTTGAAAGCGGCTGTTGTCGATCGAGAGAAGATAGATGCCCTTGATCGGTTTATCGAGGAGGGCGGCGAAGAACTGTATTACCTGGAGGAAAAGGTACGCGCTTCTCCCCCTCCCTTTGCTCGTACTAGTAAGGTGGTGGCATGCCCCTGACACAAATATAGGTTCCCGAAATCATGTCCACCTTCGTCTTCCAAATCTCTCGCTGGCGATTCCTCAACCATCTTACCCGCATCATCGACGATTTGTCCAGACAGATCCCCAAATCGGAAAGCACCGTGGAAGCAGAAAAGCTCCAGAGGAAGCACAATTACCTATCCAAGGCGAGTAAAATGATGCGACACCATCTGACAGGACCGGAAGTCTTTGATCCTCCGGAGGGGGCAAGGTCGTCTGAAGACCTGCTGGATTTGACCCCACGGTCGGAAAGTAACAGCATGCTGAAAAGGCATTCGAGAAGCATCCGGTTCAGACCCATGGATGACGGCGGGGAAATCAAAGGTATCCCCTCGGCAGCGGAGGTTGGACGAGAGGGTCATATTTACCGGTATTCTTCTTGATTCGGCGGCGTTTGACCGGCCAACTGCATTTTGGATTACACATGGCGCATTGGATGGTACTGTATACTATAGTCGAATAGCAGGACTAGGCTTAATTTTCTCGATTTTCTCTCACCATCAAATCCCTTATCTCCAGAAAGATGGGCGTATTTAAATGCAGCAATGTTGATGCTATACTCGCCACGGTCCTCGGTCACCGGAGTATCCATCGGGCCGATGCTCTGTCTTGTCCGCTCGGGAATCCCGCAATAATTTTGCAACGGCACCGCCTGCTCGTCCTCTCCCATTTATGACCACATCGACCAGTTTCCAAGCTTGACTTCTCTCCTCTACACTATCCCTCCCCCCCTCTCTCCCTCCCTCTCCCTCCCTTCTCACCCGGCCTTTTCATGTGTTGACGGTCGGAGCCCGTCGTTCTCTATGTTCGCGCGTGGCTGCCCGCGTCTGGGGAGGCTTGATCTATCTGCCGTCTTGGACAGCGTCGCAGCTAACCCTGAAGAACCTCTCCTTTTCCTCTACCCGCGTTTGTCCTCCACGGCCTGGCAGCAGCGGAGATCGATCTCCTTCCGGACAACCCATTCCACACCGACAGGACGCCCATCTCGATCAGGGGGACTCGTGTCTCGTCCACCGCCGCGGAGGTCCTCGTTTGGGAGCTCGAAGAGACGATGGATCGCTTCCGACACTGCTATCGACGCGAACGCCGTACATTCGGCAAAATCGTCACCACAGCAATCCCCTGCACCGACGAGCGCTGGCGGTAGCGGGAAAGAGATCCGGGAAGAACGTGACGAACCCGACGCAAAGAACTCCAACACTTCGGAGAAGAGGATCCCAAAATCAGCGAACTCGGCCCGTCGCCGTGGAGGAAAGATAGAGACCAAGGAGCGTCAGCCCGCATTCGACGCCTTTTCCGACTTCAAGACTGCCCCTCAACCCTCTCCGAACGAATCACAAAATCCTCGAGTACATGCACTCAGAGACAATGTTCCCAAGAAATGGCTTCTTGGGCGGGAGAGACGCATGCTCCGGACAAGTGCGTCTAGGAACCCGGCCCCCAGCAGGCGTGCGCCCTTCAAGCAGCTTTCGGTGCAGGACCGGCGCAAGCTCCAATGGCGGTTGCGCATGAACAGTGCCCAGGACGACCGCACTCCAACGGATGAATGGGAGCAGTGGTTGAAATACCGGGATGTGCTGGAACGGCAGCAGCAGGAATCCCGTATGTGGGCCAGGAAGGCCACCCGGCAAAAGGAACTGCTGGTGCCGGAGGAGACGGTAGCGCTGCTGGCCGGCGTGACGGAAATGCACACGGAAGAGAATATCTGGTACGTGCCGGTCCACAACGGATGCAAGGTACATGTGTTACACCCGGCCGAGGGCAAAGGTCGACACCGCAAGGTGGTCCTCTCTGGGTCGGAGCGAGTCGTGGAGTTGGTTGGTGACCGGATTATGCGCGCCATCAACCTGCAGGAAGGGGGAGATCCTCTAATTGATATCAGAAAGCCGGCGGTGCCGGTGCTCCCTTCCCGGTATCATTCCTCTCGTCGGAATGAAGATCTGCCGCTCGTTCGCGGAGTGTGGGACTTTCAAACCGCCACGAAGAATCCGATCCAGCTGGACTTGCTCCTGCCTATGTCAGAAGGGCTGACAACCGTGCGGGAGTTTGCAGAACACATAGACGAGTTGGTGTTGTCGACCCCCCCGCCTCAGACTGTGGAGGACAGCACCAAGCCTGTCCCCCACAAACAACGAGTGCGGGATGCCTTGCTGGAGCTCTTCCTTCGCGAAGCAAACCAGAGCCTGTACTCGACTGCCGCGCTGAACCGGGCGATCACACACCTGCTGGAACATCAATACCTGGGCGCCGTCAGTACGATCTTCCTCCGAGCGGAACATGTCGCCACAGTCGACACCTTCAACATCATCCTCCGGGCGCTAGCCAGACGACAGGATACCCGACTCCTTAGCTACTTCATGCAGCTCATGGGCCGGATGAAAATCCAGCCTGACTCGTATACCTGGCTCGCTCTGTTCGACTGCCTGATCTCGACCAAGACCAGATCCAGTGCCTTCGAGTACATGCTCCAGAAGGGCTACCTCGCCCAACCCAAGGCGATGCGCTCCGCACTACAACTGACCATCCAAGACCTGTTGACGGTCCACCTGGACAGCGGAAAGAGCGTGGACTCGTTCGTAAACACAGTGATTACCAATCACGCCGGCAATTGGATGTCGCGATCGCTGGTCAGCCAGATGCTCAGCGTCTTCGTCCGGCGAAAAGACCACGCCAGCCTGGACCGCCTGCTGCAGATCTGCGTGGAGCAAGGCTTCGAGATCAACAACTCCGCCACCGTCAACCAGATCGCCCTGATGTTCCGTTCGCGCGTGTTCCTAGCCCTGCAGCGCGTCTACAAATGCATCACCGACACCCCGAACTTCAAACGAGCATGGGAGCGGCTCTTTTTAACCGCGTACAAGAACCGCCACTACAACGTCTGCCGCGTGTTGTGGCGGTACGCCTGCATGGACGGAGACATCACCGTCAAGATGCGACGCAGCGTCCTCGTCTCACTCGTCCGCAACGTCTCCCTCAAGCGGGGCGAAGACCTCGCCACAGCATGGAACCTGAGCGCAGGCAAAGTCATCGTCGGACTCGATCTCCACCTACCTAATTACCCCCTGCGCGACCCTCTCCTAAAGCTCGTGCCCGCCGAGTTCCACGAAAACCCAGTCTCGTACCTCATGAGCGGGTACGCCGCCGTCGGCGAAGACCGCCAACGGCAGCTCGCTGCCGCGAACATGATGATCCAGCGAGACATCACTGTTGGACCGTGGTACCAGCCCAGCAAGCCGCTCGGCCTCATGCTGGAGGCGGCGGTGGTGCTGGATAAACGGCTGATGTCTGCTCCGAGGCCGACCGCATGGCTTCTGCAGAATGCCATCCATGTGCCGGTTGAATTGCGGAAAGACGCTGCCCTGCCGTGAGCCCTGTCCGTCCGTTTGTCTGTCTGTCTTGTTTATATATGATTGACGATGGGCATGGGCTTGACGACGTACATTGTTGTGTACATATGTGTATAAATATTGCGTGCATCGCGTGGTGCGGTCTGTGGATCGCCTGTCTGGTTGCATTTTCGTGTACTGTATATTTGATAGATACCATATAGACTACTCTCCGTTTTCTGTCCGGGCTCGCGTGTAGCAAACTGCATTGGCGTACTGTCATCCTCTGCAGAATAAACAATCGTTCATCGTCTTGAGTAAGTGTCAACCAAGCAAAATGAGTTGAACAAAAAGAAAAAAAAAAGTCATAAGGTCGTCTATTGTCTATATACCGTAGTAAACCCAACCAATCAAATAATCATACCGGCATTGCATATGTAAGTCCTCTCACATATCATATCATATCATATTACACCCGTCCCACGTCATCCCCAATGGAACACCCCGCATCCCAGAAAAGAAAAGAAAAGAAAAGAGAAGAGAAATCACCGTCCATTCCCCTGCAGCAACGGCGGTGGCGCCGGCGCCGCAGGAACAGCAGCCGCGCCGGACATCTCCGGCCGCGCTTCGGCGGGCGCGGCGTATGGGTCAAACGATGTGCGCATGTTGCCGACGCCTTCCTTGAGGTAGAGCACGAGTCGGTAGGCGGAGTTGCCGTTGAGGTAGTAGCGGTGTAGGCGCTTGCTGCGGAGGAAGCCGAGACGTTCGTAGAGTTTGATGGCGGCTGTGTTTGTGATTTCTGTTTCGAGGGCGATCTGTGGATTGATTGGATTGTATTAGCTTTTTTCCTCCTCTGTTTTGGAATTTGCTGTTGGATAGTAAGGATGGGTTTGAAAAAGATCGGGGAAATGCACCTCATCCGCGTCTCTCGCAATCATAGCATCAATCGCCATGCGCACCAGCTTCGTTGCGATCCCGCGGCCGCGGTATTCCTCCCGCACGGCTAACATGGCGATGTACCCGCGCATGGGCCCCCCGCGGTGCGGCTCCAGCTTGGAGACGACGACGCCGACGATGGGGTCCTCAGGACGGGAGTCATCGACGGTCATGAAGCACAGGTCGCCCCATTGGTAGAGGAAGTAGCGGTAGACGTAAATGCTGTAGGGTTCGGAGAGGTCTTTGGAGATGAGCTGGCGCATGGCGGCTACGTATTCGTCTTCGCGGGAGGGTTCGTAGCGGATGTAGCGGAGGGGGGGTGGTTGGGGTTGCGACATTGTGAGGGGGGCATGGGTAGTTCTTTCGTTGTCTTCTTCAATTTCTGTTCTGGTTGGATTGGGTTGAATGGGTTGTTGGAGCGAGTTGGAGAAAGGAGGAGGAGGAGCGGGGAGAAAGAGAGAGAGAGAAAGAAGCGAAGATGGAGATCATCAACATGTGATCTTGTCAACTCCTTCGCTTCGTCTCCTCCCATCTTCCTCTCCTTTTTGCCTTCCTCTTGGTCTTGTGTGCTCTATACCCCCTTCCCATCTTCTTGGATTGTTTCTCCCTTATTCCCCGCCCTGTTTCTCACTTTAATTACACACATTGTCAGACGTGTTCTCCATCCATGCTGCGCCGCCGCCCGGCCAAGGACGGCCAAGTCCCCTCGTCCGCACCCTCGGATCCAAACAGCGGCTCATCCTCCTCGAACACCGTCACCCAAACCGTCGAAAAGAAGAAGGGTGACTCCTTTCTCACTAAGCCCCGCAGCAAACGGCGCAACAGTTTGATCTTCCTGCTGGGTGGACTGTTCGGAATTCTGTTCGCCCTCTTCTTCGCCAACCAGCAGGATGTGATTAGCTTGGACTCGTTACTGGACCTGAACCTGGACACTTTGATGGAAGCCATTCCCCAGGGGATTGTATGGGATGCGCGGGAATTCACGGTCGGTCTACAACTGCTCCCCCCCAAACGGTGAGTTGGTGGAGTCTTGGGTATTGACATGCGATGGCTACAGCAACATGAACGCGACGCCGTCAACTACGATCCTTTCTCCGTCGGGCTCCAACTTTCAGAACAGGGAATCAAGGCCAAACACCCCATCGTCATGATCCCCGGCGTCATCTCCACCGGCCTCGAGAGCTGGGGCACCGGCGACGCCTCGCGGCAGTACTTCCGCCGCCGACTCTGGGGCAGCTGGACGATGATGCGCGCGCTGGTCCTCGACAAGGCGGAGTGGAAGAACCACGTCATGCTGGACAAGAAGTCAGGACTCGATCCCCCGGGGGTGAAGCTGCGGGCAGCACAGGGGTTCGACGCGACGGATTTCTTCATCACGGGCTACTGGATCTGGAGCAAGATCCTCGAGAACCTCGCGACCATCGGCTACGACCCCACCAACGCCTTCACAGCCGCCTATGACTGGCGCCTGTCGTATCCGAACCTCGAAACCCGCGACCAGTACTTCAGCCGCCTCAAGTCCTACATCGAGACCGCGGTGCGCGTCAACGGCGAAAAGGTCACCCTCACCTCGCACAGCATGGGCTCGCAGGTCGTCATGTACTTCTTCAAGTGGGTCGAGCACCCAGACCACGGCCAGGGCAGCAAAGACTGGGTCAACAAGCACATCGCATCCTGGGTCAACATCAGCGGCTGCATGCTCGGCGCCGTCAAGGGCCTCACAGCCGTCCTATCCGGCGAAATGCGCGACACCGCCCAACTAAACGCCTTCGCCGTCTACGGCCTCGAGAAGTTCCTCTCCAAGGAAGAGCGCGCCGAGATCTTCCGCGCCATGCCCGGCATCTCCAGCATGCTGCCCAAAGGCGGCGAAGCGGTCTGGGGCAACTCAACCTGGGCACCCGACGACCAACCCGGCCAGCCCCTCACCTTCGGCAACCTGCTCAACTTCCGCGAAAGCAACTCCTCCTTCACAGCCAAGAACCTCACCACGCCCGAAAGCCTCGCCTACCTCATGGACCAAAGCGAAGACTGGTACCGCGAGCAAGTCCTCAACAGCTACTCCCACGGCGTAGCCCACACCACCCGCGAAATCGAAGCCAACGAGAACGATCCACGCAAATGGCTCAACCCCCTCGAAGCGCGCCTGCCCCTCGCGCCAGACATGAAAATCTACTGCTTCTACGGCGTCGGCAAGCCCACCGAGCGCAGCTACTTCTACCAGGAAGAGCGCGACCCCCTCGTCAACATGAACGTCAGCATCGACACCACCGTGTCCGTCCCGGACGGCGTCGACCGCGGCGTCGTCATGGGCGAGGGCGACGGCACCGTCAACCTCATCAGCACGGGCTACATGTGCGCCAAGGGGTGGCATATGAAGCGGTATAATCCGGCCGGTGTCAAGGTCAAGGTGTTTGAGATGCCGCATGAACCGGATAGGTTTTCGCCTCGTGGTGGGCCTAATACTGGTATTTATTTCCCTCCTCACAGACACCCTTGGTTTAATGGAATACAGTGATGGTCAAATACTAACGTGGGAAATTTTTAGGCGACCACGTCGACATCCTCGGCCGCGCCAGCCTCAACGACCTCGTCCTCCGCGTCGCAGGCGGCCAAGGCGACGACATCGAAGAGACTTTTGTCTCGAGGATCAAGGAGTATGCCGACCGGGTGCAGATTTTCGAATAGTAGATGGGTAGACAGATAGAACAGTCGGGGCATATATCTAGTCTCGTCACCTACCTATCTACCTATCTATCTATCTATCTACCTATCTACCTATCTATCAATGACCTTGGTGGGTGGTAGGTATCCTTTGGAGGGGAAGGGGTGCTTGGGCTCCTTGTATGTATGTACGTATGTAATTAATTATTGATTAATGACGAATAGACGATTTAGATTTGTTTATTTATTTCTTTATTTTTATAGATATTGGTTGGGTATATATTAGTTCGTGTTATTTCACAACAACTGAATGAATGGATGGATGGATGTTCGTAAGGGGATCTCCTAGTACCTGTTTACTACTGTTTACTAACTACCCGGGCACAAAACCACTCCAAAGACAAGCAAAGTCTAAGTCTAAGTATATACAATATAGCCAAACTATGCATAAAGTAGAGAAGATAATGCTGATTTCAACAATGTTTCATTTCATAAGTCATAACGCTATCGGTTTAGAATTAAGAATAGCTACTATGGAAAGAAAAAAAAGTGTAAAAAAAGGTGGAAAAGAGATGATGAGGAGGATTCCACCCGTCGTCAGATCAGGACCACATTCTTCGGAATCAACGAAATGTGGGATCTGTCTTCTGCCCATTCAGTGAATCTGAGATCGATCAGGAGATAGATGTGATTGGATCCGACGGCTGAGCCGAGGATGCCCGGACAGGTGGGTGGTCGTGGCGGTAGTGGTAGTGGTGATGGTGTAGGTGTTCCATAGTAGTGGGCCATTGATGAAGGCCGGTCGAAAGACGTAGGTGGTACCCCCTTTCCTCCTTGATGTCGTCGGGACACTTGGTCCCTCGAATCCCATATGTTCCAGGACAAACAACTCGAACCCTCTATATGCCAAGCCAAGCTCGTAAACCAAACCGTCCAAAGCATCCCCTTTCCCCTTCTAAATAAAGCACAGCGAGTGAGTGCATGCAAAAAGGGCGCCACGATGATTTTTCCCGTTTCAACCAACTGGCGCCGTGGTGTGAGCGATTGACACGAATGAAAAAGTAAAAAGTGTTGGTAAAAATATATACCTGGTCGAGGAGAAGGTAAAAAAAAGTCTCGACCAGTGGTACAAAGCGAAGGTCCAGAGTCGGAAAAAAGCAGTGCGTCGGGATGCCCGGCGGAGGATACAAATGAATGTCTCCCACTGGGCATCCTCGGGGCATCCCCCAACCGCAGGACTGGATCGGTCCCATCAGTCGGTGGCGGCATTAAAATTATCGACGGAGATTCTGAGGTTGTGGGCCAAACAGCCTACCGGACTCGCGATGATGTATGCATGTACAGGAATGAAGTCGCGCAAAGATCAAAGGAGAATGCGACGACGGTGCAAGCCAGGCGAATCACCCCCTAGGGAGCAGTATTAAGCCAGACAAGACCGGGTCGCGTATTAAAAATATACGTGTCGAAATCGGCTCGATGCAAAAAGAAACTCCAGCATGTCATCAGATGGTGTAACGCCGTCTCATAAATGGATGCAAAAAAAAGAGAAGATAGGTAAAAGCGGGCCAAGGAAGATGCAAATGGCGGCGGGTATCCGAGTTGATCACGGACTCAGGTATCGTCCACTCTCGATATCACTGGCGGGAGAGGCCAGAGCGTCGCCCTCCCAGGAATAATGGTCATCGACGGGGCTGAGCGAGCCCGACGAGATCGAAGACGAGGAGCCGACGGTCCATTCGTCGCTGTCCACATTCAAGCCACCGCCAAAGGTAGCCAGATCGTAGCCGTACTCGCGCGTCCGGTCGCCATACTCGACGTAGTCGTAGTCCCAGCGGAACATCTTGTCCGACTGCACGCGAGGCATAAAGCGAGTCTTGGCGAAGTAAAACGCGACCGTAGCCAGGAGACCGCCGCCGACCAGGTCGACCGCGTAGTGATGAGACAGGTACATGGTGGCCCACCACATCCAGAGGGTGTAGGTCACGAACAACGGCTTCAGGCGCGGGAACACCTGGCTCATGAACAATGCCGCCAGGGTGGAATCAGCCGCGTGCAGCGAGGGGAACGCGCCAAAGACCACCGGGGACTGTCGGAAGCCGGAGGTGTACAGGTCGATGCCGAGCAGCTTGTCGATGCGAGCCAGGCCCGCCGGGTTGCCCTCCATCGAATAGTCGGCGGGGGCGAGCCCGTAGAGGTTCTCGTACCACGGAGGTGAGCAGGGGAACAGCAACTGGATCGTCACCGCGAACATGCTGATGTATCCGAATGTCCGGGCGAAGAGAGGCGTCGTGCCCGGAGGACCAAAGATGAACATGATCCCGGAGCAGACGAAGGGCGCGCCGTAGTGACAGAGACCGTAGGGGATCCAGGCCAGGACGTCAAGCGCCGTGTTCTGATGGGCCGACAGGATGTTGCTAATATTGGCACCATAGAGGATGTTTTCCAGAGCCGGAAGCACACGGACCCAGATAGCCGGGCGCCATTCGCTGGGAACGAACCTACAGTGATCGTTAGCATCGACGGTTTACTGTAAAGAGCATACCCATGGATAGACTTACTGGCAAGCGTAGAAGAAAAACAACCACCCCGCAATGGGGAGGAAGGGGAGAAAGAACTGCCGGGTGACAGGGAGTAAAAGGGAGAAGATGTAGAGGGAGAAGATCCCCGTCTTCGCCAGGGGGCCGGGCGCCTCGATCATGCTCAACGAGAAGATTCCAACAATCAACAGCAGCAAGTATTGGAAGTCGTAGAGCGTCCACCGGTGGCTTTGGAGCGATCGCAGTGTATCTACCGGCGAAAACGAGGTCTGCAGCGACGAGATGGACGAGGTGGGCGAGATCCTACTCCGCAGCTTGGACCGAAGCTTCCGTCGCATGCGATGCGGGACCAGCAGCTGGATGGAGCGCCATGGCACCTGGATCTGAAGTTTGCCGAACTGGTTCTGCGTGCGATCCTTCCACGAGGGAAGGTTGGAATTCATCTCTGCGGGGAGTTCTCCTTAGAGACTCGAGACAGATTCCTCAGCTGAATATGCTTCGTCCCGAAAATGACGAGATAGGGGGGCGAAGAAGGATTCCGAGTTGCAGAGGGATGATAGAAGCGGGATCCCAGTTGACGATAAGGGGAGGGGGTGCGGAACCCAGGCGTCAACGTGACTCCTTGTCGACAAACAAAACGTTTCAGTCGGTGGCAGCCAGTATGGGGTACTCTCCTTGCACACCGGAGAATTCTAGGCAAGAAGTAATTCGATGCAAAAGGGATCGCGGGCTCCGGTCTCCGGCGGCCAAAACGAGGAGACAAAGGACTGGTCTGAAGATCACGTTGCAAGGGCGTTTCTGACGCAAGGCGGATAGCAAGGGCGATTGATTAGGGGAGACCAGGATAAGAGGCGCAATTTGACCACGGAGCCGGAGGGGATGGTGGTAAGGGGGGGAGGAAGAAAATGGAGGCGTAGGTAAAACAACCGAGAGAAGAGGAAAATGAAAGGGAGAATTAGGTATGAAGTATGGGAGAAGAAAAGGAAGAGAAGAAGGGGAGAAGGAGAGAGAGAGAAGATGAGATGAGATTGAGAGAGCGAGAGAGAAGAGGCGCCTAGAGAGCCTAGAGACTAAGAGACTAGAGAGCCAGAGAGCCTTGACGGACTCTGGCGGGTACGTGGTATCTGTATGGTACGGCACCGCCGGGCAGGACAGCCCGTGTTTCGGTATTACCGTCTTTTGTCGGTATTTTATGGTACCGCTAGTCCTAGTCTAGTTACTCTATCGATCCCGCTAGCCCGAAATAGGTGGATACCTGCCTGAGGCCGCTGGTCAACCACGGTCGTTTACAGAAAAATCGGATGAAAAGATGAAGAACTAGTTAGTAGTTACCTTAGTTGGGAAACAAGGAAAGAGAAAAAAAAATTTTCACCAGACTCGGAAGACGGCAACTATGAATTTAAACTACAAGAAGAGTAACTCCATCGGTGGGTAAGGACCGACCTCCATTCATCAGCAAAGCCAGTCAGATCAATATGAATTGGCGGATGCAGCGGAAGTTCGGAGGCACGGAGTTACTGGTTTGTCTACTGAGGTACCTACATAGTACATATTCCTGCGATCCCCTCGGTAGTTGGATGTAAAACACCAAAAGCAAAGTCAATAAAATGAAGGGATTATCGGGCTCTCTCCGTCAGATGGAGAATCCGTCCAAGGAGGTAAGTCAGTCGAGGGGAGTATGATTGCACCTCCTTAAAACACCTGGCAGTTGTCATTTCATGGAATGCAGAATCAGCAGTCTGATTGGGGAGAATTGACCCACCGGATATACAGACCGGCCAATGGGAAGCCGCGGATCTCCCGAACCAATTTCGCTTAACCCACAACGGTTGGACAGTCAGCAATGAACTAAGTTCCTCACTGGCCAAAGAAATCATCCGACCACGATGCGCCGAGCCCCACTGTCCCTGGCTACTTCTCCTGAGTAGGTGTTGAGTATCATGATCGATCCTTATATCTTAGGGGAAAATAGTAAGTTTGGGGGGACAATTTACTTAACTAGATGGAGAAAGACGTGTATATATAATACATAGTATTTTGATGATATTCAAAGGAGAGGGCCCAAGGTAGGCGTAGGCATATCTTAGCTATAGAGTAGTCTATCCCTTCATATGCCGAGCGGAATTACAAATCCCCTGAGCATCGAGGTAAAAAGCCTTACCACCCCTCCCACGGTCCTCCTCACCTGCCACCTCTTCACCACGGTTCAACATTCAGATCTTCACCAAGTGACCAGGGAACGAGACTTCATTTTTTGTACATTGTAGTCTTCATCTCCATCCCCTACCAATGTGCTCAGTATGCAAGTTATGCGCCTGAAATTGGAATGGAAGCGCTTCTCCTCTTTCCCCCCAGCAATCACAATCGAGTCTTCCAGATCAGCGACTCCACCCCTCTGGTCGCATTGACAGGCCAACCAGTGGATTGATGGCGATGTGCAAGTCTATCAGGGATCTAAATCGTGTCTAGCACGGTCATCGACCTTGATTGGATACACGAGGGGGAGGGGGGATCCTCTGCCCAGCCCCATGGAAGTGAACGAGAAAAAAGATAATAAATAAATAATAAAAGAGGATGCATGTCAATAAGTAAGTAATCTGTTAGATTGTTACGGTGTCATGACGGTATTCTATACCCAAGATGATGGTACAGAATACATTACAGCGTATCTCCCCATACTTACCCACTTGGGTAGTTCTGTACTTACTGAAAAAGATCAGATGGATAGAGATGGATCACGGCAAGCCGCAACCCGCCCGGACAAGCTGATCATTTTACATCCGAGTGGACAAACTGTGAGCACTAGTCCTGCATAAATGGCACGACTGGTCATAACATGCCACTTGCAAGGGGATATCGTGCCAGCTCTCTTTGTTCACCTCCCACGTTTACTCCCTTTTCATGTAATGAAAGAATGAGATGTGATGTCATTTCATTTTCCCCTTACTTCTTGGGCATGGGGTTGAATTATGTTAATATCATGGATTACTTCATCATCGGTTGTTTGTCTGTTGTCCTTGCCGAGTTACAAATCATCCATCATCTTGACTAGTGTAGTGAAAAAATAAAAATGAAAGCATAAATGAAAGCATAAATGAAAGGAAAGGGAAAGAAAAAAAAAAAAAAAAAATTGAACCAAAGAACCTGATCGATCGCACTGGATCCAGTTAGTAGACGCCCCCAAATACCCGATTCAAGGCAACAGCGTTGATCGGACTTCACAAGAAAAAGAGCCAAGCCAAGGAACCCTAGTTACCTTACCTAGGACCGTGGAGAAGCTCTTTCTCCTCGGCATTCCAATCCGGTTCGAATCCTTTCTTCATGAAACATTCTCAATCATCAACCATGTAATCAATCAAATGCATCTAATCCCTTCTTTCCTTCTTTTTAATCAGAAAGACAAACATAGTCATCTCGTATTCGTTCAGCAATCCTCATTACGAGCTGCGCCTACTTTTCATCTCATCTCATTTCCTCCAAGTAAGTAAGTTAGTTAGTTAGTTGCCAGGACCCGCTTACTCATAGCTTCAATAAGAACGAGCAATGCCCAGAAGTGGATCCCTCCAGGAAAAAAAACGACCACTCGACAACCAGCATCAAAGGGCGAGGCGCTGAGCCTTGGAGATCACCAATCCAATCATCACCCCTTCTTCCACGTGAAGTGGAGACTACTTCCCTTCCTAATACGGGGGAAGTCATATACATGAGATACCTCCATCATCCTCATCCTCCACCACGATCACGTAGGATTCTAAATTACTGACTGTATCGATGAGCCCGACCGGACGGGTCTGGGTCTACCTGTCAAAGAAGTCCGCAGCGTTACAGCAACCCGCTTTTTTTTTCTCCCACGCGGGAACGGTACCCGCTTTGCGCTCATTGCATCATGAGTCTATGAGTCTGCCTTAAGGGGGACTCGAATACATCATCGCGCATCATGGATTGGGTTGACTTGGCTGGACTGTATGGTGCGTTACAGGGCGGTATTCTTTGACCGTATGGATGCATGGTGCATATACTCGCCTTGTCCAGGGTGGAGTGAAAGTAATAGATGTGATTGTGGAGGGCAAAAGGTACATATGGTCAGCTGACTTGTGCTGACCTGGTTTTCGATCCCAGCTGAGATGTGATGAAAGAGATGAGATGAGATCATCCCGCATATGCTTCAAACATTCAAAACTACCTGTTTATACTATGTCGGAAATATAGTCTCTTACAACCATTGTGATCAATACAGCACAAAAACAATGAAATGTGATAAAAGAATGAGCAGATCTACCGCGCATCCGCATCCGAGCGCTTCGCCCACCCCCTCCCCCCCAATCCCATCCAATCCCACGCGCTAAGAATGAGCTATTGGTCTGGGGTGTTGTCGATCCCAAGTAACTAGGTTGGTAGGTCGGTCGGTCGATGGGACTTTTTGGTTGTCTGTGCGAAGCGCCAGTCTGGGGTTTGAGGCACAGATGAGGCCGGTTGGCTGGTTGGCTGGTTTACTGACCTACCTTGTGGTGGGGTTGAAGCTGGCGGTGATGTCTAAATATAAACGAGGCGTGGGTTAATGAGGCTGGGTAAGTACTAATTGTGGCAGAGCATAAGATAGCTAGTATCTTCAGGATGCCCCGCATTACAACCTGACGTATGATTATCTATTGTGTTTTCTGCTAGAGGGTTGACTGGGGGATGTCTAGTAAGAAAGTATACACATGTTCGACTGTTGTGCATGGCTGTAGTCATAGTATAGTTCCGTATCAGTCTCCGGTCACCTACGAACGTACTACGTAGTAGTTTTAGATTTCACTTCCAACCGTCCCAAAAGCCATCCATACATACTTATCAAGTGGTTCTATTAGTAGGTAATCAGGTCTCATTGATATCACTAATACACCGAACATTTTCAACTCCCTGTTTCCTTCTATATCAGATGATCTCACGTACAAGCCCTCCCAAATTTCCTCCAATAACACTGCATCAACAAGGTACTACCAGGTAGAGAACCCATGATATGTCCTAATCTTACAAAAAGCCACCCCTCAACAAAGTTTATTTATCGTATTCGGCTCTTTCCTGTCCTCCCATTTTAACATTTTCCGCTCAAGCTGTCCAGCCTGATGCTATTAAGCTCGCGAGCAATACGACCTACCCAAAAAAGCATAATCATCTATGCACCTAGCTAGGACGGTAAGCCAAAACTTAATATACATACATAATTCTATGGAATAGCGGTATACACGTATAACCATCAAGCCATGTGACTCGGTCACTTTTGAGTTTGACCGCCACAGTTTACTAGTGGAAACTTACCATAGAAGTCTGACCGTGAAGGTTTCATCTGGGATGGCTTGGTTCTTGGCTTTTTGAGCCACGTTGCTCGGCTTATTCTGGGGAGGTTTAGCTGAGCTGAGTGATAGTATCCGTCGGAGGGAAGTAAATAATCGATACACTGGTTGTTACTCCAAATGGCCTGGCTTGATAGAGGTACAAACCCTTCCTCTCTTAGGCAGAAGGCAGAGAGCAGGATTATTGCTTCTCTGTAACACCAGTAGCACATCGACCATTTTACTGTCAACCAGAACTTAGTATGTAAACCTGTTCCGGAATAATAATCTATCCCAGGGCGAATCTATACATAACGTCTTATAATTGACCAGCCTTTGTAGACCATTCAATTTTGAGTCTCGCGAGCTTCTTCCTCCCTTGCCTTTTCTTCTCTCGTCCTCTCCAGCTTCTGGCAAAATTCTTCAGTATACTCATCCGGATCCCACGCCAAGATCCTGTGTTCCATCTCCTCGAGCTTCCTCGTCACCAGCCGTTCCATCTCGCCCCTTTGGGCTTCATCTAGCTGTTCCAATCGCTCTTTCCATGCCTCGCTGGGATCGTCGATCCTTGTCGGCCCGAAAAACCTTGGGTCGATCTTTTTCCAGTAGATCTCGTCAAACGCAAAGCTATTCTGAATCGCATACACGATCCAAAAGTCGCCGCTCTCCCAGCTCCGTTGCATATGACTCGAGAGCCGGCGCTGGTCATGCTGGACGACAGCACCTTCACAGTTCCTCATGGCTGTTAGGAAGGTCTTGAGGCGGCGATCGAATACTCGGGTCCAGTCCTCGATACCTTCAGCCCAGTATTCCGGCCTTTCGATAAGGAGCCACCACGGTGGTGCGTATGAAAACTCCACGGGTGCTGCATATGTGAACTCCCAATCCACGACGCCGGCAGTATGCGTATCTTCATTGAGAAGAACATTGGCTGGTCGGAAATCATCACACCAGAGTTTGAAAGGTCCATTCTCGTACAATGGTAGCGATAATTTCTTGTCCATGGCAAGCTTGTAAAACAGCTGTCTTGCCACGTACTTACGGCGACAGTCATCTGCAGTCTGCACCGCATCATTCCTTTGATGAAATAAATGTTGGATATTGAGTTGTGCCAGAGCTTCAATGTAGGAAGATGCTGTACTGAAAGTGGCATCCAGAGATGGAAGTTTGGATCGAGGTAGTGACCCTAAACGCACCAGCGTATTCATATTCATTGATAATGGCCGGCGGGTGACCTCCCAGGAAAAGTCATCCACCTGGGTGAGGGACCCTATTTGGGGAAACTCCGTCTTGTAAAGCTGAAGCAGGATATTTGCTAATTGTGCATATAGTAACCCAAGTTGATCTTCATCAATATTCGGATTCAGAACCCCCCGCTCTTCAATTGGACACCCGGGGGTGTTGAGAGCCGCATACATGCTTTTCGTCCATTCAACATGGTTCATCACGATGAAAGGACCGAGCTTAAGGGGGCTCTCCTCCCTTGTACCCGAGAGAAGAACGAATGGAACTGGAATTGGTGTCCGATCTGAGAGGTATCGCATCACAGCGACCTCATTCTCTGTCTTTTCCTCAGGAAAAAAAATAGTGCCAGGTTGTGGAAAACGGATATCAGTCGCGCCGCATGTGTTCTTCATTTGTAATACGATATTGAAATACCCTCTTCCACAAATTCTAAACTCGGGGTCGTCGCCAGAATCATGCCTCAGGATAAAGCTTACAATCGGTCTAGCGACGTCGAAGTCAAGAAACTGCTTTGCCCAATTGTCGGCGACATCCTCGGACTGTTCCCATGCAATTTCGTCGAAACGCATCCAGGGCTTCATAGTTTCGGATGAAAGAAGAACGTAGTTGCTGGTCTTTGTAGTGAGGTTTTTAAGTTTGGGGCTGGAAATGTCGTCGATGAAAAGGGGCTATATGAATAGTAGTATAGTGATATTGATCTTATCAAATCGACACGAACGCCGCAATCAATAGAGCGCGAGAACAGCTATCCATCTACAATCTCGAAATAAGAGAAATGAGAAGTCTATAGGGTATGAGAGACCAGGGAAACAGCGTTAAAGAGGAAAATAGGGAGGAAGCAGCCATCCACGTCCCTGCTTTACCACAATCACATGACCATCGCGATCTATCACAAATCCGCAATTGTAGTGGAACTGTGCCGCAGCCATTTTTGGAAGATCGTTGGGTGTGGTGACTACCTCTCAAAAGGTGTTGGGGATGAAGCTTGGGCGGACTCAACTTGCTTTCCGTGGCCATCCCTCTGGGGTATTCTGGTAGCTTTGGACTTGATTCTATGGCATAAGAGGAGCTAGGTCTTGGTATCCCAGGTGTTGTATTGTCTGGAGGCGACTAGTTGATTGAAGCCCCCGCGCAAGCCACAGAGGATACTGTACGATAGAACCTTCTATGAAGAGCTAGCTGTCAGTCACTCGGATCCTCTGCGGCAATACGGTGCATAGGAACGAAGGACTGGAAATCAAAACATTCATTATACTAAGAGACCTAGATCAACATATAAACCATTAGCAATACCCGAGTTAGGGGCAGTAGAATTTGTATCTATTCTCCTGTTCCAAAGATAATCTAATTCCAGAATAGTGGTTGAGATCTCCTCTTGCGAATGTTTACTAATTTCCATGCTGATCCAGAGTTTCTCAAACACCTTGAAGGTAGGGGAAGTCATGGCCCTGTCCTGTTGCTTGACTTCCAGGTATATGATCATTTTATGGCTATCTTACTCTGTATAGAGTGGGTTGAATAACCTAGAGAGGTATGTACGGAGGACCTCAGGCATGCACTAGAGAAAAAAAACTCCATCTCAAATTCTATATTCAAAAAAAGCCCATCCCAAAAAGCCAACCAGAGGATGAAAGTTACAGAGAAAAGGCGGCCATTTCTGCCTGTTTTCAGAGCAGCCACTCCCCAAATCGTACTATATAGGCCGAAAGGCTGTGTCGCATCATGTCAGAGTTGATCTTGTCTTTGTTGATTGATGAATACTGCGCCAGATTGGCGATCAATTCCTAATTCGCTTCTGAAATAAAGCACTAGCCAGAGCACAACTAGGCTGTAGCCTCGGTCTGTTTCTCAACTCAAGTCGTGTATTTATATGTAGCTCATGATCCCCCGGTCGCATGTCTTCTGATGCTTGTGGTGCGTCTGTCTGCTCTCACCCTCAAATTGTATCATAGTTACCCACACCATATTATCGAGTCGATAAAAACAGGTATAATGGCAGACAAACTCTGTGATGATATTTGCAATTCAGTTTGGGGTAATTGTGATCTCTGGGGGAATACTCCGTTTCTCGACCAGGACCCTCTGTTCCCCGGCTGGGGTATGTTTGCATCTAAATCGTTTGGCGAAATACAGCGAGCAGTACATTGTCCTCTGTGTCGACTTGTGGAAATTTTACTTGTCAGATCTAAGGATGCAGAGCTTGTTCTTACCAGCGACAAAGAGATCTATTATAGCTACGCATTGGAATCAGAATACATGGACTTGACTTGCAATACACGGCACAGTCAAGATCTTGAGTCCGATTCTCTTCGCCAAATCAAGAGCCTTCTAGTCGGGACTGATTTCACTCACGCAAAAGAAAAACGTGAATTTGCTTGGTTTCATGACAACAGTACATGGATAACTGAAACTTGCTTTGGACGCATTGTCTGTTTGGTAAATGACTGTTTTGGAGACGTATGGTATCATCACAGAGCTGTCAATGAAAGGGTCCACATCCAGCGGACCAAACAGTGGATAGAAGCTTGTTTTTCTCATCCAGAGTGCTCTCAGTCTTCCCCTGACCCTGAAAGGCCCAGTCGGCTTTTGAATGTACACACCGGTATTATCGAGGCAGCCCCCCCAGATTGTCACTATGTGGCACTCAGCTTTTGTCAAGGCCGTAACTATGAATTCTTTTGCGACAGCCAGCGGATTCAAGAGTTCGAAAACAACGGGATCCTACATCCCAATAACCCTAACATTCCTAAGACTATCAGAGATGCTATTGCCATAGTCCAAGATCTGGGAATGCGCTATCTTTGGGTTGATACAATATGCATTCCGACCCCTGAGATTGGGGAAAGCTACAAGCGAGAAGACGTTCACCAGCGCGAAATCATGCCAGATATCTATCGTGGCAGTTATGTTACGATAGTCGCTACAGGACGAGATGCACAGATTGGCCTATACGGAGTTCAAGATACCAAAAGACTACCTCAAGTACGAGAGAACTATAGTGGCAGAACACTGGCAATACAAAAACCATGTTTTGAGGACTCTGTAGGTGCTTGGCCATGGAGTGAACGGCGTTGGACATTTCAAGAAGCCCACCAACCGCGCCGACTACTGATTTTTTCAGACGAACAAGTCTTCTTCAGATGCCATTCGGGTGTCTTGACAGAGTCAGTGCACATGGAAGTACCGGATAATGAGAGAGGGCATGTCAAACATCGGCCAGTGGATGATGTTTGGTTAGACAAGGGGAAACCTGGCCTCGGAGATGCGTTTATAAGTTATACACAACATGCTTTGAAATTCTCATCAAGTGAATCTTCTCGACCGTCAGATAACGTGGATGCTTTTCGATCATATATCCCTGTTATTGGGCCCCTTTTTCACGGTCTTCCCACCAGCCCAGCGTGTACATTTACCATCGCACTATGGTTTGAAGTGTTTGATGGTCTGCGAGCTACATCGGAACGAGTTCAAGTTCCAAGCTGGAGTTGGCTGGCTTGGAAGGTGCGTGATGACGCATTATATGGAGATTGGATTTCTCCTGATACTGTTCTGGAAACTTCATCTGAGAACACTTTTTGTCGCTTCTGGCGCTTCGAAGCTAGGACAAATTCTACATTCCCAGGAAAGCGGAATTTAGTTCCTGTTGATCCAAATTATCATATCCCAGTTGAAACCTGTGGCATCAACATGGAAGCCCTGACTGAGAAGGAAACAGACCTAGCTGTGGTAGCTTGGGAAGTTGATGTGCTCAAACTTCAGTTTCTCAATTGGCTGGAAGATCAATGTCTTGGTTGTGCGGCTCTATCTCTATTTGGCAGCCCAAACGAGAACATACAAAGTCAGATTTTCCATGCCACATTAGATCCAAAACTTGACATGTCTTGCACAGCTGAGATCAATGCCTTTCTTTTGTTTTCTAATACAGAAGGTAATTTCTTGCTGTTGGTCAAGACCAATGATAAAGGCATCTCTGGACGTGTCGGTGCTTGTTACATCTCAGAAACCCAATGGGGAGAGAATAATTTGACGTTTCACATGCGGAAAGACACACTGGTGCTAATATAACTTATCCAAAAAGCCAGATTCTATTCCATCAGCCATCTGTCATGCAAGATTCTATACCTTAGTATGAAATCTAGTTCTCTCTTATTGCAATTTGGCCGCCCCTGATGTTCTTACCAGCCTTTTATTCCTGGTCCTGTCCCTTTCTGTTATCTCTCCTTTATATACTGATATACTATTGGCTTCCCCTGATCCTACTAGCTAGTTGGTTTCTCATTCATGGTTTTCTTGTTTGTTTTTCTTCTCTCTAGGTTTAAATTCTTTCTATCTCAATCTATTGTTTTGCGGGGTCTTGGAATATTGAAGCATTTACTCGAAGATAATTTACAGGGCTAATTTATATATCTGTACTTTAATTTCTACCGAGATATTTTCAGTAGCCCTGCTTCATTCGTTGTTGAGAATGACACCGAACAAAATATCCAGTTTATGATCATCTCTGACTGTTTGTAGCTGGAATGTTTTGGCATATGTCTCGGAGTGATAGAAGTCGGTGATTGGAGTAGCTATGTGACTAGTTCAGAGTTGAAGGTCCCCAAGTTTCTGCAGAATAACAGTACAATAGTACATACTATATAATTAACTAAATTACCCCTCCAATTTTACATACTTTGGTATCAATCTTGCTTCGTTGTATAGTGAGGCACCACAGTGGCAATGTCCAAGAAGCATGCATGCACGGATCTCCACTAGGGCGAAGTACTCCGCTGAACGAGCGAAAATCCTTGAAGCGGGGGAAGCAAGCGTGCGCTGGCATTTTGTTTGATCTTGTTTGCTTGTTCGAATTCGACCTTTTTGTCATTCTTTTCTTCTTCTTTGTTTGCTTCTTGTTACTATTGATTTTTTGAGTAGGGAAGAGTTGAGACGGATGTAGCTAGTCAGTGGTGTGAGTTTGAAGGTAGTGGTGGAAAGGTACTGGATGGGTTGTTGATTTGGTTTATTTATTTATTATTGTTATATCTATCTTTTGGGTAACATTGCCGAGTATGTACCGGTTTAGTAGGTAGGTCGGTACGGAGAGTAGGAGGTAGTAAGTTATGTGGATAAGTTATGTAGGACACCAGCAAGTGGGTGCTGTTTCAGGCTGAAGCGACAGGTATGTGCGTACTAGGGACCTACTGACGATGGTGTCAATATGCCAATTGTCTAGACTCCTCAGCAATGGAGATACCTGAGGCTCCATTCTTATCTGGTATCTAGGTACACACCTTGCTTCGTGGGTATGTGCCTCGTCGTGGCATCGGTCTAGCCCTTACTGTTTCAGTTTCCTAAGATAATGTCTACTAATAGTCTTGACTATTGCTCGTTATTTCGTGCGTGTTTTCGATATGTATGTACATCGTAGATAAACACCATAGTGATATACCAGACCACGTTTTGTCCTGCCCAGTGTGGACCGAACGCCAGACACCAAACACCAACCGATGACACCAGGAAAAGGAGGGAAATGAACGGGAAAAAAGGAAGAAAGAGCCAAGTTAATGACCCTCCTGTCCTCCATCTTCATCCGCAAGCATCTGGAATCCCTTCACCAGTCCCATGGCCGATCCGGCGGCGATCCCGCCAACCAACACCATCTGCACGCCCCCGATCATGCCCTTTCGAACATTCCGTCGCCCGGACCAGCCGCTCACGAAGCAGGTCTTCCCGTAGCCGAACACGAACAGCGCCACGGCCATGGTGGCGATCGACCAGCGCAGCGCGACGTAGGCGTCCAGCGGGCCGACGAAGAAGTAAGGCAGGAGCGGGACGAACCCGCCGACGAAGTAGCCGAGCGCGATGGTCACGGCGCAGACCCAGGCGCGGGACCCGGACGGCTCCTGTAACGTGTGGTGGAAGTTCATGAGGAAGGACGGGAGCATGGGCGAGGCGGATAGGTGCTGCGTGAGGTCGGAGACGAGATGCGGTGGGAGGTCGTAGGGCGCGAAGATCTCCGATACGGTCGTTGTCACGGAGTCGGGATCCGTCATGGTTTCCTTTTCCGTGTCTTTGAGGGTCGCGCGATAGGATTCCCTGGGCAGTCACACTTAGTCCTCATTGCGATCGGGTTATCCTTTTCAAGGAATTGTTCGTTTGCTGTGGTAAGGGAAATGGAAGTATAGACTTACTCTTCGCTCTTGGCGCCCAGATATCCACCCAGTCCCATGGAAATGGCTCCCGCAATCAACTCCGCCAATCCACCAAAGACAACCACTTTGGTGTCTCCCAGCGCCGACAGACCGGCCGTGAGTGCGAACGGCACGGTCATCCCGTCGGACAGACCGATGATGGCGTCTGACACGATGCGACCGTCGACGCGGGATTCTTTCTTCTCGAAGCCATCCCGCCCGGGTCCGACCATCGTGCTGTTCGAGCATTCAGAGTCTCTCGACATATGATGCGAATAGAACCCCTTTTCCGCGTCGCCATCTGCGACGGCGGAGTAGCTCGAGAAGAAACCTTTGATGGATGCGAGCGACATTATTTGGCCGGTCTTGGGTCAACCTGTAGTATGTAGGTTTGTCGAGACTGGTGTTGTCTTATCTCTCAGGAGGAACTCAAATGGTTTTGGAGGAAGGCAGGGGGACCACCGGTTTAATAAAGGCGCAGATATCTCAAATCCACCTGAAGAATGTGGGATCGAAGCAGGATTAACAGGATTCCGTAGGATCAAACCCGGTCGTGTCGTTCTGGACTGGACAAATCAGGAACACAACCGGTGGGACCAAACCGGGCGAGGGAGGACTTAAGAGATCCTACAACCGGGGCGTCGACTGGGGGCGAGGGATAGAGGTATCAGAAACCTCCAGATAGATGACCCACGCAGTTACATCAGGGATCCACGCGAGATGAAGACAAGCGTCGGTGAGGGGTCTTGATGCGACCTCGTGCCTTTGCACCCCGGTCGATCAAGTCTATCAAGCCCGCGAGTGGCCTATAGAAAGTCCCAGTAACAAATGAACCCAAATGGGATTCGATCATTTGGTGCGGAGAACGATAACACGTGGACCGCCTGATTGGTCAGCAGTGGGTGTTGGCGGATCCACCGTCAGGCGGAGAACTTCACCTTCCAGTTAGCATTACTCCACTCTAGAGTACTATACTTCCTTGGAATTAGTATGGATGTTATGACATGGATCATGGCTCTGGACGGAGTACAGTACGGAGTGCGGTAGATAGTCTGGCTGTACGGAGTATCGCTAATGATCCAGAGAACTCCTGTCCCTTGCATATCCAACAATCCACATCACTGTCAATCATCCGACAGGTCGAGCAAGAGACGCAAAATATCATCATCGTGGACACCGTGCGATCATTGAAGGAATGGGTGGTTGACACTTCACACGTCCCCTGCATGGACGCGAGGAGGTCCCGTGTGATTCAATAGTGTCATCCGCATCGACCGCCGCCGTCTCCGGATCGCGGAGAAAGCCGTCGTCATACTCCCAAAGTGGACCTTGACGCGATCACAGACAACTGCAGAAGATCGATCCATCCGACAAAATGCCTCCATGCTCCAAATCTCATGAGATAAAACTTGCTCAGGGAGCGGAATGTCAACCCCCTTGCGACGCGATCAATTGATCCACCATACCGAGGACGAAGGGGTTAAATAACGCGTGCACGGCTATTTAAGAATGCCCGATCTCACGAGCTAGAACTCTTGGTTCTAGAAGACTAAATTGCACGAGACTTACCGATAGCGAGAATGAAGTTGTCATGGACAGTTGTATTCGCGCTGGCGGCACTTGCCTCAGCGCGGCCTCAGGAGCAGGATAGGCGGACCTGGAGTCACCTCCGATCCAACGTATGCATACATTGCGAGGCAGAGAAACGATAGCTGACCCCAACAGATCAAACATGTTGTCTACCTGATGATGGAGAACCACTCCTTTGACAACATCGCCGGCTACTGGGATTTCCACCCGGACATCGACAACTTGCGCAATATCAAATACTGCAACGAGTACACCAACCGCAACTGGACAGTGTGGGACGAACCGCTGGAGATCTGCGCCTCTCCGTACGAGACAGAGGTGCCGCTGGAAGATCCGGACCACGAGTTTGCCGGGGTCACATATGAGATCTACCGCAAGTGGAATGCCACCAACGACGATGTGCCCAACATGGGCGGCTTTGTCGAGCGACAGTCGGATAAGTATCACTCGTCGCCAGGGGAGTCAGGGTTTGTTATCAAGGCGTACGATACGAAGAAATCAGCCACGCTGGCGGAGATTGGCGAGAACTTTGCTTTCTTTGACTCTTATGTATGAGACCTCGCCCGTGAGCATCCCCAAACTAACGAGTGCAGTTCTCTGAACACCCCGGGCCCACGAACCCCAATCGCCAATTTGCGACGTCGGGGTCCACCTGCGGGATGGTGGATAACGGCAACCAGGCGGCGGGGTTCTTCAACAATGTGACGGGAACTACATGCGCGAAGTCCATCTTTGAATCTCTGAGCGAGAGGGGGATCAGTTGGAAGAACGTAAGCACATGATTCGGCTTCGTGTGGACCTTCTGACAAAAGCAGTATTATGAGACGGACATTATAGATGGTTGGATGTACAAGGTGCGTCTCCATGATACCCAGTGTTGTTGGTTGACAGACCACTGACTAGACTAGTGGGTGCAAGACAACGCCCAAGACCACCTCGCGCACGCGGACGAGTTTTATAGCGACCTGGAGGAGGGAACCCTGCCCACCTTCTCCTACATCAACCCAGAGTGCTGCACGGTCGACTCGATGCACCCGACGAGCAACATGGCAGCGGGCGAGCAGATGATCAAGCACCTGTACGACGCGGTGCGGCGTTCGAAGTACTGGGACAATGTGTATGTGCACCAACACGGGGAGATTCCAGTGCTAACGAAGAACCCAGTCTGATCATCATCAATTTCGACGAGCATGGGGGATTCGCCGACCACGTTCCTCCACCCGCGAACGTGCCACAGCCGGAGGACGGCATCAGTTTCGACGGGAAGTCGGAAGGCCGCGACGTGACCTATGACTTTACCCGGTTGGGAGTGCGGTATGTCCTCTCTCCCTTCATTTCTCAATCTCCTCTCAGAACTCACGAATACTCATGAACAACAGGGTCCCCGCCTTTCTAATATCCCCCTACATCAAAGCCAACACCCTAATCCACGACGCGGGCACAATGTACGCGCACGACTCCGCCTACACGCACACATCAATCCTACACTTCCTGCAAGAACTATGGGGCCTGAAGGGTCTGAACAACCGGGTACAGTGGGCCAAGACATTCGAGCACGTATTCTCCACAAAGAAGCGATACGATAAGCCGGTCCAGCTGAAAACACCACGCTGGTACGGGAGTAGCTGGGAGCCGAAGCCGGATCCATTTTACCTGTTGAATCAGGATGAGGAGTATTATGCTCGACGGAGGGTACTTGAGAAGCAAGAATAGATGGTATCAGGATACAACGATCAACAAGACGCTCGATAGACTTGGCTGATAGATAGGGTAACATATAGAACATAGAGCATAAGGGACATTCACAGCGCATCTCATGTAAGACTAGGTAGATAGATACCTGTCTCGGGGTCCACAACAGAAAGACATAGACGGAAGCATCGCTTGCCAGCAAACCACACCACACTCAAATCCACCTTATTTAGCCCTGCAATCAACATCAGCACAACGTGCAATCAAGCCCCTCCAAAGAGGGGAAATAAGAAGGGTGTGGGAAAATGAACATACTTCCTCTTCTCCCCCTCACCCTTCTTCGCCCCCGACGAAGACGAAGAAGCGAACGAAGACCACCCAGCCGCCGGACCCGACATATCCCAAATCTTACTCTTATACGCCGGGAAAGAAGTATGATTCCACATGTTGACGAGGACACTACCCACACATTAGCTTTTTCTTCTCTTTACTTTCTCTTCTGCTCCTGTGGGTATTTTCCATCCAGATAATGGAAAATCAACCCCTCCCCAAGAGGGGAAAAAAGAGAGAAAAAAAGAAGAAAAAAAAATGTAGACAAACCTCTGACTCCGATCCTTTAACTCCTCATCCTGAATCTCCTTCACACCCACTTTCATTCCATCCCGGGAAAACATGACGTTCTTCTTCTCCATGCGGGAGCGCGTGTTGCGGGTGATTTCTGTGGCGGTGGACCACGCGATGTAGCCTATGACGGCGAAGATGGCGACGACGACGAGGAGGATGATGAGGGGGAGAATCGGGTTTGACATTTTGCTTCTTTCTTTATTTCTTTCGGTTTGTTTATTGAGTGATGTATTGGTTTGGTATATTTGGTTTTTTGGGGTATTCGGTTGGTTGTGTTGTGTTGTGGGTGGTTCGTGGTTCGTGGCAGATCGATCGTGGGTGGTCTGGGCTTTGGTGGATTGGAGTGGATGAAGTGGATTGATCTATTGAATGTTAGGTTAGAAATCAATCAAACGGAAATATAAGAGGAGAAAAGGCAGTTAAATAGGTACCTAGGTAAGAGCAAGATGCAATAAGACGGTAGGGCTGAGAAGAAACGGGTGGTCAGTGGTTTGCCGATCAGGTGGCTGGATCTGCATGACATACCTATTAACCACCATTCATTGACCCGGTAGTAGTATCAAGTGGTTTGATGATGGTGATAGTATGATTGATATGAAGAGATATCGAAGGGGGGAAATCAGAAAAGAGGAGAAAAGAGAAAGGGAAATTCAAGAAGAAAACAAGAGAAAGAGCCAAGACTGGAACCAAGGGTGCAAGGATCCGGTATGGGGTTCGGAATCCTGGTGCCTATTTCAGTCTTCTACAGTACTCATGAGACTTCCAGTATTATGTGCTAGGTGACTGTATTCAATCATCCATATCTTGCTGTACCTGTTTGGTACTTGGGTACCTCCAGGTACCTTAGGAGGACTCGGTATGTATATATACGTTATCTTATTTTATCCTCACATCAGACATTTTACACCATAATATTCTCCCAGGTATATCATCTCGAATATAATGAAATAATACTCTACCACCTAGAGAGCCAAATAAAAAAATAAGTAACAGCAGTAATAGTAGTAGCAGGACGGAGTTGAACAAGAGAAAAAAAAAATAAGAAGAAGAAGAGTGACAACTCAACTCCCCTCATACAATACATCATAATGAATCATTCAACCCAGCCGATCTCCTCTCCACCCATCTTGATCATCATATACTTACTACTCTCAATTCCCATCTCGCAGTCGATCTTTTTCTCTCTCCCTTCAATATTCCTTTTCCTCTTTCTCTATCTATCTAATAAATAATAATAATATAAATAATATGTGCGGCGTCCCTTTCTTCCCCATCCCCCTCTGCTTCCAGTGCGGCACGGACCGGAATCCCTGCCACTGTCGCGTTATTGGTCCGTCTGTTGGTATGTCTTTTTTTTCCCTACTGTCCCTTGCTGTTCCCACCAGGTACATGCCAGGCACATACTTCCTACCGGCAGGTAGGTCCTACATATGATACTAATGGAAATATCTAGCCTTCATCGTGAGTATCGTGACAGCTGTACGTCATCCTACATCTACCAATTTCATGCATAAAGCTAATGATGAATAGGTCGTCTGCTATCCCGCGTCCATCTTCTGCGGATGTTGTCTGACGAAGCCTGGGAAGGAGTGAGTTTCATTTTTCCTTGAATTTGTCTTCAAATTTGATATGATGTGTCTAATGAAGGGTAGTGTCCTGGCATTCCCCGTGGAGGTGAATCGCATGGTGAATGAGTGTATACCTATTTGAACTGTATTTACTTCTTGCTGTGGAGGGAATATACTACGATATAATATCAAACAAGAGGATCAGGAAACAATGGTCATTATAGATATACGAACAGTGCTGCGTCCAATGGCATAACCAATATCCTCCGAAACACACAAGAATAAACATCAGACATAAACATAAGGTATAGACAAGGATTAACAATGGAAAGAAACAAGGTGAGGATGAGAACAGGCTATTTGAACTTCTCCTTCAGCTTGCTGAAGAATCCGCGCTTCTTCTTGGCTTCTTTGGCCCCCTGCTGCACGGTGTCCTTGCCCGTGGTCCCGTTGGTTCCTCCGCCCGCTTGGTTGGTCTGGCCTGTGGACTGCTGGGCTTGGGTACCTGTTGGTTGCTGGGTCTGGGCACTTGTCGGTTGCTGGGCCTGGGTACCCGTTGGCTGCTGGGCCTGGGAGCCCATTTGTTGCTGCGCCTGGCTACCCATAGGCTGCTGGGTCTGAGAACCCATCGGTTGCTGCGCCTGGGAACCCACCGACTGCTGTGCCTGGGAGCCCATCGGTTGCTGCGCCTGAGCGCTCGTCGATTGCTGCGCCTGGGAACCCACCGATTGCTGCGCCTGAGCACCACCCAGTCGCTCCGAAGGGCCCGTCTGCTGCGTGGACGAGGCGCCCGCCGGTCCCGCCTGGGACGGCTGCGACACAGCTGGGGTCGTCTCGGTGCGGGGCCCGCTGGTGACGGTCGGTCCCGCGGCGGGGTAACTGCTAGACGGCGACACCTTCTCCAAGTCGGGAGCCTCACCCGAGCGCTTTCCCGGCGCGGTGGCCGACGTGGCCGCCGTGAAGGTCGGCGCCGGGGTCCCCGCGGACTCCTCCCGGGTCACCTTCCTCTGGAGCTCCTGCTCCACCTCCCGTTTCTCATCGACCGCCTCCTCGTAGGCCGCCGCCTCGGGGTCTTTGTGGGCATCGCTCATGGACCGCTGTACCACGTCCGGCACGTCACGGGCCGGCCCTCCGCCGGTGGTGGTCTGGCGCCGGGATTCGAGCGGCACCCCCGCGGCCAGGGCCGCCGTGGTCGAGTCGGGGGCCGCCGACTGGATGGTGGCCGGGTCGTAGCCCAGGCTCCCGGTCCCCATGGGAAGACTCGACTCTGGGATCATGTGCTGGGACTGGGAGGGGGGCGGCAGGGTGGAGGCCCCCGCGAAGGTGGCCGGTCCGCCGGTCAGCGGGGCGGAGGCATCCTGGTAGTAGGCGGCCGGGTCGGTGCGGACGGTCGACTGCACCGTGTTGGGGTTGAAGGTACTCGGGTCGGGCACCTTCTCGCCGGGTTTGAGGTGGATGGGATTACCGGAGCCGCTCGAAGCGGGGATGGGGTTGACGGAGAACTGCTTCGCATCGCCGCCGTCCCGCGGGGTGTCCGGGAAGGTCCCCGGCACGGTGGATCTCTGTTCGTAGGGAACATTTCTGGCAAGGCCGGCGGTGGTGGAACCCGGGGCAGCGGACGAGATGGTGGTGTCGCCCAGTTCGCGGGGGACCTTCCCGGCTAGGCCTGCGGTGGTCGACTCTGGGGTGACGCCGGACATGATGGCAGCGTCAGGGTGCGAGGCAGGTGCGGAATCGGGTTGAATCTGGTGAGGGTATAGGACGTTGTTGATGTTGTTGCTGCCGTCGTCTTCTTCTGGGGAGGAGGGATCGGTCGTCCAGATGCCGTCAACGACGAACTTTAAATGGGTCAGTTCCGGTCCGCAGCGATTCCTGTTAACGACACGCTGACGTGAGGGAGAGACATCCCGGGGGAGTGGGGAAGGGCAAGGACCCGGAGGAGGTGCGTCCACATGACGTCAGTGGACGGCCTCGCGTCATGGATGATTTATCGACTCTCCACGGTCTTGCCTTGTGCGGAAAGGAAACAAAGACGGACCTTGTAGTGTACTTTCTCCGTCATCCACGGCAGGTGGATCTCCTTCTCGAAAACGTCGCCCGTCCGGTCCAGCTTGACGGTCTTCGCCCAGTCATCGAAGGTGCCGGTTACGTACACCTCGTTGGCACTGTGCGGCCTAGATTGGGTTGGAGGCGGTCAGCGATTGAATTCCATCTGGTCTGATTCTGTAGTCTGATTCTGTGGTCCCCATGAATCTTGCGGGAGGGGGGTCACTCCAATTCTTCATGCAGTGGGGGTTACTCGAGGGATTGGACTCGGTTGTACATATGACGGAGACGGAGACTCGGGGAGACTGAGACGGAGGGGTTGAGTGTTCACGGAAGAACTTACCATCGAAACGTGTAGCTTCCCATGATCTGTGAACCGGTAGCAAATGAGGGGGGGAGGGGGGTAAGAGGGGGGGGAGTAAGAGGGGGGGGGAGGAGAACCAGGGAAAAGTGAATATAACAATTTGGGAGGAAAAATCAAGAGGAGGGAAGAAAGAATCAGAGAGTCCGGTGAAATCCGAGGGGAAACAGAGGGAAACAGGGAAGAACAGCTCAACTAGCTTTAGGCCGGAATTAGTTGTCAGTTGGCAGTCCGACCTGGCCAGCGAGACGGGCGGTCAACACGGATTTTCTGTCCTCCTACGGTACTAATTGATACTGACTTCAATTGGTGAGTGACAGAATGATCCGACCAAATTAAACAGATCGTGATTTGGTGTGGATTTCAAATTGATCGATGATCCAGCCAGCCCCTATCGATGGTTCTAGATCCTCTTATCTCACTCGGTCTGTCGCTGCGTGTCGCGTGTCTCTCTTTCCCACACAACTCCACTATAAGACCCATCCGATCGTATTATTCTAGATTATATGGTCTCCCTTGATATTTCTCCTTAGATTGCATCCGAATGGAATATTCCCTCGATCATACAGATTCATCCTATCTATAGTATCGACTATCGGTCACGGACCAAGTTGGATCCACTCCAACGGCGATCCAGACCGGCTAATTTCCTCCTAGTCACGAATTCCCCCTCCTCAAAATAGGAGAATAGGAGACTGTCACGGAAAGAATGGAAGAATCCACCATCAGGAGAGGAAGAAAGTCATCATCTCATGGTACAATCGACCCACCCATGGATCCAGATGTCATGACTTCACTCGGGAGACAACGAGGTCAAAGTTGCCAGTTGCCAGTTGCCAGTTGCCACCCAGAATGATGAGATCACGAGTCCCCCCCCCTTCTAGAAGACGTCTGGAAAGTTCCTCCTGGATTCGATCCGCCCGTTGTGGAACTTTCCATCGTTCTTCCATCTTTATCTTGATCTCTTGCTTCCTTTATTTCTTTCTTCCGGGTTGATGTAGATTATTTAAATTATCAAATGGTTTAGATTTAATAGTCGGGTAATTCTGTGGACTATTGAAGAATCCTCCAGCTATTGAAGCCGTGGTGTCTAGCGTGGGGAGAATCCAACGAGTGACGTCGATCAACCATTGTCTTCCTATCCAGAAAGGTTGTCAATCAGGGATCGGGATGATGTTGATGATCCATTCGTTCACTGACCAGGAGATACTCTCTCTTTTCTGTTCTTCTGTTCTTCTTTTCTTCTTTTCTTCCTTTCCTCTTCTGTCTCCTGTTCTTTTCTCCTCTTTCTCCCCCGCCTTTAGTTTCCCTCCCTTTTCTTCCATCATTCACCCTTTCTTCTCTCTCTTCCTTTTCTTCCCCTCTTTCCAATCACTCCTCTCTTCTCCTCTTCTCTTCTATCCATCACTCTTCTATTCTTCTACTCTTCTGTCACTTAATCTATCCTCTTAATACAGAGTCTGTTTGCTGTTTCGGAGAGCTTGAATCTCCACCCATAGCTGCAATCCACCCGGTCAGTACCTCTGGTTCTCTTGCCCCTCCATAGCTTCCCTTGCTCTCCCGACTGGTCCACCTTCCTCTCCATCGTCCTCCCCTCCCGTGTTTCCTACAAATCTTATTTCGTTACTCCCTCAATCCCACGCCTCATTCGTTGAAAGAAATCATCAAAGTCAGCGGAAAGAAAGGAAAACAAAAGACAAAAACAAAGGAGACAAAAGAAAAAGAATACAACAGAACAAAAGAATCACAAAAGAAAGAGAGAGAAAAAAAAGAAAAAAAAAAAAAAAAGGAAGAAGAAAAGACAGTCCCCTATTTGGCATCAAAGCCAACCACTGAGACCATTCTCGCATTCTCCAATTAGGCTTCACCTCCCGTTACCCACTTTTTTCTGGCGGAGACTCGCTGCCACCTACCTACCTTACCCCCCTCCTCCCTCCTCCTCCAATTACTACGTCTCCTACCTTTCCTACTTCCTGGCGCTTTCTCTACCCGCCCCTCCTTCTTTCCTCTTTTTTCCCTTCCTCAACGGCTTCCCCCCCCCCTCCATCCCTTCTGGTTGATGTCTGCCCAGATCTTATATCCTTCATACCCCGCCACCAATCTATTCTCTCGCTCATCGTCATCCCACCAGCTCTCTGACTGTGACTTCCAGACCTCGTTCAGCTCTCCCCGGCGGCTTCCGTCGCGACAACCCCCCCTTCCCTCTCCATCCCCACTTCTTCGTGGCCGGAGTCGCACGCTCTCCGGCCCTACTACCGACATCATGGCGGCCAACAGCTCCTTCGCCGATTCCAATGCCTCCCTCAAACTCTCCACAAAAGACAACCATCCTTCAACGTTCCAGAAGATCTCCGAGGAAGATGAGGAGGAGGATCATGAAGTGACGTCACCAACCAATCCCACCTTCCGCAACGTCGACGCCGGTGATAGCTCCTCCGCCCGCGGTCGCCTCTTTTCGGGCGGTGGGTTCGGCGAGGGCGGCGCCCCCATCCGCTTCGGCCGGAGTCCCTTTGGCCGCGCCACTACCGAGGAGGAGGCTGAGGAGGACGACGAGTTTGAGGAACATCCCGACGGCATCCGTCCCATCGACGGCGCCGACCACGGCATGCCCAACAACTACGCCCTGGGCCGCCGCACGTCCGTCTCGGCGGAGTCGCTGAACCCCACGTCGGCCGGCTCGGACGGCTGGGTGCCGCCGCACCACCCCAAGACCGACGAGCAGCTGGCCCGGCTCAAGACCGCCGTCAGCAACAACTTCCTCTTCTCGCACCTGGACGACGACCAGTTCACGACAGTGCTCGACGCCCTCGTCGAGAAGCCCATCCCCGCCAAGGGCATCAAGGTCATCTCGCAGGGCGACGCCGGCGACTACTTCTACGTCGTCGAGAACGGCCAGTTCGATGTCTACATCAACCCGGCGGGCTCCGTCCAGCCGGGCCCCGACGGCATGGGCAACAAGGTCGGCAGCACCGGCCCCGGGGGCTCGTTCGGTGAGCTGGCGCTCATGTACAACGCGCCCCGGGCGGCGACCATCGTGTCGGTCGACCCCAAGAGCACACTGTGGGCTTTGGACCGGATCACCTTCCGCCGTATTCTCATGGACTCGGCCTTCCAGCGCCGCCGCATGTACGAGGCCTTCCTAGAGGAGGTACCCCTGCTCTCCAGCCTCAAGCCTTACGAGCGGGCGAAGATCGCCGACGCCCTAGACACGATCAAGTTCCCCGCGGGATCGACGATCATCGCCGAGGGCGACCCCGGCGACGCCTTCTACCTGCTAGAGTCAGGCGAAGCCGAGGCGTTCATAGGTGAGGACTCGGAGCCGGTCAAGTCATACCGCCGCGGCGACTACTTTGGCGAGCTGGCGCTGCTAGACGAGAAGCCGCGGGCCGCCAGCATCGTGACCAAGACGGACGTGAAGGTGGCGCGACTGGGCCGGGACGGGTTCAAGCGGTTACTGGGACCGGTGGAGAACATCATGCGACGGACGGAGTATGAGGTGCGGCCGGGGTCGTCGGCCTGAGGACGGGTTAGGATCCGCATGGGGGGGTGTTTGATTATGTTCTATTCTTCTTTGGCTTGGTCTTTTTTTACTGGTTACTGGTTATCTTGTCGGTCGTTTATTGGTTTGGTTATGGTTGTTACTGTTTGGTTGTTCAGTGTTCAGAGAGTATCTAAGAATGGATACATAGGTTGTGCATTAGGTCATATATGCTTCCTTGATACCACCTACCAACTTGTAGACAAAAAGTAAACCCTTAAACCTAATAAATTAAGAGAAGAATACCAATCAACCCATAAGAATAAATAAAAATAAGACAGAAAGATCACGAAACAACCAGATCACTCCTCAACACCCACTTTTCTCCCCCGGTAACCTCCCTCCCCTCATGTAGCAGACAGCTCTCCCCATGCCGATGCAGCAGCGCCATGCCCACGCGGGGGGCTACAGAGACAGGCTCTGGGGAGCGGTTTTCGCGCGTGGCCTCTGGGTAGAAGACGGTTTCGCCGCCCGTGCAGGTGGAGAGGTAGATGAGGAGGGTCCATGTTGTGTGGTATTTTTTGGCTGAGGGGGGGAGGGTTAGGGTGTTGGAGTCGTCGTCTTTATTATTATTAGTATTTTATTCGGGTTTTTTGGGGGAGGGGAGGGGTATAATGGGTGGGTAGGTAGAGGTATAGTTGAGGTGGATGGATGGATGTATACATGTATGTATGTCATGCTGTATACACATGCTGTATACAGCATTGTATACAGCAGTATATACACGATCCATGCACGACCCCTCGAATAAAAGAGTATATAAAGAAGAAGAAGAGAAAAGGAGAAAGAACATACAATGTTTCGCAAAAAACTGCCCCGTCGAATACCGATAAACCCTTATATTCGGATTCAACCCTATAGGGACCCCATCCCATATATTCCTCCCCCCATCCCCATCCTCTCCTTCTCCCTCTTCACTCTGAAGAAAAGACAAAACCAATTCCCTCAAAGCAGTCCCTTCCCACAACACCCTTGCAAACCCCGGATCCCACACCTGAAATCGATCATTAACCCGCGCCGCGTAGTCCTTCCCCCGCTGGACGGGGGTCGTGCTCAGCTGGAGGGAGGATAAGAAGGTGACGTAGGCTTTGCAGAGGGGAGCGGGGAGGAGGCCTGTGGTCGTGTATATGTGGGAGGGGAGGAGAGGCGTTAGGGAGAGGGTGTGGGCTTTTGGGGGGGATGGGCGGAGGGGGGGCCATTTGGGGATTTCTTTTTCTTCTTCCTTGGGTTGGTTGGGTTGTTTTTTGGAGGGTTTGGGGGGTTTGGGTTTGCCCATCTTGTTTCTTTTCTAGTATTCTTTTCTTCAATGGGGGTGTCTGTTTGTCTGTCTTTCTGTCTGTCTCTGTTGGGTGATGGTTGTTGTATGGTATATGGTATATGGTATATGATATATGGTATACGGCTGTTGGTGGATATCATGTCTTGGCATTAGTATTACTTACCATGTCTAGTCTTGGTATCAGGCTGTTACGTATTATTCTACTATACTCTCAACAATTGATCAGTTCTCTAGACATCGCATTCATTTTATTTAGTAACATGATTTACATATAATACATACTATATACATATAATACTATGTACTATCAAATATAAAATATCAATCTATCTACTGCTCAATACTGATTACTCCGTACCTCCGTATCAATGACTAACACGCTAGGAATGAAAAAAACACTCACCGCCTTCCACCATCTCCAAACCTGGCTCTGCTTCTTCTTCCCGTCTGGCTTTCTCCTCCCAGAAAGAAAAAAAAAAGAGAAAAAAAAAACGAGAGGACCGCATTGTCATGTCGTCGTCGCAGACCATGACAGCGCCTGCGGTCGGTCACCGTCCTCCTGATTCGACTCAGGACATGTCCCCTTCCCTCTACGACTATTCTCCCTCTCAACATCCTCTTCCTCCCCGTCCTCCCATCTCGACCGCTGCCTCCTCCTCCTCCCCGCCCAGCGACTCCGCAATCCGCGCCCTGCAGGATTCTGCCCCCGACCTCCCGACGGCGCCCTCATCCTCCCATCCGCCCCCGACGCCCCCCAATGGCCTACCCTCCGTCTCCCCCATCAAGTCCGATCCCGATTTGCTCGATCTGCCCGCCGACATGGGCGACGTCCAGCCGCAGTCGGCCCTGAGGCGGCAGTCCGCCGCCAGCGCGCTCCTGGCCCAACTCCTCGGCAATCATTCCCAGCCATCTGCCGCAGAGACAGATCCGTCCGCCGACCACCCGTCCGATCAGGGTGCCCATCCGCCCCATCTAAACGACTTCGATCGCCTGGAGGACGGAGAGGGGTTCGGGGAGGGAATGGCGGACGACGCCGCTGGCCTGGAGAATCCCCTCGGGGGCGGCCCTATCGACGAGCGGAATCAGACCCCAGCACAGACCGAGGACGTTCCGCCGGACGACACAAAGCCGGATGTATCGTTTGAGGACTCCCTCTCCCATCCCGATCCCCGTCTGAGTACCCCCGTCCGGTCCACCGACCTGGCCGATGGCCTGACCGACCCCTTGCTCTTCGCCAAATCCGGCCTCGACCACTCCGATCTCTTTCCGCCCTTCGACGTTACGGCCGCCCCCAAGACCCCCTTCGAGGCATTGCAGCAGAACGAGATGCTCACGGCCGCCTATCTCTCGCAGAGCGCCGACCTGTCGTCCCTGGGCTATTCGGGCGGTTTGTCCCACGACGTGATTGGCGATGGCGCTGGGTCGGAGCCACGCATCCAGGCCTTTGCCAAGTTGGAGTTCGACGATGGCCACTTCTACTGCAACACCTACTCCTTCGTCCTCGGGCGAGACGTCCGCGCCGCACGCGCCGCCCATCAGCGCGAATTTCAGGCCCGCCAGGTTATGCGGTCCTCCCGCCCCAAGAGCTCCAGCGGCGGCCACACCTCGCACACCCCCGGCCGCGCCAAACACGACGGCAGCGGCATGATCGGCAGCGTCGTCAGCGACCGCGGCGGCATCATGGGCTTTGACCCGGACGTGCCCCCTAATCTGTCCCGCATGAGTCGACGCTCCTCCAACTCGTCCCACGGCGAGGCCGCCCCGCCGCTGCATGCCAACCCGGCTCAGCTGCACACCACCACCACTACTACTGCCGCCCCCAACAACACTACCACCACCACCACCACCACCGACTACAACGCCCTCGCCATGCAATCCTTGACGGACGGCCTTGGGGATGCCAAGCCCGTCGATACCCTGGCCCTTCTTCCCTCCCCCGATTCGTGTCCGACCATCCCTATCCACCCGCCGGCCACTGTCGACGGCACCGCGGCTGGCCACCGGGGGATCTCCCGCAAGCATGTCAAGATCGCATACAACTTCGACAAGTGTCTATTCGAGATGGAGGTCATGGGGCGGAACGGCGCCTTTATCGGAGCGGACTGGCTCTCCCCGGGCCAGATCCGGCCCCTGCACAGCGGCGATTACATCCAGATCGGCGGTGTACGCATTCGCTTTTTACTACCAGACGTCCCCATCGGGGAGACCGGCGCCGAACGGGCGGACGACGCGCTCGGAGCCGACGAGGACAAAGCCGCATCGACCCTGGCCGTCGAGACCGAGGGCGACGGGATCAAGGATCCTAATCAGGCCAAATCCGTCAAGTCCAAGGATGCAGACCCGGGCCGGCTGGTACAATCGATCGAACCGAGCGATCCCTCGCAGGCCCCTGCCCGGCGTCGCGGGCCTGGACGCCCACCCAAGGACGGCATCATGTCCAAGCGGGAACGCGCCGAACTGGCCCGGGAGCAGAAGTTGGCGGCCAAACGTGAGGCCAACGGTGGTGTCACGCCGCCTCCAGTGCCCGTCCCGGCCCAACGCCCCAAGGCCGGCAAGACCACGACGACGATGACGACCACCGCCACGACCCCGGGGGCGACGACGGGCGCGACGCCGGGTGCGACGGCCACGGCCACGGCCATGTCGGTCCCGCCCGCGGGGCCACTCAAGGAGTCCGTGGGCCCCGAGCTGTCGCCCGGATCCAAACCCGAGAAACGCAAGTACACCAAGCGGAAGAAGCCCGACGGGACAACCATGGACATCCCATTCCCCACGACGGAGGGAGGGTCCTTTTCCATGGAGCCGCGTCCCGAGGAGTTCATCAAGGCCCCGCCGGTCAAGAAGCGCAAGCCGTCCCGCTCGCCCTCGCCCAACTATCCGCCGGAATCGGCCTACGGGCCCGAAGACCTGGCCAAGCCCCCCTACAACTACGCGGTGCTCATCTTCGACGCCCTGACCGAGGCGGGCACGCCCATGACGCTCAAGCAGATCTACCGCGCGCTCAAACTCAAGTACCCCTACTTCCGGTTCAAGTGCGAGACGGAAGGCTGGACGTCCAGTGTGCGGCACAACCTCAACGGCAACGGCCACCTCTTTATGCACGCCGAGCGCGACGGCAAGGGATGGTCCTGGCAGCTGCGTCCGGGAGCCTCCGTCGAGAAGGAGAAGAAGCGACGGCCGTCACCACCGCCGCCGTCCTCCTCGCAGCCGCCGTCGGCCCCGTCGTCAACGCCACAGTACATGCCACCGTTGAATCCGTCGTACGGCACCCCCGCCAACGGACCCCCGGCCCCCATGGCCAATCCGCACTTCCAATTCCCGCAGATGCCCACCCACCCGTATCCGGCTCCGTCACCAGCCCCGCCCGCTCCCTCGCCCGCTCTTCCCGCTCCATCACCCGTCCCGCCGCAGGCCAGTCAGTACCCCCCGGCGCCGCCGCTGCCACCGCCGGCGGCACCACCGCAAGCCACGGCGCCCACGCCGTTCCCGATCCCCAGTCCGATCCGAAACAACCTCCCGCCCGCCTTTGCGCAGACCACCCCGTCCACGTACACCTCCCCTTACGCCTCTGATCCGCCGCCGCAGTTGGTGCAGCTGCAGCAACAGCAGCAGTTGCGCCCACCCCAGCCTCCGCAACCCCGGCCGCCGCAAGCCATGGCCCAGCCGCCGGCACCACCGCAACCGCAACCGCAACAGCCGTCTCATCCACCGTCCCATCCGCCGCAACACCAGCAACCTCACCCGCAGCAGCACCAGCCGCAGCATCCGCCGCAACACCCGCCGCAACACCCGCCACAGCAACATCAACCCCAGCATCCCCCGCAGCATCAGTCTCCATACCCGCCGCCACCAATGTCATCGATTGCCCCAGTCCAACATCAGCATCAGCATCAGCATCAGCATCCCCCGCCGCAGCAGGTGGCACCGAACCAAGCACCGCCCGTACACCACCAGCACGCGCCGCCGCCAGGACCACCACCACCACCGCAGCAGCAGCAGCAGCAGCAGCAGCAGCAGCAACAACAACAACAACAACAACAACCGGCTGCGCATGCACCGCAGCAGTATAACGTGGGACCAAGCGAGCCAGGCCCAGGACCAATGAACCACGGCGACATGCCATCATTCAACGAGCGGGCCAACAAGGCAATCGACGACTTCGAGGTCATCCTCATGGAAGACTACGAAGACAAAAACTACATCCGGGAGGTGCTGAAGAGCGCACGTGCGCGGGCCCTCGGCGACGCAACGGAGAGTTCGTTCCCTGGCGGCGAGCCCAAAGACGAGGCTGTTATTGTGGATGCGCTTCGCAATTTGATCGGAAGTCTCAAGGGTGAGTAGTCACCTTACCTACTCTTGCCTACTGTTGTACCATACCTACATTTGTATGAAGTGGGTAGGCTGGTAGGTTGATAGGTGAGAGGTGGTAGACGGGTGAAAGGACAGATGGAGAAAATAAATGATTAACGACTTGAGATTTGTTTATGGTTACGAATGGTTTTTATCTTTACATACATGTCATGTGTTATGTCGGTGGTGTTGTGGTCTGCCGATTCTTTCTTTTCTACTCTCTTGTTTTTTTTTTTCTTCTCTTTTTTCTTTCTTTTTTTCTTTCTCCCTTTATTATTGTTGATTTTCTGGTTCTATTATCCCTGTTTGATCATTACTCATTCTTGCATTCAATGATATCCACTCTGTTCAGGACCTTCGCCCAGCTCTTTTTCGAGAATCGTGTATCGCCTGGTTTGGTTTTTCTCCTTATCCATTGTTTTCTATATTCTATCCGATCACTGTCACTGTTACTGTTACTGTTACTACCTAGTACCCTATCTAGGATCTGGAGCATGCATCGGAGCAAGGCTTTTCCTTGATTCAGGAAGAAGAAAAAAGGTGGTTGGTTGGTTGGTGTTTGTGCATAGATTAACAATTTATTTTATTTTACTTTACTTTTTTGTTTCGAGACTGTTGGATTTACAGATACTTTGTGAGATTGGATCTGTCCTTGTGGTTGTTTTGGATGTGTGTATCTGTGGTAGGTAGTAGGTAGGTAGTAGGTAGGTAGTAGGTATCACTGGCAAGTTAATGGGTGACCCATTTCAAACTGTTATAATGCTGTCTAGGGAATATCATTTCTTTGTAAGTGGGTGTTTCCTCGTAAATGGAGAGAACACCACCCATGCATTGCAAACCCTTTATATATTCCAGAAGTTAGGCCAACAATACTCGCAGGTGAGATTCAAGGCTGCAAGGTTGGACTGGAATCTGGGAAGATGTGATTGATGCTGTGTCCATGTACCCAAAGCACTTGATATCACAGGCAACCTTTACCTATCGTCCAAGGTTTTTCATGAAATAGTCAGGAGTTGTGGTTGTTGCTTGACCTGAACACTTGACATCAGCCAATCTACATCGAGTGCCTGGCTGTATATATGAAAAACCATCCCGAGAACTTGACTGATTGCTTGTTGGAAAGGTTCTTGCACCCCAGTCTTAACTCTAATATATACTCTGTTTTTTCAAGGCTACGTGAGTTCAAGGAGTATTTGATACTCTTTTTCTTCGAACCTGGCTATCGATTGTATTTCACGCCCTGAGGAAGATTGGTCTGATTGTTCAATTTTCTTTGATACGTAAGAAACTGCGAGGGCACTGTATGCTGTGTGGAATCTGTTTACTAGAAGAGGATGAGAGACTCGCGGGCTACCTCCCTGACACGAATGAGCCTGGCTATTGTGGAAGAACGAAGAACTAGTCAAAGACTATGAAGAATGTTGCAAAGGTTGCAAGAAATGTTCAAACACAAATGGTTAAGCATGTGGCAAAAGGACTGCAGGACAGCTGATTATTTAGCTGGTTGCAGTCACTGCTTCTTTCACAAGTACCTTAGTTGAAGGCTTCATTCTTACAGAGCTGTCTGAGTGAAAGGGAGGGTGTCTGGTTGTTTTAGAGAGTAATATCCAAGTAATCACATAGTGCGACGTACAGAATGAGAATGTCAGTTTCTCATCTATAGGAATTTGAATGGAGAAGATCTTTATTGCCAGGTTGTATTGTAGAATTTGTTCTATAATAGGCCAAGGATTAGCTGCTCGGGATTGAAACCTCAAAATCACCTGTGAGTCTACTCAGTGAAATAAGTACTCAAGTGGGCTAGATTATGGTGTATATGTCACTGGTAGTAGGACTAATGGGAGTGGAGAGAATTAGAAGGAAGAGGAGAGAGATGCGAACCCCTCCTCCCCACTTGGTTCACTTGCCAGTTCACTCAGTTGTGGTTTTTGATTGAGGATACTGAATCTATGATTTCTATAATACAGTCTATAAATAATGAGATAGATGTTAGTATGGATATATACATGATAGTTGGATTGGTATATAAGATGGACATGTAACTTATATACGAAGAATCATAAATATACAGCAATGATTGATAAATCCGTCACGATATTTTCCTTCACACAGGCAGCCAGCAGCAGTCAGGTCAGCAGTCAGTAGACGTGCATATATCCCTCATATGAATCAACCTTTTCTCACGAACCTTTCCTCATTAGCTTTTCCCCTCTCGGGACGGACAGATGGAACAATAGATATTATTTAGTAGGTGGCTGGATACGGTATATTATAGTATCTTATTAATTTGATTTACACCAGACAAGCCGTATGGTGTCAGGACCAATGGATATTTATATACCTACCTCTTACCTGATAGATGAATAAATGGGTGGTGGATGGTGGATGGTGGATGGTGGATGGGTGACTGGTTGGATCTTTCGAGAATTCGCCCTGCCCTTGTGGTTGGTTTCTGGCTTGATTTCCGTGCCCCTCTTCTGTGGAAATAGTGAGGCATCTCTCTCTGGATTACTTTGTTAGATATTATTGATCATACTAGGTGACTCATGTCATCAGGTCTGTTGCCTGGATACTTGATGGTATACTAGTTCCATCAGCTTGCCTGTGCAGTTTCGGTAGGCAATGATATTCTGTTTGTAGATAGACTGTACCTATCCTCCAAGACGTTGCAAGAGGCAGCCGGTTGATACTGCCAGGTGACTGGTGGATGGTACCTGTCAGCTCAATCTACTAGGCAGTGCTTGAACAGCCGAGTCAAACAACAGAATCAAGACGATGGTCTCCTGAGTCAGAGGAATTATATAATATGATGTATTTATATCCAAATCATCACCTACTCTGGATACTTGTCGAAGGGATTAGATACCTCAGGCACAACTGCACGGATGTTGTGGCACCCGTTCGGACCAGAATCCCTGGCGCTGTTGCCACTTCAATTCTATTTTCTTAATTCTTCTAGTTAACTATTAGTGGTGCTGTTATTAATAACAATATTAATAATAATTTCATCCATTCATTTCTTTTGATTGACACTGATATCATGGCACACTGTCATATTTTGATCCGACACTTTCAATTATTACCCATTCTGGGATTGATTATTCTGTTAGGGGTAGAAGGTTACATTATGTTCCTAAATCAAGACTACAGAGTACTTTGTATTGTCTGACAGGCCTGAAACCTCAGCAGACCTGTTTTATCTTTCTTTCTCTCTTTCTTTTTTTTTTTTTTTTTTTCTTTTCATAAAAAAAAAGAAAAAAAAAAAAGAAACCCCTAATATTATGTTGAGTCAATGAGCACGGGGCACATCCCAAGTTGGACAGGCAGAGAGGGTTCGAGGCGGCCTCGCCCCAGTGCAGACCGGGGCGAACTTTACTGGGTTGGACAGTCAGTCGGCCCCATGATTTTCTTCTTTCCTTTCTCTTCTAGTATTTTTCTCTTCTTCTTTTTTCTTAATCTTCTGTTTTATTATTCTTTATTTAATTTTTTGTTATTCTTTATATGAATCTTTTTATTATATTATTATGTTATTATATTATATTCATCAAATATATTAAATCCTCACAGAGTAGAACGATGATCCGTTTGATAAAAGGACTGGGAAATCTACCAGAAACGGCTGCAGCGGCAGAAAGTGGATGAGCAAGTCCGACTCTAGCCTGGAACTTCTGGTCGAGTCGACACCTGGTCCACAGCCTCACTCCCTTTGAACGAGGGTTGGAGAGAAAAGTCTGAAAGTCTAATGGTGAAGAGAATCACAATAGCATCATACTTCTTCTAGAGTTATAGAATTATAGAATTATAGAATTATAGAATTGTTCATAGAATTATAGATTTATAGGAAGAGTTCAGGAAGAATGATTCTGGTCCAACGTTCAGTCGACTAACCCGAGCAGGTCAAGCGGACAGAATAGGAGGAAATCTGACTAAGTGAGATCATCCATTCCCTTTTTTTTTTCTTGGGTTTTCTTGGGGGGAGAATTTCTCTCTCTCTCTCTCTCTCTCTCTCTCTCTAACTTTTCTGTCCTTCTCCCCTCCTCTTCTCTTCCTCTCCTTCCACTCTTCTCTCCATCCCTCTCTCTCTCCCTCTCCATCTCTCTCCATCTCTCCATCTCTCCATCCTCCATCCTCCACCTTACCCACCATTCACCCTTTTTCCTCTTTTCCCTCTTCCTCATCACTTGTCATTGTTTTCTCTTCCTCTTCTTCTGTTTTTTTCTTTCTTATCCTTTGGCTTCTTCGGAACCTTGTCTTTCCCCTCAACGAGCTTTTCACTAAGTATCGTTGCCCTTGTGGTTTACATCGCTGCTTGAATTCAATCAATCAATCAATTCAAGTCCATCCCCCACAACCCCTTGACACGAGCCATTGGTCTTTTGGAACACGTTCCATTATTGAACAAATCTCAAAACATTGAAAAAAATTCCACTCGTGGTTCCCTTCTCCCCGTCTGTCGTCCTCGACCCTCGTGCACACGCCAATCAGCCCGGAGATTCCTCGCGTCGAATCGAAACCACCAACCCTCTCGACCCTGCAACGCGACCTCCGATCGATACACCGTCGACAAGAGAAGCACAACCACCGGTTTAATCACCAGCTGCGACCGCTCCTTACGACTTTCTTCTTCTTCTTTTTGCAATTTTTTTTTTTTTTTTTTCTCTTTTTTCTCTTCGATCCACCATATCATCCCTCCATGTTATTCATCTAAGAGACATTCACTACGCCAAATTTAGAGCCACGGCTCGTTGAGCGATCCCTTTCCAGGATCAGGGCGTGTCGGACGTGTAGACGGTTCGTACTCTCTTCCGCTGTCTGGAGTTGAGCCTTTCTGCTTTCTGCATTCGATTGCGTTGGCTGACACGGAAAGGATTCACAGAGCCTGACCCGTCTGCCTCCCCCCCGTCCTGAACTGGTCTATCCTTCCTCTCCCTCTCTCTCCTCTTCCCCCCCGACTTCATCATGCCGTCGTTTTATGCTCCTGGCCTCCAGGGCTTGCCCCCGACCCCTCCCCATGTTATGGGTGGTGGCCGGGTGGAAAATGACCACCCCTTCTATTGCCTTCCCCAGTCGGCCTTCCCGCCGCGCTATTCGCAGAGTGGCTGCGAGTTCATCGAACAGTACTCCCAATCATCCTGCTACGCCAAGCCGGCCCCCATGAACCTTTCCCACTCGATGCGGTCCGGTCGGGACATGGCTGCCGCCCATTCGCTGAATCAGTCCATGTTCGGTCTGCCCCCGGCCAATGTCCTCCCCCCCATCCGCAGCAACGTGCAGTTGCCGCCCATGGACAGCGCCATCCCCCCGCAGTACCGCCGCCACGACCGGCTGAGCCAACCCGATCAGCAGCAACAGCAGCAGCAGCCTGCCCCCCGCAAGGAGGAGAAGGCAACGGGTGGTGTTGCCGCCCACCTGGATTACGAGATGGATCAGATGTCCGACTTCGTGGCGGAGATGGCCCAGGGAATGTATGCTTTGTACATCAACCAGATCACCATTGCAGATATTGACTTCGCGCGAAGCGTCTACCCAGGATCGTCGGTCCCCCCCCAGTTTCGCAAATACGTTTGGCAGATCTTGTCGTCCACGCGCCTGCCCAGCTCCACCATCCTCCTGGGCCTCTACTACCTCGCCACCCGCATGCGCATGCTATCCGCCGCCAAGGTCTACGCCGCCGGCAGTGGCCAGGTCTATCGCATGCTCACCGTCGCCCTGCTCCTCGGCTCTAAGTTCCTGGACGACAACACCTTCCAGAACAAGTCGTGGGCCGAGGTCAGCAACATCCCCGTCGGCGAGTTGAACACCATCGAGCTCGAGTGGCTCTTCGCCTTCGACTGGAAGATCCACGACCGCATCCACGACCCTCAGGACGGCTTCGGCACCTGGCTCGCGCACTGGGAGACCTGGCGTGCCAAGTCCAACCGCGCCCAGGAGGCCCGCCAGACCCTGGCCCCCATCGACACCAACCTGTCCCGCGGGTCCCGCGTCTCGAAGCCGCTCATGTCCCCCGAGGGGCCCATCCCGCCGCAGTACCAGCGGAGCGCCCAATACGAGACCTCGTGGCTCAACCCGGCCGCCTCCGAGTATTCGCCCCCGTCCGCCCCCCAGAGCGGTCCGACCACCCCCGACTACTACCCGGTCGGCCCCTGGGGCGCCTACTCGAACCCGCCGCCGCCCTACTCGCGGTCTTGGGTGCCGCCCCAGTCGTACATCCCGCCGCCGCGGTCTCAGCCTCCGTCTTACCACCACACCCCGGTCTATGCCCTGCCCTTCGCCCAAAGCGTGTGGACGGGTCATGGATCCTCGTGTGGGTGTCTCTACTGTGCCAAGCACATGGAGCACTACATGTGTGGCGGCGCGTTTGGCGCGATGCAACCCATCATGGCGGCCTGATCTTTTTTTTTTATTTTTTTTTATTTTTTTTTATTTTTCGCGACCATGCGTTTGATTCTTGATATGTTCATGATACCGTTCCCGTTATTTTTATTTTTATTTTTTTTCTTTCGCTTTGTTTCGTTCCCCTGCGATGATAACCCTGTTTTACTGTCGGTTTCGGTTCCTGTACCTCACTCAAAAGTCTCGTCCAGCGTTCTGTCTTGAACTGCCCCAAAAGCAAAAACCAGAAAAAAAAAGGTGGCTCGCAAAGTGACATGGAGACGATGCCCGTCACGCATGCCCTTAGGATCTGGGTTTATTTGGACGCATCGTCCCAGTCCTCCAGGCACCCTTTGGCCTTTTGCCCGCTGGAGTGAGAAGTCACGACCATCATGATGTTTTTTTTTTTTTTTTTTTTTTTTTTCTAGCTCCCCCCCGCTCTTCTGTTCTCGGTTCTTTGATTGGGCATTTCACCTGGCGAACATTTACCCATAGATTGTTCTTGATTCGTTCCCGCCATTGCTTCATCAATTGGCTTTACCTTCCCCTACGCTTGAGTCTGGCGTTCATGTCCTGTTAATATTTATGATGCATTGGTCTGTTCCGGTTGATATTCCTTTGGACCGAACAGGATCCGGTATCTCGCCTGGCGTTATACCGGCCGTGGAGCAGATCGATGGAGTCTCGTGATTTCAGTCTCGTTCGTTCTTTATCTTGCTTGACCTGACATTTGACGATTTTGAATGCACTTTTCTTTTCTTTTCTTTTCTTTTTCTTTTCTTTTTTTTTTTTCACTTTTGTACCCTCGGGTATAACCAGTTTTTCACTATCAGTTCATATATTGGATCGATCAGTCTGTTCTCTTCTCTTTATTCTTCTTCACTTCACTTTTATTGATCATTTGATTGATTGTAAGTTAGATTTTAACTACTATTTCTTTACTAGTATTTCTGCAAGCATTCAAAGTTGCAAGAAAACTACTCAAAAAAAAGAGAAACAACAAAAGGTCCAGAAAAAAAAATCAAATCAAAAATGAATTGGATTCCCTCTACTTTATCTTGCTTTTTACCTTGCCTTATTTTACACTACTTTGACCTTTTACCTTGGATATAGACTTGGTATGTATGACCTGATTGACTGATTGACCCATTGACCTTCACATGAACGTTCTTCTACTGTCTATCTATTTCGCCTTTGATGGAAAAGAGTTTATTTAATACGTCTTTCTTACTTTGCTTCACTATATTGCCCTTTACTTCTTTACGTGCGATATGGATATGGATATGGGATACACGCACATTATACCACTGTTGATACATTCTGAACTTGTTCTTATATAATCTATATAATATATACTGACTTAATAAGATTGACTTTCCATTTAATCCCATCTTATCGTAAATGGTTTCGTTATAGTCCAGTATATTCATACCGATGCCTACACCCACTTTGCTTAGATAGGGACAAACGAGCAGGGCCAGAACAGAACAGAGTAGAGTAAAATAGATCTACATATAGTCCTCTCTCTAGAAGCAAACGAAGCAAGTAATGAAAGAAAGGATCAGAGCATCGCCCTCTCCTCCTCCTCCCCCCTCAACACCCTCCTCGGCGGTCCCCCTCTACTTCCATCCCCACGGGAGATATCAGCTTTAGAAGCCGACCACGCCCACTTCTGTTTCTGCGCAGGAGATGCAACGCCCTCAAAGCTGTCGGCGATGCGGGGGCCGAGGATGGGGAGAAATTTAAATGCACTGTTATTATTTTTCAAGCTTGTTAGTTTTTTTTTTTTCTTCCCCTTTCTTTTTGTCCTCATGTATGGATGGTTTAGGTTGATAGATGGGGTAAGTAAGGTGGTAAACATACTGTCCACTTCCACCAGTTGCGAGGAATAACCCCTCGTACTCAGGATGATAGTCGACGATAAAGTCCCCGCGGGGCGTGTCGGTGTACCAGCAGAGACGCTGTTGCGCGAAAGGGCGGTCTTTGAAGCGCGGGAGGAAGAGGGCGAGGCCTGCGCGGAGGGCCTGTTCTGCGTCTTTTGGGAGAGTCGTCTTTGAGGATGAGGATGAGGGTGGGAGGGCCGGGGCGCTGAATTTATCATTTCTTGTTTCAGGACTAGATGAAGGTGATGATGATGATGATGATGAAGGTGGCGAAGAAGAAGAAGAAGAAGAAGAAGGCACCGATCTAACAGCCTCATACCCATACCCATGCCTCGCCATCTTCAGCAGATTCGTCCCCGGCGTCGGCGGAAACGCGAACCACCCCGTGCTGAGATCAATCATGACGGGTGTGCGGCCGTCTTGCATATCTGCCGCTTCTTCCGGTGTGAGCTGGATGAAAGCCACCGGCTGCCCGGTTGACACAGATCGCCCGCTCATGTCGAGCAGGTAGGGCGTCCAGGCGCCTGTGGCGAGGATGATCGTGTCCGCGGAGAGGGTCGTCCCTGCCGCTGTGCGCACGGCGTGGATTTTTCGTTTCCCTTCTCGCTTCTTCGATGTGGACTCCGGTGAGGTGACGAGTGAAGTGACAGTCCCATGTCGCCCGGATATCAAAGAAACACCAGCCTGCGCGCACCGCCGCGCAAGATACGCAATGCTACCCTCCGCATCCGCCCACCCACCGCTTAAATTCCAATACCCAGACGTAGCGGCCAGATCGCCGTGGATACCAGGGTACTTCGCGTTCGCCTCGCCACCCCGGAAGGTCTGAATGTTGACCCCGCTCCCAAGAGCCTGGAGGTTGGCTTTTGCCTGCTCAAGATACTCCGCTGAGCCCTGCGACTGCACGCAGAGCAGCCCGCTGTGGTGGAAGAACGGCGCGAACTCGCCCTTCCACCCGTTTAGCGCGTCGAGGCCCATTTGCGCGTAGAAGGCGTCTGCGTAGTCGGGCCGGATTATGCGCGAGACGTCGACGCTGGAGCCGTCGGGGACGGGGGGCAGGGTGCGGTCGAGGAGGGTTATGTCTTTGTAGCCTCTTTTGGAGAGCTCGAGGGCTGTGGTTAGGCCGAAGACGCCGGCGCCGATTATGAGGATGGGCTGGGTTTTGGGGGGCATTTTGGGGGTGTGGATGGGTTGGATTGATGGTTTCTTTTGGGTTGAGGGGGTGGGTTGGATTGGGGTTCTTTTCATGTTATAAGTATACTTGTAGTTGGGTTGTACTGCGATGTCCGGATGGTGTGGGGACGGATCCGGTCCGTCCGTCTTATACCGTTTGTTAATGTCAACTGTTGGCTGATGTCTGCTGGGAGTTGGTTGATTATACTAGAAAGATAGTTGTCTAGAGGTAAGTTGCATTTCTACTATATTTCAGCTCTGCTTGCTCGCTCTGAGTAGCAATGGATCGTGTCTTCCAATGTAAGCACACGGCACGCCGGCAGTAGCATGGACTGTGACTCCAAACGATAGCATAGCCGCTGATTGACACAGTAGACCAGCTGTATCAGGCTTTCTGGAAAGATGTGGATTATGTATAGGATGGACCATGTATACTAATAGTCACTCGCAGACTGTATCTACCAAGCTCATGCATGATGCGGTTGGGCCGCTGTTCCGTCCTCCGCTCACGTGCCCGGGTGGCTCGCCGTCTGACGTGGGGCCATACAAAGGTTTTGATAATATTAATCATAGGGATCTAGGAGTATAAGGGAAATTTGATTTTATTGATCTGCACTTGAAATTGTCTAAAATGATAGACAGGTTCATGATACTATCGACGCGGGCATCAAACTGCAACGGACGGAAATCTAGTGCTCCAATATAACTGGGTATTCATTCAGACATGGTATAAGGTACTTCGTGAGCATGTCGTATATCATGAGATAGGTATAAACATTATCAAGATGCAGTGATATCTAAGAGGTTCAAAACACTGAAGAAAGAAAAAGGGAAGCAGATTAGTAGACACTCCCGCGAATGCTCTGGTCTTCGCGCTGCTCCTTATCCAGAGCACGGGGTTCACTGTCCCCCTCGTCGTCATCCCCGTTGTGCTCGTCCTCGTGCTCATGCACATACTCATGCTGATCGGGATCCAGGTCCGAATGCGCAGCGGAATCAGCATGAGCTGCCGCATCGCCTTTCTCGCTTCGATCCCTCTCGTTCAGCATGTTGGCGACCTTCTGGGCGAGGTTCCGTCTGCCCGGTCCATTGATGTGGGGGTTATTCCGACTGTGGTGGGACCGTGTGCGTCGCAGCCGTTGGGCGTGGCCGCTCCCTTCGTCGTCTCCGTCATTGCCGAAATCTTGGGATGGCTTGGGTTGGTGATTGGATGACCGGTTGTCCCTGCGGAACGGCGATCGACTGTCTCGCTCGTCTTCCGATGGGCAAAGGCTGTTTGCCCCGCTCATGGAGCCACCACCGTCCCGGCCGGCAAGGTGGAGGAGGGCGTAGTTCGATCGAGGCGAGTGGAGCAGGTGGTCGTCACTGTCGCGATTGAAGCCGGCCAGGTTTGGACGCCTCAGCGTTGGGCTTGGACTTGCTGTCGGCGATGAAAAGGTGCGACTGTGACTGGGGCTGGCGCAGGAGCAATCACGTCGCCCGTCATTGGCGGTACTGGTTTCGGTCGGGCGGCTCGGTTTTGTACTGTCCCCTGGCGGATTGAGGAACTCGTGCCGTGGCGTAGGAGACGGGATGGTTCTGTGTATAGGCTTCGATTCGCTTGACTGGTCTCCCAGGGCTGGTTCGGGGGCCGTTAACATCTGTTGCGTCGCGGTGGCCATTTCCGCTTTGGAAGGACGATGGTGGGCGCTGTTATGGTGATGGTGGTGATGGGTGCGGTTGTGGTGATGATGACTTTCCGGCTGGGCCTGCCCATGACTGGCATCGTGGGCCTGTTTATGGCTGGTGTCGCTGGGGCGCAGTTGATCAGTGCCATTTGGGCGCGACGTACGCGTGGAAGGCTTCCTGCGGATGCCGTGATTGCAGCCTTCGGGACAGCCTCCCCATTTGCGCCGGAACGGGGTGGGCGCGTCGGTACTGGGCACTGACAAAGCCGGCCCGAGTCCCTTGGTCGCCCGTTCTTGCTGTCGCTCGGCTTCCTTCTCCTTTCTCAACTCCGACCACGTCCGAAGTTGGTTTTGCAGCGCGTATTTCCCATTGTCCTGATTCAACTTCATGATCACAAACTCGCAGTGGTTGATGTTGCGAAGATCCTCAAAGTACTCGACGCTCCAGTGGTACCACTTCATGAGGAAAACCCGCGTCATGAGCCCGTGCGTCACCAGGACGCACACACTGGCGCAATCATCCTCCCCAAAGAGTCGCCACAGGGATTCGTTAAACCCGCTGACCCGATCGTAGGCGTCCGCGGCCGACTCGCCGTTGGGGATGCGGTAGAAGAAATGCCCATAGTCTGCCCGCTCCATCCACATGCGCTCCATCTCCGCGGAACATGGTTGGAAGTTGCCAAAGTCCTGCTCTCGCAACCGGGGTTCTTCGTAGACCTTGATTGTGTTTCTCGGAAACGGGGACGGCGACGGCGAATCGGAGGTCAGGGATTGGAGAATGCCCTCGGTGGTCTCCCGAGTTCGGCGATAGGGGGAGGTGAAGAAGTGAATGTTGTCATCCGGGCGCAGGAGTCCACGGAGATTGGCGCCTGCCTCCCGGGCTTGTCGATGGCCTTCGGCTGTGAGTTTGACCCGATGGTCGGGGACGGTTTGGTGGATGTCACGGTTTTTGTTTCCCTCGGATTGGGCATGACGGATCAGAATGATCATCTAATGACTGTTAGACGCTGCGAGTTCGAGGAATATGCTTCTTCTGGAAAACCTACCCGTGGCTTGCCCATGGCTGCTAATCTTGTCTGCACCCAGAGGGGGGAGGTGGAGATGGAGGGGCCGAAGATTCGAACGGTTCAAGCAGTATCATGAACTGGGTTTATCACAAAGCACTTGCACAATTTCACCGGATCACTTTATAGATGAGAGTGTCCCAAGCCAAGAAGAACCAGCAGTCTGCAAAAGAGGGCGACAACAGTCTGGGAGAGTAGAAAGACTAGGAAGTCATGAACCTAACCTCCAGGTGAAAGTACCTAATCGCTCATTTGGGTTAGCGGGTCCAGTGATGTCAATGCTGGCCCACGTGATGCCGCATCGACCAATCCGCTGAGATGCATTAGATGTTTACTGTCGAGGGTCCAAGGCTGGATGTTTGGTTTCTCGACCGGTAAGCGAGTCTGCATGAGAGCCTTCTGGTGCTCTGGGCCTGGTTTAAGAACGGGGGGTGCGGTTGAGCGTCATGGTTACACCTGAAAGGCATTTAGACCCAAAACCGATATGGAGACAGAACGGTGCTCATGACTTGCTCGTGTCATGGTCGATTGGGATCTGGAAAGACTTGGGGTTCGAGGCCAGTGTTGGGCGAGCCTGCATGCAGTTGGAAGGATGCATACAGGCAGGTCAAAGTTGCTCATCTGCCTGAAATAGCAAACGGGAGATCCAAAAGTACTGGTAGCCGCCTGACGTATTGGGAGAACTTCCATCCTGCATCGTCTGTGATGTCCAGCATAGGGCCTGAAGAGAGCTGGAAGCAATATCATGGAGGGATAGGATGGACTGCAGAACGTCTTTGATATTGGCGTTTTATAGGAGTGAAGTAGGAGATAGGGTTGGGGTTGCCTGAGGCATGAGGCCAGCATTATAGAGGTCTCGACGATCAAGCACTGTACATGGCATCGTTATTCAACCCTCATGAGAAATAAGAAATGCAGACTATACCGGACAAAATGATACCCTCCCAAGCCGTTCCGTTAGACAGTGAATATCGAGGGATACTAGACCATCGGAGATGTTGCGCCAGTTGCCGCGGAGGCCACCGTACTAATGAGTAGCCGTGGTTTCTCCCCCCGATCTGTCCAGTTCCTCGTCCCTCCATCAACCCCCCCCAGACCGTCGATTCTTTCGAGACAACTCGGTTGAATTATTTCCACATCACGGGAGTCTGCATCATGGCGGACTATCTTTACGAGCTTCTCTCTCCTCATCTGGCCCCGACGGCCAATTCCCCTACGCCCCTGTCCCCCGAACAGGACGCGACCACCGCCCAGTACCTCAATCGACTGCCGACCCTCTCGCTCGAGGCCCTGCAGGAAACAGAACCCCAATCGCTGGCGCAGTCCTCCCATTCGACCCTCCTCTCGATTCAGGCTCTGTCGAACCGCTCCCACCGGGCCTTCATCACATCCGCCGATAATCTCTCGAACCTCCGCACCTCCATCCCGCACCTGACCCGCGACGCCCAGCAGCTCCGGGATGCCGTCCCCCGGTTGGACGAAGAGGCCGTCTGTTTCTCCTCAAAATACAGTCGGGCCGCGGAGAATGCCTCCCTGGAGCAGCGCAAGCGGACTATGCAATTGGCCCGAAATGTTGACCGACTCTCGGATATTCTGGAGCTCCCTACCCTCCTCTCGACGGCGGTGTCGTCGGCCGCAGCGAGCTCCGGCACAGCGGGCGGTTCGCTGTCGACGACATATTCGGCTGCCTTGGATCTCTACGCCCATATCAAGCGACTACAGACCCTGTACCCCGATTCCGCGTTGGTCAAGGATGTGACTTCACAAGCGGAGGATGCGATGAAAGACATGACGAGCAACTTGATCGGGGGCCTGCGGGCGCAGAACCTGCGACTAGCAGCTGCGATGAGGACGGTAGGCTGGTTGCGACGGGTCGCACCCGAGCTGGAAGGTCTCTTTCACGACGGAGGATCCGGCACAGGGGAAGGCGCCTTGGGGGCGGTGTTTCTGATCTGCCGACTGGCCAATCTGGTGACTACGCTGGAGGCCTTGGAGCCCCTACGGGAGCTTGCCGACCAGGAAACGCAGCGCAGGGTGCGGAAGAGAGGGGCGAAGAACGGCGCCGGGTCGTGGTCGGATGGACACCAAACCGAGAAATTCTTGAAGCGATACATTGAGATCTTCCGCGAACAGAGCTTTGCTATCGTCTCTCTCTACAAAAATATCTTCTCCCCCGATCAATCCGAGTCGGATCTCGCGGTGGCAGGCCTCCGAGGCATCGATGCCCGGATCAAGGCTGCGGCATCGCCCCCCCCGTCCGCCATCGACACCGACCCTCTACAACACCTTCCCCCGGCACTCTCTACATTCCCCATCCACCTCGTCCAGCTCCTGACGGACACTCTACGCACCTATCTTCCCAACGTCCAGGACAGAAGCTCGCGAGAGAGTCTCCTGACGCAGATCCTGTACTGCGCTGCGAGTCTTGGGCGCCTTGGAGGGGATTTCAGTATGGTTCTCACTGAACTGAGCGACGCAGATGACGCAGATGACGAAGACGACCGTATGTCTCAGGAGTGGGAGGAGATCTCACGAAAGCATCGGGCCTTGGCAGGGCGTCTGGAGCAGCTCACTGGTGGACATCCTCCATCCTCCTCCAAGGGTGGGAGTGCCTTGCGCGCCGTCTCACCTGCATAAAGGAAGAAACACCACCCAATGGCGTAAAAGAACGGGGGAGATCAAAGAACCATAACAGTTCAGCTCAATACTCCAAACTATGCTGAAAGAATCATGAAGTCGAATGACAATGACTCTTTGGGGGGGGGGCTGAGGGATGAGACGCTAAACCGGAAGAGGGCTTAGCTGCGGACCGGGTGGAGTTACGTTGTCTGGACCATCCATCATCCTCCCTCTTCCTCTTCCTCTTCCTCCTCCCTCTCCCTCTCTTACACCCTCTCTCTCTCTGTTGAATCTCTCCCTCCCCTTCCACAACACAGGTTCTTCTTAAGGAAGAAAAAGGAGGAAACCCTGATTGATATGTAGCATTCCTGTTCCTCTGATTTGGCTCTTGGACTTTGATTTCTACCTCCGCTCCCGCGATCGGTGCTGGTTCTCCGGTCGCTTTCTTGGATCTTCGCAGCTGTCGGCCCCGGTGTGACGTTCGCCCTTGCGTGCATGCAGTGATCATCCTATCGAAAATTGCTCCTCTGGGGGATGAGAGCTCTCCCGGGAATACTATACTATAATTTATAAACCAGAGAAATTTAATCCGCGTCAAACGCTTGACATCCATATCCCCGTCTCCGACCCGCCCGACGATCGAACTCCGATGGCGACCTCCGCACTCCCCGCCGGCGGATTAATCGATCCTACCAAACAGGCGGAGTACCCAATCGTATTGGGGGACCGATTAGCCGGGAAAACTGCCTCGTCGAAGTCACGGCTATACAATATTCAATACAACTACAAGACCAAGTCGGCGACCGCCCAGCAGCGGGCCGTGATCACGAGGGACTCGCAGTCCCGGGACTCCTACGCCCTGAAGATCACCGACAAAGCCCCGAATGCGGAACAAAATGTCTTGACATATTCATACCGAGGGAGCATCGACCCCGAGCAGGCACTTCGGGGGCGCGACGAGCACAATCTGGTCTTGGTGTTCGATCCCAATCGAAAGGTGTTCGTGTTGGAGCCGGTGACGACGCAGCTCAACTTCAATCTGCGCTCGGCCCCGGCCAAATCCGAGAAGCAGGTGCTGGAGCAATATTCCCAGCTGAGAACGTTGCAGGACGAGGATCATGGTGTGGGCGATGATGGGCCCGGGGGGGATGCCAGTGGAGACGATGACGGGCCCGCCGACGACGACAACCCGTACGATTACCGTCATTTCCTTCCCAAGGGCAACGGCGATGATGACAAGTCGATGTCGGACAACGCGAGCCCCGAGCCTCCGTCCGGCGCGAGTAAGGCGAATACTCCCTTGTTGCCCGCGGTCACCAAACCCGCCCCCAGCCCCCAGTCGCGCCCGAGGAAGCCGGCCAATAATCCCCTGCGGCTACCGAGCAAGCCGCCCAAGGCGACCAACAAGGGCCATACCGCTACACCGAAGGCAGCCTCTTCTCCCCGCGCGCGCGTCGAGAAGATCGAACCTGATCGGGCAGTGGAGAAGGTCAAACATGCGCCCCCCCGGGAACCACCCAAGTCCACTCCCTCCGACACCGAAGCTGGGTTCGGGTCCGCGGACAAGGCGGCCCCGTCTCCGGGGTCCAACATCATCATCGACGGCGATCTGATCATCGACATGGGCTCTCCGCCTCCCTCCCGACCGGTGTTCAACATTAATCCGGCCCACTTTTCGTCCAACAACACCCCGGCTGAAGGGGGCGAAGAAGACGACGATGAGGAGATTGAGGCCCTACGCCTCCCGTCACCGGCTGGACCCGGAGCACGCCCTGCCCCCGCGGGCGGCGAGGAGCCCGTCTCGACGACGCCGGCTCCCGACGAGGACGTCGAGGACGACGACGCCTTGGCCGCCGAAATGGAAGCGGCCTTTGAAGAGAGTGCGCGGCAAGAAGAAGAGCGCAGTCAACAATCCCAGCCGGAAGGTTCGCATCATTATGTGGCTAGCGAGGATGAGAGCGAAGTCAGTGAGGAGGAATAACCATATTAATTTTCTTTCCCCTTTTCTTACCCCCATTTTTTCTGATCCCTTTTCCCACATTGGTTCTCGTTCTTGCGTGATTGCAACGACATGGGGGATTTTGCCTCAATGCATGGCGCCATCTGGAGTTTGGAGCGCGAAGCACATACCTATACGGACATGCCGTCCGGGTTCTTTGATATACCACTTGTTGCGTGTACACACCATCTTGACTAGTTAGGACCGTCTTGTAGTTGTTATTCGATCGGATTAATATTGATACATGTTAACGACCTGGAATTGAAAGTAAATACATGAAGTATACTGTAACCTTTCGGCGATCCGAATCTAGACCGGAACAACTGGATGGTCCGATGGCCGACGATCATCCGAAATTCATGCAGAGAGAAGATGGTTCCATCCCATCCATATCACTCTTCCCGACCTTTACTCTCCTACACCGACGCAACTCTTCTTCTCCTTGATTCCAAACAGCGGAGGAGGTTTTCCACGACAGGCGTCCTTTCTCGGTGGGTCGTTCACCCGTCCGAGACGCCAACACCGGCCCTCCCCGATCCTCCTGTCTCCCTTCAGGGACACGGCGATCCATTTCGCTCCGAATTCCCCGGTCGAACCCCCGGTCAACGATGCGATGAGGAGTCTTCCGGGCCATGGATGACGCGACCTGTTAAGAATTTTTGAAGTATTGGTTTGGGCAACTGAGACGGAGAAGGGCATCTGCAGCCGTCCGCTTCCACGGCTTCGACCACCCGACGCTCCGTCGTCTCGCACATACAAAGCTTCCCTCGGGGGTGGATCACGGTCGGAGACCTTGAACCCGACCTTGATATCTGACAGGGGAATCTCGATCGGACCACGCCTTCCACCTCCTTCATGGCGTCCTCCACGTCCCATCCTCTGGAACAGCGACCCGTCCCCGCGCCGTCGAACCCCGTCCTCCTGTCGAAACAGGCCCAATGGCTCTTCACGGATGAGGAGCTCACGCGATCGCCGTCCTTGCTGGACGGGATGAAGCTGGAGGCAGAACACATGAGCCGCAGCAAGGGTGTCAATTTCATCATGCAGGTAGGCATCATGCTGAAGTTACCGCAGCTCACCCTTGCCACCGCCGCCGTGTACCTGCACCGGTTCTTCATGCGCTTCAGCATGGTCGATCTGCCCCAGCGGCCGGGCATGCACCCCTACCCCATCGCAGCCACGGCCCTGTTCCTAGCCACCAAGGTCGAAGAGAATGTCCGGCGCATGCGCGAGTTGGTCATGTCGTGCTGCCGGGTAGCCCAGAAGCAGCCCAATCTGCAGGTGGACGAGCAGTCCAAGGAATTCTGGAAATGGCGCGACACAATCCTGCACCACGAGGATCTGCTGCTGGAGGCGCTCTGCTTCGACCTGCAGCTCGAACAGCCCTACCGCATCCTCTACGACCTCATCTGTTTCTTCAACGTCAGCGAGCACAAGCCGCTCCGCAACGCCTCGTGGGCCTTCGTCAACGACTCCATGTTCACCCCCCTCTGCCTCCAGTTCACGGCCCGCACCATCGCCGCCGCCGCGCTGTACGCCGCCGCACGGCACTGCGGCTTGGCCTTCGAGGACGACGCCCTCGGCCGGCCGTGGTGGGAGCAGGTAGACGTCGACCTGGCGCAGGTGCGTCGCGCGTGTACGAGAATGGCGCAGCTCTACGAGAGCAATGCCTCGCAAAGACATAGCCAGTACTACCCGACCACCCCTATCATCTCGGACGAGGGCGCTGAGAAGACCAGGATCCCGCACACGGGCAGCCCCTCCGCTTCTTCTTCTCTTGGTGCGCCAACGACGGCGACGGCGGACGGCGCCGTCAACGGACGAAAACGGTCCAGGGACCCTGAAGACAGGAGTGCCAGAGATCACCCTTCTGAACATGCCCCTGGTCCTTTGAACGGGGACCGCTCTCCCAAACGTCAGCGGATGGGCTCGTCTTCCGAGGCTCCTCCCCATTCCTCTTCTTCTTCCTTCTCCCATGATCGATACCCACCCATCAACGGCCATCCTCCTGCTCCCTCTTCTTCCTCTCACCGCATTCCCCACTCCCACCCCCACCACGAGAGTGACTCCCACCCCAGCTCAACATCCCAAGGCGCAAGACGACCCATGGACCCAATCCAGCGCCAAATCGACGAGATCGTCCAACGAAACCTTTCTCACGGGGGTATCCCCACATCGCCATCGTCTCGAGACCGAGACCGCGACAGAGACAGAGACCGAGACCGAGATCGAGATCGAGACAGGGACTACGACCGAGACTCCTCAAGACGCGTCCCAGACCGATATCGCAGAAGCGGAAGCGGAGGCGGCCCAGACTGGGACTACGACGACCGAAGCCGCCGCCGACGGTCCTCAACTGGCGGACGAAGAGGGTCGTCTTCATTCGATGACCATGTCTCTGCTACATCCGGTGGACATCATCCACCACCATCACCACCACCACCTCCTCCTCCTCCCTCGTCCGGCCCACCAACGGATACGCCTCCTCCGCCGCCACCACCACCACCACCATCACAGCAGCCACAGCCACCTCCAGCACCACCGGAGGGAGGAGCAGATGCAGATGAAGGTGGGGGGAGTGAGGAGGGGGAGCTCTGATCGGTTTACACCTTGCAAACAGATCGACCTAGTCAATCTTCTTTCCTTTTTTGCAATCGAATGGGTCTAAATAGAGTTGTAGTGGTGGGGTGAGTAACAGAAGAAAAGAGGATGTTGTGATCGTTTCCTGGTCTGGGGTTTTCTATACCACGTTTGTCGGGCTTTATAGCCTTCTATCTAGATATATTCACACCTCAAATATGGGGGACCTGTGGAATCGATACCGCGATGCTAGAAACAGCTGCCTTTCCACCCGTAACTTTGACAGCAAGTCGCTGCTTGACTTCCCTCCTGTCCAGTAGAGGCACCACAAACTTAGATCAGCTGCGCTAGGAGACCCCTTTTGTACATAGCCGCCGTGCCTTGGAAGGGCAGTGATTAGTTCTAAATGAACGCATAACCCACACATTCAGTTTATATATACTCTGTTTGCGTTGACCTAGCACGTTACCTCAACCCTTTGGTGCGGCATCCCAGGATACCGCATAACACATCTCCCCTGTATCCTAGCCTTCAAGGATTAGTCTCATACCAATCTATACTATACCTTAACATCATGTACATACTCCTTACCTAGTCACCCTCCTGTCTATATGGTATATATAGACCTTCACTTTTAATTTAGGCCAAGTCTCAGGCAAATTTACTGGTATAATTCAAGGGAAAGTAATTTGAGTCCTTCAAGAAACTACAGATCAATACAACATGTGAGGTACAGTACAGTATAATTATTGCTCAAAGATACTACATAAGACAGGCAACAGCAGATCTGGGCAATACTCCTGAGTTTGTTGTCAACAAGAGATGGCTCAATTGTACGTACACAAAAATTTACAACATATTCGCAACTGGTTTTTTTTTTTTTTTTTTTTGGGATCCACTTGATCAGTAGCCAGCCGGTCATGTGCTATCCAACACGACCATGGGAGTTTCTGAGGCGCAGACGCTGATGATACTAGCATTCAACTGTATCCTCTAATTACGTATAGTCATCATTCCAACCCACATTCCGTGGGAGATCAAGAGAGTCATTCCTGCATCTGGTTACTTCATACAGCCTCATACGCTGATAGCGCATGGTAGGATGTAGATCTACACAAGGTTTGGTATAACGGCTCAAGCAGATGTGGGGCCACTTATGCTTCAGCCTCAAGCATTAACGTTCCTTCGCCCCAATAGAACAACAAGACTTACTAGAATCGGGACAAATCGTCTGGTTCCCTTTCTGAGAAAGGGGTTCTACGAAAGATGAGCGCACAAGGCTGCCGGGCTTATGCGAAAGCAGCTGGCTGCTCTAGAGGCATGATAAGATGGCAGAAGATTATAGGTTAGATCGTATTTGGACCCTGGTGCCAAGCCTCAGGGAGTCTTGACATGACTGCTAATCTGAGCATGAAGACAGTTCTGTATCCATTGAAGGAAGCCCACACTAGGCAACTCTCGTGGATGGGTGTTGAAATCGCGGCCGCAAGCTGTGCTGTGGGTTGTGCCAATCCAAATGGCCCAAGGCCCTGCAAATTGGGTTATAAAAGGCAGCTGCTGGCCTTCCTCCAGTGAAGTAAACCAGTTCATTCAACCGCCAGCACAACTATCCTCCTCAAAAGAAAAACGATTTTGATTATCCCCCGAGTCAATTTCGTGCCCGTCGTGATGAAGAACTTCCTTGTGCCGCTGCTCTGCTTGACGGCCACGTCGTCCGCGTTAGCAGTTTCTCCCGATAACACTGCTGTTGAAGAAAGTGGACTGCAGAAGAGAAACCCAGTGGCTATCGTTGGAATGTTTATTGAGTTGCTTCGGGGTACCCAGATCATCGGACGAACCAAGGGTCGCTTGAATAAAGTGGGCGGCGGCCCGGCCAGCCCTTATGTACGTTACTGGGTGAATCCTGGTTGGAAACCCATCCATCAGCTGCTGACTGTTATTGTAGGAGGCAGAGTCTGGGAATTGTCTGATGTACATCTCTACCCAGGGTGGGGTGAGTAAATATCCAGGTAACATGAGATCTAGGTGGAATTTGAGACTGATCAAGAACCAGGGAAATTGCAACGTGAATACAACTCCTGGTAAGAGCACTGGGCTAGACGCAGATCCTACTAAGCATGATGGAGACTGGAATGTCTGCTGGTGGGATGACAAGGCCAAAATGTCTGGAAGACAATTCTTTACCGACCCGTGAGTTTTTGAATCCGCGAGACGAGTGGGTCCCCCGGGCTAAGATTATTATCGCAGTGGTATTGGCAAATACAGTATTGTCTTCACAGCCAAGGATCAGGACATAGTAAATGAGGAGATTGAAGGGACTGAAGCCTGTGGTGGAGAGGGTATTTGCAATCCTCAAGTTACCTTTTACCGGGATGGATATAATATTGTTCTGAACACCTGGCAATCCGACGCTGGGGATGTGAATATGGAGTATGGTCAGGGACTATGCTCAGGCGGTGTCACTGATGCATATAAGAAGGGCGGTATGGAATTTGGGTATACGTGAGTTTGTCTTCCCTCTGATGATATAGCCTGGTGCTGATGACTTGTTCAGCTGTGCTGTGCCTTGCGAGGGTGACGAGGGTCTTCCTGATGATTCGCGCTTTTAATCTGGCTGTACCTGCCGCACAGTTGACTTCAACCGTGGGGATTGTCCGGAAGGAAGATCATTGATGCCTCTTCTATGCCTGTGTGGCTATGTCTACAGGCCCGAGGGGTTGGTTTGGGAGGGTAGTTTCGAGGTAATGTAGCTTCAATCATATAGTCATATAATTGCGGTATATTCCTATAAGATATAGGACTCCCGCAGCGGCCAGTTCTGCTGAATTGGTCGGGAATAGTGGCTTCAATATCATACTTATATATCCATCATAAAAGATATAATGATCAATACCTCCCATATATTATTCTTACTATTGAGACATACAGTTAGGTTACGTTAAGATTAAATATGATTAACCTCTCAGCTTACTTACTTGATATGGTTTGTCTTCTGAGGTTTGGTATCAAGAACAGTTGATCATGGTTAACTGGCTGGTTTTTGTCTTGACTGTGTCTAGGTATAGAAATTCTATTAACCTAGCCATAACCAGCCGGTGAGGTATAACCTGACCCATTAACTTAACCTCACCTAGCCATTTACAACGTGCCTTGTTTTGGAAACCTCAAAGGTGAAGATATCATTAGAAGATGACCGGGAAAGCAGGACTTCAAGTCAGTATACTACAGGTCCTAGAAAGAAGATAGTAGAGAAAAGATAGATTCCTAATATTATAGAATGAAGATAAACAGGTTCAGCATAATTGCTGGTTATAGTGATTATACAAGGAAGCTAGGAAGTGAAGATATGGAGAGCAAGGCATAGTAGCGATTTTTAATAAGGAGAAGAAAAAGACATGGTTATTGAGATTGGTAAGATGATAACTGGGATCAAGTAAGTGTAGAATATAGGAGGTTGGGAGGAGACAAGATAAAAACAGTGAGGGAGTCAGTCTCTCTTTATATTCAGGCGGCACGGCAGACAGTGTTTATAGGATAGTGTTTCAGGCGACCATGCCAGAACAGGAAAAGCTAATGGTAAGAGGAAATTCACAGGTCCGCTGTTTACAATCTGAATCTGAATTGAAGATCAAAACTTAAATTAAAAATAAAATCACATTATATGGATATTCACTAGCGAGTAATGTACTCTCTTTACTTGGTAGGTAGGATAGGGACAGTGGATAGATAGTAGGATAGTGGATAGTAGATAAAGATAGTGAATGAGGGTAATGAGACAGTATAATATAAAGTATCTCTCCACCTACTTACCTACCTAAGGAGCTATACAACGAGGGAGAAGAGGGGAAGAGGATCCTGACTGTATGAAAGGATAGGAATAGCAAGCCAGCTGAGGCTCATTTTTACTGTCTACAGTGTCGTCTCGTCTAAGAGTTTCAAGACACTCTACAGTCTACAGTCTAACGTCTACAGGTACACCATCCAGATAACAACGTGCATTGATAAAGCAAAACCCAAGACCAAAACAGACTACCTACACCACGAAAACCAATCTTCCCCTTCACCTCCCACCAAAGACAGTCTCCATTCGAAGATGGAAGACATCCCACAGATAGTCAATGCCCAGCAGTCAGCATCCCATGACCATGATCCAACAAGCTGCTCGACGCAACAAAGCTAAACCCACCGAACGGGTCGCCCTCCCCGCCGTGACTGCCACGCTGGCGGCAGAAGTCGTCGAATCCATTACTGGTCATGACCGGGCTCAGCGGCATGTGGGTGAAGTCGTCGGAGAAGTTCTCTGCGAGGGCCGGGTCCGTGACGACGGGGTTGATGGGCGGGGTGAGATCGCGGCGCTCGAGGGCCTTCCAGTCGATTTTGCGGAAGAAGCGGTGTTTCTTGATGGTTTGGAGGTCTTTGGGCATGTGGTAGCCTAGCCGTTTTGAGGGTTCCTTGCGGAGGAGCCGGATGAGGAGGTCCTTGGCGTCGGGGCCGAGGAAGTAAGGTAGGGGGAGCTTCTGTTTGAGGATCTTCTCTTGCAGCTTGGCGTTGTTGTTGGCTGTGAAGGGGGGCGCCCCTGTGAGCAGGTCGTAGCCTAGGGCGCCGAGGGACCACCAGTCGCAGGCTTTGCCGTAGGGCTTGCCTTGGATTACTTCGGGGGCCATGTACTCGAAGGTGCCCAGGGAGGAGTTGCAGCGGTCGTCGTCGTTGACGGCGATCTTGGACAGGCCGAAGTCGGTCAGCAGTAGGTGGCCCTCGCGGTCGAGAAGACAGTTCTCTGGCTTGAGGTCGCGGTAGATCACCCCGACGGTCTGGTGCAGATGCTCCAGGGCCAGGACCATCTCCGCCATGTAGAAGGCGGCCGCGTCTTCGTCGAACATGCGCTCCATGGCCAGGTGGGTGAACAGTTCGCCGCCCTCGGCGTACTCCAGGATGAGGTACAGTTTCTCGTGATCCTGGAAGGCGTAGAACAGCTTCACGACAAAGGGGTGGCGGCTGACGCTCTCGAGGATCGTGCGCTCCGTCTTGGTCTGCTCCACCAACTTCTTGTGGACCGTCAGTGACGCCTTGCGGAACTGCTTCTGCGCGTAGAGCTTCCCCGTGAGCACATGGCGCACCAGGAGAACCGTGCCAAACGAGCCCTTCCCCAGGCAGAGCAACGGCTCGAAGTCATCGGTGGTCATCTTGCGGCACAGCTGGGTGCGCATGTCGCAGACACTGGAGGTGTCTTGGACACTCTCCGCGACGGCGTCCGAACTCACATAGTCATGCTCCAACGGGACCTCGTAGCTGGTCAGGATCTCGGTCTGGTCGCTATCCGAGCAGACGCTGACATTGCTTGGGGTCTCCGAGCACCTGCCGTTCGTGGCGCCGCGCGCCGGACTATCTGCGGACAGGCTCATCGAATCGAGCTGGAGCTTCAATGCGCTAACGCTGCAGCCGGGAACCGGTTGCGCCGGCGGGCTGTTCCCGCTGGTTCCCACGCGCGCATGTGGTCGCGCGCTAGGTGCCCGCGAACTGGCGGCTGACATGTCCGAGTCTTCGTCGCCCGAACCGACGGGGTTGAACCCGCGCACGGTGGAAACCGCCGGAGCAACTCCATCCGCGTGCTTCTTCTTCTTCCGGCGTCGCTCGGTCTTCCCAGACAGCGGGACAGCATTCATCTTGGGGACCGGAGAGGCGACACCATCACGGATCCCTCCGACTGCTGGGTTCGGGGCGCGTTGGGGGCTGCGATTGGCCATGTGGAAGCCGGTACGGGGGTTGCTGGGCAGTTGGAGGTCGCGAGGCTGACTCTGCGACATGTCCGCCTGGGGGGTGAACACGTCGCCCACGGAAAGGTCATCCTGGAAGGGAGTCGAATTGGAACTCGTTGCTTCCCCCATATCCATCATATTGGATCCTAGACCAACGGACATTCGAAAGATTCGCGGAGCGGGACGGCGACAGCGAGGTTCGATCCGTAGAGTTCAACGATTACGTCCACCGGACCAAAACGGCAGACGGATATGTTCAAGCCTACTAAAAAGTATCTGCGACGCTAAGAAGAGGACACAAGAAAGGGTTAGTCCACCAAAATGAGGGTCCATCTGGGGCTCCCACACAAAGTGGGGTACTCCAAGAAGAAAAAAATAATAACGAGAAACAACCCCAGGTAAGGGGTCCAAGGCCGTACTCACTTTGCAGGGGAGACTCCACGGAAGCTATCAATCACTCCCAGCGCATACACCCACTGACGACGCCAGGGATGGTGGAGGGGGAGCGAAGGTAAGCGCACAAGATGACGAGATCCGATCCGAGATCCTCAGATCTGGAGTAAATTTACCGTCCGCCCTTCTTCAGGACGGACCCTGCACCCCTAGCCAAAGCACCCCGTTGACGGAGGGGTCGGACAGCAGGTTGGGGAACGATCCAGCCCGGGGGGACGAGGGCCCAAAGTCGTCGATCACGGTCGAGGTGAGGTCGTCCGAAGTCAGGGATCGGACGGGATACTTGGCCAAGGAGCCAGGGGAGCAAACACGAACGGACAATGAAGACGTAGGCGCAGACGGGGACATGGGCATAGAGACCACGGAGATGAACGGTTTTCAAGGGGTCAAATAAGTGGGAAGTTCCCGGAAATAAGGAGACTCTGAAGTCGGAGAAGTGAGAGAGCACACCGTGCAAGAGAAAGAGAAAGGAGACAGAGAAAAGAGAGGTGTAATAATTCGATTGGAGACGCAGAGCTCAACCTCAGGCTGAACTTTGTCTTGGCCTCCGAAATGAAAAACATTCGGGCCAATCAGCGAGCGCCGGTGCTAAGCGGGATGACGCTAGTCCGCTTTGGGTGTCTTATGGATGACTTCACGTGCGGGTTTCACCGTATTCATTAGGTAATTGGTTTTGTGTACACAAGGCTTGTACGGGATTAGGTCTCTGGGCAGCAAGTGGAGTGCCAAAAGAACACTTGGCGGTGATATCTAGGTAGATAGAGGCAGATATAAATTCAAAAATTGTCGAGACAATCATCGGATCTAAATGTCGGAGGATCAACAAGACCATCAGATGTGACGACCACCTGACAGCTTTCTGGACTATTCTGGACTAGTCAGTCCTCTGACGGCATATCTTATCAGCCGCACCGTCACCCTACTATACATCTCGATCAATACCTGGTAACAACACATCATTTTTTCTCATGGGGTTGCAATATACACACAACATCCCCAGAACAACGCACGCGTTCTCTCTTAAATACACATGTCCCAATGAATCGCAATTGGCTCCTACAAGTCCTTCTCCTTTTGATCAACCAACCTACCCCATCCTATGGCAGAGCACGAGCCAGAGGGGAATCTACTCGACTGAGCAGCCGACATTCCACTGGTCGTTGTTTTTTCTTCCATCTCGATTACCTTACCAACCCCGTTCCTAGCCTCACAGAGCCAGGTATCGTGATCGTAGCAAACCGTAAGACAAGGATGGGGACGTTCGCTATCCTGAGTTGCGTCCTCTTCTTCTTTCCCTCCCCTTCTTTCTCTCCTCACCTTTCTTTTTTCTCCTTCAGCGTCTCTCCCCTTCCCCAACCCGCATCTGTCTGGTATCATGACGGCCCCGGCATGTCCAACGTGGCCACGGTCCAGGGACACCCCATCAAGTCGCTCCAATCGGCAGAAAACACAAAGAAACAGATCCTCCAGAAACAGGGTGAAAGATAAATATCAATACTAATATCAAACACAAAGCAGTGCAACGCATCATGGGTATTTGTCATACATTCACAGCATTAATAGAATGACAGTGGATATTTACCAGTATGCACGGCGCTCGTAGGGATACTCGACCCGCGGAGGAGAGCGGGGACGTCCATAGGGCCTGGGTGCAATGTACGGGTCGTCATAACGCGGGGGCGGCGGGGGACGGACATCATACGGGTCTTCATATGGGCGGCGCGGCGGAGGGTAGTCTTCAATCCGAGGACGCGGGGGCGTCCGCCGCCCATAGCCATCCCGGTCATAGTAGTCCCGCCGGAGTGGAATGGGGGATCGCTCCCGGTAGTGGGCGCGCGGGCTGTATCCACGAGGGGCTGGGAACCTTCGGTCGTATTCATCTATGGGAGGATAGCTCCGTCGAGGGGACCGGGACCGGTAGGGGTCACGCAGGGCCCGGTCATCAGGGGTTTGGATCTAGAGACGGCATGAGGATGGGGGCGTTTCCAGTTTCCTTGGGCGCGGAGAGGTCCCTTACATCGGCAACGCAGGTCACTCGTGAGCCTTTGAATTCCCGGCCATCCAGCTTTTCGATGGCGGTCTTCAGGTCGTTTGCGGTCTCGTACTCGACGAACCTTGAGAAATTAGGGGTTAACGGAATCCTCGCGCCGTTCCAGGACGTTCGATCATCACCCACCCTCTGCCGACTTCGCGGCCGGTCTCGGAGTAGACCACGTCTAGTCCGGATTGACGAGCAAAATCTTTGAGATCCTATAGAATGTCCCGACGTGAGTCCATATCCAGGTAAAGTGGTGGGAATCCGGAGGCTCCAGGTGGACGTCAAAGCAGAAGACAAGACAGCAAAGTAAATGTGGGCAAGGCGGTGTCAGATCACTGGGTTCCGTGGAAAGGGGGTTGCATCCGTGCTGGCCTGACGCTGTTCCGTCAAAGTGGGAAATGTCCAGGACCTTGGTGATCGCAGGTCTCGACCGGCGGAGCTCTAGAATCC